GGATTGCATATTAATCAATATGGTGAAATTATTTGGAATGCTAAGCGCAGGAAGGGGGTATCATGTGTGCATGCGAAAAGGAATACTCCAATACAAAGGATTGGAGCGGTTGTTACAAGGAACTCGAACGTAATGATCACGGGGAGAGGAAAAGATAATAAAAGGCTTGACGAAAAACAGAGGATCTGAACGATAGCGAAAACCGGATGGAACCCAATACCCCCCCCAAAAAAAAAACCTGACATTCGCCTTAGACCATGGACACTAACCCTGTGTCCAAGAAAGAATATTTACATACATGCGAATGAAGTAGGGAATAAAGAGAAAGTGACATGAAGCAGTGGAGAGTGAAAATTAAGATAAAAAACATACAAGTCAAGCAAAAGATCTGACTATTATCTGTGCTCTGTGCACGAATACTTAATCCGACTTGGGGACAGGGTTTCTTCTTTCCTCGTATATTTCGAAGTCGATGGTGTCCTCGACAGCTATCCTCCAGATATGGACCTTAAGCTTTTGGCCGTATCGCCGGACACGCCCAATCGCCTGGGTCTCTGCGGCAGTGTATTTTTGCTGATTTTCTGTTAGAAGCGGGGAGAGGAAGATCACATGGTTGGCTACCGTGAGATTTGCTCCTGCTGCTGTCGCGGCCATAACTTCTAAAAGGAGGACCCGGGTGGAATTTTCGGTTTGGAATTTTGTCAGCTTGCTGGATTGATTTTTTGCTTGGCCTGCTAGCTGCGTGACACTTACACCTGCGGCCTGAAGGACCGATAGTACTTTCTTCAAAAGATCAGGGAATTGTATGAATAAAAGCACCCTTTCGTTAGCGGGGATGACGTTCTGGAGAAGGTGGAGGAGTCTATCCAGTTTTGCACCGTGGGCAGTTGGAGCGTCGAAGTCTGCCCCCAGGGACACCGCCTTGACGATGCTGGCCGGTTGGGCCAGGCTTTCGCAGCCGGCGTCCTTGCTCGGGCACAGTTTTCTGTCGGCAGCCCGAGCCATACACTCGGCACATGCCGTGTGCCCACAGCTGCTCGAGACAATAATACTCTCAAGCGGAAAATTCCGTTCTGGCTCACATGCGCAGGTCCATCGAGTATTGGGATCCTTAGCTTGCACCTGGCGGACAACATTGAAGAAACGCAGGGAACGGAATCTGCCGATTAGCTCCTTGAGTAGTCTGTTGACCTGAATCTTCTTGGTACGAAACATATCGATATTGTCGTCAATTTCAAGAGGTCGTTTTTTAGCTGGGGGGCGCTCTTCGTCGGATGGGTCGACATCAACGTCCATCTCGGTATCATCGTCATTCAAGGGCGGAGGAGTTTGCTCCTCCGTATCATTCCGGTGACAGACTACTAAGTTCTTAGCCTGCTGGAGAATGTCCCGGAAGGCCGAAGTAGCATCAGAGTCCTCAAGATTTGTTCGTCGCTTTTGCTCGATAAATTTTAAGAACGGATGTTCTGTTTTAGGTATTGATGGAATCGGTGAGGTTTGGGCTTTGTGGAGGCAAGTCCGGATCAACTTTAGTAACTCCTTTTTGTTCTTTCGGAGCTGTTCCTCGCGCTGTTTGATGATGTGGTCGCAGGCAGTGCGAGCAGTGGCTCCTGGGGCCAGGTCCCCGATGTTGAGGGAAAAGTGACATAATGACTTCAAGAGAGCTTCTTCGGCACTCGCACTGTCTCCGAGAGCAGTACGAAGGCGTTTATCTCGATCGCCGCTGCCTTTGGAACCGCCTTTAACTCTTCTAGTGATGTTCATGTCCATAGACCGGACATGATGATCGAGTTCGATGTAAATAGCCTTCTCGGCCGCTGGTTGTTTAACAATTTCCCAATGTTCTTCAAATGGGATCTCATCGATCTCAGCGATGTTCTATGTACGAATTGTCAGATCATCGGATATATATTGACTAAATAACGGTGTATCTTACCTGTCTCATGAAGATATCCAAGAAATCTTGGGCGAGAGTGTGGCGATCCTCGTGCCATGCTGGTGTATGTGCTTCTTGGAAAGCGTGAAATGCCTCGACAGCTACATGCCCGCAGTTGGCATTATTAATATATATATGAACGGGAAATAGTATAGGTATTATATCAACTAGGGACTTACCACTTCGATCCTTCGTAATCCTCTTGTTGTTGATATCACTGTTCGCGATGTCGTCGTCAATACCAAGTCGAATCCCCAAGAAAGTAGCGATCTTTTTGATATCATCAAAGTCTCCCAAAGCCGGAGTCCCCGAGAGCACCCATCGGAACGTGGCATGAATGCCTGGAATCATCTGTAAGGGAATTCCAGTGCAATAAGTGAATTCATCTGCCACAACCCGATTGAACTGGAACAGCTCAAAGAGTGGAGTGTGTAAATTCTGCCAATTTCCCTTGAGGTTCTTGAGTCTCCAATATTGGTCGTCATAGACGGAAGATTTCTCAGCGGGTGGTTTCGATTTCTTTTTGGGTCTTGCGTTCTCGTCTTCGTCCTCATCTTCATCCTCGTCATAATCGTCGTCCTCAGTATCACTAGTCTGAGGGGAGATCACAGTGGACTTGCCCTTTACATTGGACTTGCCCTTCGCATTGGACTTGCCCTTCGCATTAGACCTGCCCTTTGCACCAGGCTTTTCTTTTGTACCAGGCTTTTCTTTTGCGCCGGGCCTGCCTTTGGCAATAGCTTTGCGTCTTGTGGCAGCCTTATTGTGAGCTATTCTTCCTAGGAGCACCTCTGATTCCCTCGCGTTTTTCCGGCTCTCGAAGCCCAAGTTGATCTCAGAAAGAACCTCGCTTTCATTTCCAGACTGCAATCTTTCGACCTGTGGCCCAATCTTCTCGGTGCAATCACCGAGCCACAATTGGAATTTACGGCCATCTTTTGTGGGGGCATCGCCGCCACCACCCGAGAACTCAGCCAGTCGATCAAGGTATACTGGACTCTTGAATAATGCAACGGGGATAAGGATGATATCCGCCTTCACGATATCCTTGATCGTACGGGATTTCATATTGATCATTGTCTTGATTATCAGAACTTTGAACGTACTGCCGGTGAATTTAGTGATTTCTGTTTCCCACTGATCTAACAGGTGACCTGGAACGATGATAAGAGTCCCCTTTACTGGAATCCTACCATTGCAATCATCTGGTGGAGAGTACGAATCCTTCATAAAAGCCAGGAGCCCGAGAATAATGGCCGTCTTGCCGTATCCTACAGCATCGGCTAAAATTCCTCCTCGTGCATCATTGACTCTAGTCGCTTTAAGCTCTGCTTTCCAAGGTAGCCTTGGATGCGAAGACTCTACGATTTCCTGTTCGATAAATCTTGGAGCTTCGGAGGACTCCTGATACCGCATCCAGGTCAGAGATCTGAGCTGTTCCGGCCTCAGCTGAAGCAGAAACCCGGGTGGTTGCGAGCTCTGACTATCATGGCGGTTGCTTCGAACTGTGAATTCGGGTAGCAATAGACGTGGGGGGCTGACATAGTCTGACTTCAGTCTCCAACTCAATGAGAGGTCTCCAAGTCCGTTGCCACCGGGGAGCAGATCAGCGGCTCGATGGCAAAGTGAAACAATATTCAGGCCAATGTTGAGCTGAAGGAAATCCTGGCCGTCAACATGATCGACTTTCAAGGCGGTTACCCAGGGTTGAGGGCGCGCCTTCATAGCACGCTCCCAGATGGCTGACTCTTCAGGGTCTTCGACGAGCGCCAACGTGTCCCTGATTATCCCCCAGGAAACCGTCGGTTTTTTGGGTGCACACAAACCGCAATCAAGAACCAAATTCCTGACATCAATCTCTACCCAGCCGTTTGACGATGGAGTATTCTTGAAACTTTCAACAATCCAGTTAATGGACTTGAAGGTCTTCTTCGAATTGGATTCATCGATAATCGTCCACTCCCTCGGAAAGTTGGCTGAAAGAGCAGGAGCCAGTCGTGTTTTGGATATCAGAAAGGCAACCGGACTGAAACAGCTGCTGCCAGGTGCGATGTCTTCTGGAACGCTGAAAGAATACTCCATTTGAATATCCCCAGACGGCCTAAGTCGAAGGGATTCGACGGGGGTCCAAAACTGGTTCGTGGTGATTTGGGTACTGATTCGTGGAGCCTTGGTGCATGGGTTAAAGACGTTATCAAATTTGGCGATCAACGGACGATATTCACCAAAGTCAAGGCGTTCACAATCTCGAGCGACGACGAAGCCATCATTTGACCCATTTCCAATTCGCTGCTGATCGATGAACAAAAAGAGCTTGTTCCCGTTCCCGTCGACCTTACTATGCAAAGCTCTACAAGCCGTCCCACAGTTTGGAAGCAGTGTCCATTCGCCAGTGAAATCAGCGTCGAAGAGGTAAGCTTTCGCGGGATCATTCAACAGAAGATTCAGCTGAGGGTAGACCATCTTGTTGGCGAAAATTGGATTTTCGAGTCCCAGCGACTTCTGCCATGAATCGAGCGGAGACCCGACTCCCTCAACAACGACATCGACAGAGGCAGATCCTGGAACGCCGATCCTCCAAATCCCTTCAAAAAATGAATTATGGGCGTTGTCGACGATCATTTGAGCCACCGGGGGCGTGAACAAGCGTCTCAACTCTTTAAAGTCCTCTGCCGAGTAATCCACCTTGACATACATCCTCCATTCAAACTGCTTTGCTCCCATCAAGAGGTCAAGACGTCCAACCGGACTATCGTACTTAGCCACCCACACATCCTTTCTCTTAATCGTGCTCAGCGTGAACGTTGATGATAAGGCATCGAAGACGCGTCGTTCGAAGACATCCCACTTTTTATCCTTGATTGGGAGGCTCTCGCCGTACGAGATCGCATGTTTGATGGCATTCTTAATGCCTTTAAACCTGACGACCACCGGCAGAACCTCCTTGAGAAGACCTTCGAACTGATACGGATCGCGTCTGCTAACCTGGAGAACCTCATACTCATGTTGTGGTTTCTTCCCGCATTGCTGGCAGGAGGTATGTTCACAAGCCTTGCAAATTTGTATTTTGTCAGCCGTTAACGTTTGAGCTTCACAGACACACTTCCTTGCACTCTTAGTTGCAGCATTCATGAGGTGCTTTAGCTCAAATTCGTTGCAGACCCCAGGGTCGGTAGACATTGTTGACTGCGATCTCGGTAACGTCATTGGTGAGGCACTGACGAGACCGATGGGCCCAGCAACTGACGGCTGTATGCTGTTGCTGTTGCTGTGGCCAAGAAGATTCATCCCAACAACCAAGGCTGCAGCCATTGCAGTTCCTACAACGGTGCTACTCATAGCATTCCCGGCCAAATCCTTCAAGTTCGCCTCGGACTCTTTTGTGAAAAGGAGTTCGTCGGTGGGCAGCCCTTGCAGGGACAGGAGCTCGATACCAATCAGTGGACCACCTCGATAGGTTGAGTATGGTATCATGGAAGGGGTCAGGCATTGGGTAATGCCATTCCCCTTCCCTTCGGTATTTCTATCTGCATTTTGGCTGAGGTTATGAACCCTGGCCACGAAACCCAGATCGATTCCCCTACCTGCACTTCGCAGGTAGTTGATGTCGATAAGGTCCTTGACCCTATCGACTTGTTTATCTACCCATTGCTGCCATGCAAAATCGAAACAGGTTGAATTGCCTGTTTCAACCCAGCTCGTAAAGGGCCGCTGGCGACCAAGCCTTTCGGTCGATCGGACCACATCGTGGCGGTGCTCGCACGCGATCCATTCACCACCCTTAGGGCGGTGCTGCTCTTCCAAATGTCGAGCTCGAGCACGGATCTCAACAACCTTTGGGTGATCATCCTCCAAGCAAAATTCCTCGAACGAAGCTGAAGCAGGCCGAGTTTTGGCATTCACGATGCTAACCCAGCTCTCTGGAAGACTGCCATCGCTGTTCGGGCCTTTGAGAAAGGCTACGAGGTAGCCGCGCTGCCTCGTATGCGGGATGTAGAAATTTTTCGTGTCAAATCTGCTATGTCCCGCAGCATAGCCGATTGTTTCGAACTTTGCCACGATATCACCCCAGGGTGCTTGGCAAACGTTCTCGATGATAACGATTTTGGGTTTGTGCTTTATTACCCAACCTAACATCCCATAAAAGGTTCGCCCCGACTCACCATTGTCTTCTAGGCCTTTCCCATGGTTGTTCAAATTGCTGTAATCGACACACGAGGTGCCGGCCACTAGCATGTCGCAATCACCTGGGACTTTGACCTTCGAGCCATATGCTGTGGTGGCGTACTCTTCGTTGAGTTCACACACATCTCGGAAAAGGATCTTGGGATGAAAATTCCTCTCGATGTATGCCTGCTTGAACGGTTCGATCTCGCAGGAAAACAAATGCTCAATGGACATTTCAACACCGAAGATCTGCTTCAAATGCTTGACCATCAAGCCAAGGGCAAGAAGAGGGCTCTCCGTACCCGAGCACATAGTTGCAACTCTCAAAGGCTTCCCATTGAGATATTTGGCAACATCGACGAGACCGGCATGATTCTTGGTGAGATCCGCAAAGATTTCATTGATATCTGAAAGTGGTGGAAGATCGGTCATGCTCGAATCAGTGAACTTGTTGGCTGGGCTGCTTTTTAGAAGGGCTGCTCTAGGACTAGCTCTTGTGGGCTTCCTAAAGAGCTTTGCGACCTCATCATCATCATCGACATCGTCGTCGTCGTCGTCGTCGTCGTCATCATCATCATCGTCGTCGTCATCGTCATCTATGAGATCCGGTGTCCCAAACTCAGCATCGTCAAGGGCAGCTGCTCGAGACGAGGCTGTAGTTCTTTTACGTTTCCCGACACGAGGAGGGACGTTCTCGCCTGAGAGGTGGGCAGCTGGAAATCTAGTTCTAGTGACTCTCCCAGATCTGGTTGTCGAAACGCCGACATTCGAAGCATTTGGGAGAGCTTGCAGGAGCGCAACACTGGAAAATGCTTGAGACGGAATAGCGGCCGGGATGGATGCTGTTGCATCAACTGCATCGCCAATGCATCCTCCCGATTAGTACATGTCCGACCTCGATCGCCAAATCTGGCGTCGAAAGAGAGAGAGAGAGAGAGCAAGGTTACACATGGATGTTACTTACCAGATATTTCTGTAACAAATTCGCCTGGCTGTCGAGATCTTGAAGCATCGGCGGCAGCGAACCGCGCCTGGTTTTGAGCCGGTTGGGGTTGGATGGAGCCCAGAGTCATGCGACTCCGGGTCCGTCTTAGCCGCTCATTTTGAGCTACGAGCTCTGGAACTGGATCGCTGGCTGGCAGTTGTTCATCGAGTTCATTACTCAAACGCCGTTTCGCACTCGCACCCTTTCGAGGCATGTTGCTTTGCGATTCAAAACTTGGGACCTGCCCGTTTGGAAAGAGGGAAAGGAAGCTTGATAAATCAAACAAGAGGGAATGAAGGGCGAAGGAAGGACAAAGGAAGGGAATGAAGAGAGTTGTGATTAAAGATATGGTGGAAAATCGAACGAACTATCCGATGAGCTAACTTGGAAAACCGTTCAGACTTCAAAGCTTACTCTGTTATGATGAGGGTGAGGATAAAAGGAAAGGAAGACGAGGACGCGTCGCAAGGACCTTGAAATAACAGGAATACACGGCGACGAGTCTCGACCATTGTTTTGTCAAAAAAAAGTATCCCCGTTGTGGATTCTATCGTTTTGCGCTGCCCTTCTCGAGGAGGGGCCCGCGCAGCTAGGGCTTTGGAAGTATCATGATATATCAGCTCTGGAGAGCGCAAGTCGCCATTAGGGCTCACAGGTCAGGGGCGCGTTGCGGTAACAGGCATTGTATGTTGCAAGCCTTGTCTAGCTTCATTACATTTCCCTTTTGGATCATGCAGGGGTTCAGGCGGGAAGGCTTCATGCTTGGCTCCACGCATTATCTGGGGACCAGAATCGATAACAGATAACCATAGATATCGACATATCTTGGTATAGTTTATGCAGTGCGCTCCGTGGAACTACAATTGACTGCTATCTTATTGTCTCAGGGCCAGACGCAAATATCGATACAATTCGAAGGGCGACAGGGATAACATTCTAATAAATTCACAGGTGAGCAGTCTTCATACTCGAATAATATTGTTCTGGAACCAGCTAACCGAAATTCCTAATAGCTTTATACATGTACATACATTAGGACTGAGATCATTGTCCTAGGATTGATATCGGTTCCTTTTCCACTCGTCATTGCATCGCTTCAACGATTTGCAAGCTCGATGCAGACTTGTCGGCGACCTAGATCCCAAGGAAAGATCTCAGGCAAGAAAAGGCCAAATATTGCAAAACCCTCAAATTTACAACGTTTCTGGACCTGATTCGAAGGCTTCGGGTCAACCTCGGAGAATACGTTGACCATAAGAAGCTGGTATAAGCTGTCTTCTGTCTTCGGCAGATTTTGGTTTGGGAGGAATCTTTCGGTTCGACACATTTTTCGTTTAGCTTGGGTAGAACAACATGAGTCCTGGAATTGCAATTGCGCAGATGATGGAACACCGTTCGATCATCCGACCGCGATCGTCTAAGTGAGAAATGAGTTCGCAGTTTGTGGATTCCATATATTTACCCATTTCGTCTTTTGGCCATGATATCTATATTTCTGCGGAAAGCGACAGCGGGAGGAAAGGTTTGGGGGTTATATAGAGATATAGCCTCAGGGGTTTAGATTCGAGGCTGGAGTACTTACAATGGATTTAATCTACATGTTATACATATCTTCTAGCCTGCAACCCGAGCTTCAAGCTCCCTTAGAGCTCCGGAGCTCGAGGGATCTATGACTTCATCGAAGAATAACACGACAGAAAGGATCCCGGTTATCCGTCATATACTAAGATTTTGAACCTGACATAATCAAAACCCAAGCTATTCCCAATTCATTCGCTTAAGGCTAGAATACGACGTATGTACCCGACCCTCCGGACCCTCCGAACCGCTGCCTGCTTCCTCTGGGATGGGTGGTTAGGATTCGTAGACAAAATTACCCTTTTTGGTCGTAAATTTTGTGGCTTTGGCTTTAACCTTTTGGCTCGGATGACGGCAACTGGAGAGGAAAAAAGCTTGTCCAAAGCATTGCTCCACATAACCCCTGTACCATTTGCTTCCTCTGTCTCTGCTGATTACGTCTCACCGCATTTTCCTCTTGTTCTCCATTGTCAACCTCGCAACCTCGTGCAGTCTGTTTTCTTTGTCACCATTATTTCACAAGGGCACTTAACTAAACAGTAGTTACGCGGCATGCACTAGAAGGACAAGCTTTTTTGTTCTCAGCCCCAATCGCTAGCGAAATAACCCCCGTCAGAGAGTTCTCTGGTCCCAAACTAAAATCTGCAGCCTCAAGATCTGCCCTGTTGCATACATTTACATTCCCGGATTGGGTCGTATCAACCAACCCTTCGAGGTCGTATTCACGGTGCAGCGCTGAGAACCACCAAGACAATAAGGATTCTTGGAGATGACTTCAAATTGCATATAACGCTTTTTTATTTATATAAATAAAGGCTTCCAAGAACTCCCAAGACCTTTTTTTCTCTTGTGTAGTCATCATCATCATCATCATCATCAAGCGTCATCAATTCTCCTTTCCAGACTTCTTCTTTTTCATCTTCTTCTTTTTCAATCATTTCTCTTAAAGTCCTTAAACTCCATAATTAATCATCAAAAAAAACCCAGTTAAAAGAAAACCTCTCCCAGACCTCCAGAGCCTCAACGCGCATTCACAAAGTCTTAGCTGCGCCCAAAAGCAAAAATATACAACAAAAACAACACATAATACCTCTAAAAAGAAAAGAATAAAAGAATAAAAAGCCATGGCAGCAACCCACTTTTCCTCCATAGAAATAACCTCCGTGGTCTTCCTCGCAATCTTCGCCATCCTCTTCATCCCCTCAGTCTACATCTGGATCACCTACCTACGCGCGGGTTACCACTGGCGCTACGGTTTCTGGGGAGCCTTCATCCTCTGTTCCGCCCGTCTCGCCTGTTTCATCGCCGAACTCGTCTTCTATTCCTCGAATTACACAAACACCTCTGCCGCGATCGCATACATCGTCACATTATCCATCGGATATATCGGATTACTAGAAACCGAGTCAGCGTTGTTTGTTAGTTGGGCGGAAAGTCATATCGAGTTTAACCCCACGCAACAACAGTTCCATGGGAAGATTCGGTTGTTGAATATTGTGGGTCTTGGGTTGGTGGTTTATGGTAGTAGTAATATTGATAGTCGGGGCCATGTGGAGGATTCGGCTTTGGCGTGTATTCAGGCTGGAACTATTATATTTTTGGTGTTGACGGTTATTCAGTCTGCTTATGTGGCGTTTGGGTGGATAATGTATCAGAGGAAGAGTAATGTAAGTTTTTTTTTCTTTCCCCCCCTTCTTCCCCTTTTTATCTTTTTATAAAAAAAAGTATAGAAATACTAATGAATACGTGAAAAAAAAGACTCTAGCAATCCTATCGGTAACAATGCTAGCCCTCTACGTCCGTATCATCTTCGGTGTCTACTCGACTTTCCACCGAGAGGTATCAATGATCACTTTCAGGGATTCGAACGTCAAGTACCTCGTCGGGTGTACTTTAGTGCCGGAGACGATTGCTTTGATACTTTTGATTCTGTTGGGGTTTATTAATATTCGGAGTAAGAATTTTAAAACACTGCCACCTAAGAGGCGCGGGGATGCGCCGGAGGCTTATGATGTTGATGGGTTGGCGTTGGAGGCGAGGAAGCAAGGGCAGGTTACTGGGGAGAGGGTTTAGAAGGAGTGTAATTGGTATTATTGAGCGTATATATTAGAGAGGGTCCCGGGGGGGGGGGGTTTGATTTATTCTGGGATGGGTTTTATTTCTTTTTATATGGCTGTTGGTGTTTAGGTTGGATGCGATCTTTTTTCCTTCTTTTTTTCTTTCTTTCTTTCTTTAGCTTAGAGTGTATCTATTTGATGGGTTTTAATGGTTAGAAGGAGTTTATGGATTCAATTATCTAGTATAATTCAACTTCGTGCTGTTTCAAATTCGCACTAAAGTATTAGCTATATATTGCGATTGTATCATTCATTTAGAAGTAAGATATGCATGTCCACGTATCGATACCATCTAATCAGGTGTTTTAAACGTTTATGGCCATGGACGGCATATATACATATATATGCACAGTAATCATAAGCACCACCTTTTATAAGAAGAATATTAGCTTTTAACTAGTACTTAACTATTATAAAATTAAAAAACCAATCATGACCAGTACAGTCGAGACTGACATTTCTATTACTTTCAAGGAGCACCATTACATCTCCATATAGCTGTAAAGTTTATGAATATATAAAGATAAAATACAGAAAAAGAACTTTAATATATTATTATTTTGACATAGCCATTATATTATATACCATTAATCATTACCGCTCTAGTCATAGCTATCGCTTTCCCACCCCGCCGAATTCCCTCATGATCAATCTGCAACGGATATTACAATCTGACAGTCTACTGTACCCTCCAGTCCGTACAAAACCAGCACTAACTATAAGGGCCGAAACAAAAAAAAGAAAGACGCCGTACTCTCCACAGGCAAAAAAAAAACAAAAGAAGTTAAACTACTCCCCATCCCACATTTATAATATAACATCGCAAAGGTTTCATCACCACGCTGGTAAAGGAAAGGATGTTAAAGAAAAGATGTAAAAGAAAGGCAGGGAAGTTGGAAAACGAGAATGACCCAAATGCAAAAGAGTGTGCGTCCATAGTAAAAAAAGGAAGGACGCCATACTCTCACCAAACCCATGCAAAAACATCATCTACAAAAACAAACAATCCATCTACAACCTCACCCATCGCCATCTCCCCTTCTACTCACTTGAAATTATGAATCACAAATATAGCCACAACCCATTCCACCATAAACCAGCATACCAAATACCAGTCTAACCCCCCCAAGGCCCACCACGGAACATCTAACCCTCCATCCAAAGGATCAGCTTCCCACTCCCACCGCTTCCTTCCATACCTCAATTGCGTCATAATAATACACTCCTCATCATCCCTCTGGCATACCCCCGTTCTTCCCAAATTCTTCCATCGCGGGCCAAGAGGTCCGCTGACATAATGTGCTTCACCGAGTAATCCGTACTGTCGGGTATCATTAAACGGATAGAATTTATCGCCCCAGTGGCCGTCGAAGTAGAACCACGATATCGGGGCTTCCGGGTTATTTGCTGACGGTAGGAGAAGGTGGTTTGAGAGGTTGTAGTTGTACATTCTACTGTTGAGGGATAAATCCCACATGGGGCCGGTGTCGGTGTTGTCGGCGAGAAGACCGAAGGGGACGATGTATTCTTGTTTTCCGGCGGTGGCATAGTTGGCGTGTGTGCCCACTGCTGAATAGATTACAGGCTATACAATGAACATATTTAGTATTTCTCATTCATCAAGGTCTGGTCGGTTGGTATAACATACCCTCTTGCCCTTCTTTTCAAGTGCCTCCCAGACGTACGCATCTCCGCCCGTATGTTGACTCAAAAACATATACTTTGGCTCTCCATCTACAAATCGTACCATGCTATGCTCCCAATCGCCAACGTGATTTCCAAACCGCACGTTGAAAACCACGTTTCCGAGGTTATAGCTGTAGAAGTAGAACCAGAAGGCGTCGACAACACCATTGCCCTTGTCGACCCAGATTAAGGTGCCAGGAGCATCGCATTTGCCGGTCTTCAGGTCGGGGATGTTGAAGCGTGCGGAGAGCCAACCGGGGTGGGCTTCCGGGTCGTCTTTGCTGGTGAGGTAAAGATATGGGGCGTACTGGTTGAAGAGGGAGAGGTTGTCGAGTGTTACGTCTTCATGGACGTCGGTGAAGTTTAATTGGGGAATAGTTCGTCGAAGACTATTTCAGTCAGTCATTAGTATCGCCCAAATCCTTTGAAGGAGTAATAGAGAAAAACATACTGTAAATCGATATCACCGGGCCAGTACTCCTCCTTCGAATACAAATGTATCAAAGGCGCATACTCGAGTATATATTTTGGTACATCCCCACTATGCCCCCCCGCATCCTTCCTAAGCTGTTCCCTCTCATCCAGACGTCTTTTCTCTTCCTTATAATCGCCCCAATCGCCCCATTTCTCGTCCTGTCCTTCAAAACTCGAATCTGGCTTACCATCGCCGGTTCTGGTATCCCCGCTTCCGCTATTACTCTGCCGTACCAACCCAAGGCTATTATCTAATATCCCGTCTAATTCCGATTTCCGATTTTCCCAATTCGACTTTAAGGCCTTTTCTCTAACTTGAACGAACCGATGACCTTCGGGACTTATAGCATTATGCCATCTTCTCGATTCCGCTTTTCGTTTGGCAGGCGACCGGGCAGCCCAGAGGATATCATGGTATGCTGTTCCGAAACCTGCAAAGATTCCGCCGACGACGTAGGTGAAGAGAGTAGTGAAGATGGAATGGTTTTCGTAAAGGATTGTGCCGGCGGCAGCGGCGGCAAGAGTGAGGTTTGAGACGTCGGTGGAGTTGTGAAAGGATATCAGGGGGTCGGGAGTAGACGGAGGCACTGTGAATAACATATATTTTATTAGAATTTTTATTATTATTATTATAAAACTTGTGAAATATTGAAATGGTGATGGTGGTGGTGATATCAGTAGTAGTGGCGGCGGTGGTGAATTGGGGGAATTCATGTCAGGGCAAGCTTACTCTTCGGCAACAGCTAGCCGGACAAACACCCTGGCATAGAGAGCCTCTTTTTAAAAGATCCAAGTCCGAGTTAAAGGATCGATCGAGGGAAAGGAAAAAAGTGGATCGAGCAAACTGAATATTGTAAAAAAAAGAGAGGAACAAAAATATGAAAGAAGGCCTGAAAAATAAATAAAAATAAGGGACGACCTGGAGGATTTATAAGGATCCCATCACCTTCCGTTACGTCCGTCGAGTTTTCCGCACTTAGAATGTACACCCCAGAAACGTTATGAGAGAGGGAAAAGAGAGGGAAAAGTGAGAGAGAGAGGGTACTCGGCCAGCGAAGTTTGCGCGGTTGATCCGGAAGTGCCGCTGCAAGCAAAAGATGCTAGCCCCCCCGGACAAATAGAAGACAAAGACAAAGACAAAGGACCAGTTGCAGATGCAGTGGCTAACTCAACCAGGAAAACGGTTGTGCGCCGGGGTAAGCTAAAAAAGTGCAGTCCGCTTAGCTTAGCCTGGCTGCCACGCAAACCTTTGCGAATTCGAGGGACTCGACGGTTGAGAATGGGATGATGATTGAAGAGGAAGCTGACGAGGGTTTGAGTGTCGGAGTCCGAGGTTCCAGAGAGAAAGAGCGAATAGGTTGAATAGGTTGGATGGGATGAAAATGGAATGGAAGAATTGTAAGTCTAGTTTATACTCGTTCGCTCTTTTTATTAAGATGATGATGAAGATGTGGATGAGGATGCTGAGGATGAGGATGAGATTCCCTGATTTCTGGGATTATTGAAGATGACGAAGTCCCAAATATAGGCGGGTGGCCGGGGTCTTTTCGATAAATTAAAACGTATGTATAATATATTATAACCAATGCAATAGTATATATCTCTGCTTTCCGTTTTCGCGATGTATATATCTGTATATTATGTCTATAATGAACGAACCGGATCAGTTACTCGAGCATCGAGGAAGGTTGAATTCATGAAGTTGAGGAAGCACAAGCAGCGGGAGTGGCTGTCGAGGAATGGCAGGGTTTTGGTGTCTGTGTTGGGGGACAAGTCTGCCTTTAAAACCACCCCTGTGCCAGATCTTGAAAGTATACGTATTCAAGGCTTATATTTGTGTCTCTTCTCTGGTGCGCGGCAATTTGATTGCCATACTAATTCTAACCAACAATCAATTTAATTTAATTTAATTTTATCAAAAGGTTGTTCAGCTGTTCCATGTTGATGTATGTATATTTGTCTGCAGGTCCTCGTGTTCGGATCATTGGCGAGCGTCCAGAAAGCTTCAACTTCTTGCCGATGTATATTATATATTATATAAGTATTATACAAGAGGAATTCAGCATAAACTCCCCGCCGGCGTCGGTATCAAATTCTTTCCCCACTACCTAGCCAGTCTCATCTTCGTGGATTCAAGTGGACAGTACCGCTATAATATGCCATTTTATGCATTTACAGTCTTCTTACTTTCGATTCTTGATTATAAATATTAATCAAATGTCCTCCAATAGCCTTGCGCAGCTCGGTCTCCCTCCGTTTCTTATTGGTCTCTTTACTCTTTCTTTCTCTTTTCTTTTTTTCTTCTCCTCCTCGAAATTAATCTTTTTTTTTGTCAAAGTGCACACACACACTGCAGAATGGAAGAGGAAGTGTGTGTTTGTCAAGTTGGTCACGCCGCCGCTGCTGCCGGGGCCCTGCTTTTAATCCGGTGATACACCTGGACACCATCTGCATCTCTTGCATCTTTTGGAGATCATCTTTGCGGTACATGTACATGAGTACTTGGATATCAAGTAGGTACGGTACGACCGGATGGGAAGCTTAATACTGTTGAATCGGTAGCACAGAGCTCTACCAAAGAATTCGAATTCCGATAGCTGTAGTTCTAGCTCGATAGTTCATATAATGATATATGTACTTAAGTATATATCTATCGATATCTCTGAAGATTAACTATAATACTTCTGATTCGAAGTACGTATAAATATAAAAAGACTTATCATAAATATATTTAATATTCGAATAGCACATAGGTACTAATGGAAATACCTTTTTAAATGAGACTAGTAAACGTAAAAAGTAAGATTGTTCGGGAATCTTAGACACTAAAACGGCCGAATATATATCACCAGACCTCCCGAGCATGACCTCCTCAGATCAGCTTTAGCTCCCTACCGATAATGCAAAGTCGTGGAAGCGAGAATCCGGGGTGCCCTCTACTAGCTAGACGCTACTTGCAAGGCTACTCACAAACCTGCGTTTTTTATATATTTTTAATTTCGAAGACCATCTATTTCATCTTCCAATAAAATATACCTACAAATCATACATTGAATAGAAAAAAAACGGGACACCGCTATATACACACTTCCTCCCTTTCCCCCCCTTATAAAAATAAAAAAAGATAAAGATAAAGAGCTAATTATCATAAAGAGATAAACCTTTTTACAAATCAGGTCTTGTAGTCTCGGGTCCCCACATCGGACTCGTCAAGTTCGTCAGTCCCTTACTATTCTCACATGTCGCTCTACCGCTCAACGGTCCCGGTTTCGGTATTCCCTTGACTTCTGGAGGAACATCACCGGTGATAACGGTGGTGTTTATCGGTAGATCCTTGGTGGCTTGTGCGTAGCCCTTCAGGGCATCTAGTAGCTGTACTGTTGATTCTGGGGTTAGGTCTTCGTAGAAGTCGTCGTTGATTTGGACCATTGGTGCTGTTTATCAATATGTTAATATCATCCTCCAAGATCACTACATATGTATACATATATATATATATATATATATAGAGTGAGAGATGGAATACGAACCATTGACGCAAGCACCTAGACATTCCACCTCGCTGAAAGTAAAGATCCCATCTTCGGTACTATGTCCCGGCTTAATCCCCAAATGATCTCCGATGGCCTTCATGATCGAGTCGGAATTGCAAAGTTGGCACGGCGTGGTCGTGCAAACCTGTAGATGGAACTTGCCCACCGGGTTGCGGTTGTACATCGTATAGAAACTTGCGACCTCTATTTATATTTACCATATTAACACTCCTTCCCCCTCCTCCTCCATAATATAATGGGGGAAAAAAAAGGAATTATCATACCATAAACCCTCATCGGCGGCATCTCAAGTATTCTAGCGACCTCATTCATAACACTCAAGCTCGAAAACCCATGTTGTCGCTGACCCAGATCGAGAACAGGCATCACAGCTGCCTTCTTATACTGCGGAGGATATCGCTTCAGAATCTCCGCAATCAGCTTTTCGTTCTCCGGACTGAATTTAAATGGAATGTTCGCATGGTTGTCGGCTGTGTCGCGGTGCTGTTATAGATTATAAATATATACCATGTTAGCCATGTCTATATCGTATATTGGGTGGAAACCCCCTTCCTCCATCCATCCGATCTTCTACGAGTAGAAGGATCGAGAAGGAGAGGAATATAACGTACAACGGCCAATGCATGGCTACTCCGTGACGACGAGGACGGGGACAATGCTGCCGCCCTCATGATTGGAGTGGCGGTATGGGGTCGGACGGTTTGAGTAGCGGCTCTACAAGCGGCCGCCAGCCGTAGCGATACCGATCGAGCGGCCATTGTGAATTGTTATAGCAGGGATTACGAAGGTCTTGAAAAAGTCGAAAGAGGCAGGGGAGGTGGAAGACCCGGTGGAGGATGATATTGGGGGAGGCGGTTGGGTGAGCGGGTGGGTGTTCGAGGTTGTTGCGAGGTTTTGGTGTCTTTTGGTTTCAATTTTGTATGCGGTCATAGACTGTCCGCAGGGATTCTGGTATGCGAACCTCCCGTGGGACACACCATTCCTTTTGGAAAATACAATGATGAAGTTTTTAAATCTACACGACGATGGTTTATTTATTTATTGTCTATGAGGAATATAATATCCCAATTGACTCTCTTCGAAGTCATCTTCAGAACTTAGGTTGCTGTCTTTACCAGTTTGTTTTTCCCTCTTCTTGCGCCGAATAAGCGAGGCCTGATTGGCCAGATTTGGGTTTCAAACTATCAAACTTCTTCTTCTCTCCTCCCACCAAAGAAACTTAGTACTATACTCTTTCAACCCACCTTCACGAAAACAATATAAATCGATTCATTCTCAAGATACCTTCAAACTACTTCCAATATCATGCCCTCAAACTATCATCAAACTATAATCCAAATCATCAATAATGTCTACATCAAACATCCCGCCGGTTGAACGTCTTACCATCTCCTCCCGTTCACCACTTTCAAACCAAGATTTCCAACCAAAGGAACCGGTATTCGATGAGAATGAAGACACCGAGGTATATTTCATACTACTTAATCCCATATAACTAAAATATACATATGTATACTAATTTTATTTCTGTCAAGTCATTCTACGTAGTCCTCGACGTCTCCGGCGACGACTTCGCAGCATACGGTAAATACCGTGATGGTCGTAAATTCCGCCCTAGAATGGGTGACCAGTATTACGAAGATGACGCCTCAGGTTCCGAAAACGCCGGTGGCTCCGACTTCGAGGGCGATGATAATACCGCTGCTCGTAGAAATCAAGAAGATGAGAATTCAGATGCAGAAGCAGAGAATGATAATGACGACGATGGCGGTGGTGGCGGTGGCGGTGGTGGTAACGAAAGCGATGGATCTGGTTCTTCGAGTCTATCACATGTACCAGACGGTCCTAGGGATTTATCTTTACAAATTTTGGATTTGGATTCTAAGAATCCGTTGGTCAGCTATGAAGGGAAGATATATAGCTGTACCTGGAAGATTTCGAATGGTACGGAGATGATATTTGAAGCGCCGCCCGTAATTGATCCTTCAGTTGCAGACGAGGAAGGGAGGAAGTTACGGCAGAATCAGGAGTCGAGGTTATTGGCAACTACGGTTCATAGATTGGAGGGTTGGCCTGGGAAGTTGAAACCTAGAGGGAGAGATAAACAGGAGGTTTCGACGAAGGCTAGGATGTTTGCGGAAAGGCTGGATGCGGTCTTGGAACATCGGTTGAAAGAGGCGGCGAAGAATAAAGAGGATTTGTCGGGAATCACGATGAAGAAGTTTAGTGAGGGGCAGCAGCCGCCGTCGGGGCGGAGGGTTTGATAGATCTATCACGAACTCATATACCTAAGATATCATCTACGGAACAGTGGGATAATAGATGCCATGAAACTCTTAAATTCTCTAATATATATTCTAACGCCGTCTTTTGTTAAACCCTCTCATTGAACAGACGAACAAGGGTGGCCGCTTTATACACAAAATGAACTAGAAGGGAAACGGAGGACTAGTAATACAAAATAACTATCTGCCCCGGATCGAGCAAAGAACAACCTAATCGATAGGCGAATATAAATATCGAAACCGGAATATGCGTGTACTATAGCTCATCCTTTGGATTAACTCCAACCTTCTGTCTCCACTTCTCAAATATAGCTTCGATATCCTTCCTCATCCCGCTCTGCATCTGATCGGGTAGAATGACGGTATACTCCACAAGTAAATCACCATGTCCATCCTCTTGCCAAACAGGCATACCTTCGCCCTTGATAACATCCACATGGCCCGGTTGAATAACCTGTCCCTTCTTCCTGCCAAGTTTAACCTCGTGACCATCCAAATGCGTAAGATTCCTACTCCAATCGCCCAACAAAGCTTCTCTTAAGCTCAAGACCTCCTTGTGAACCAAATCTTTTCCGCGCCGTCTGAACCACCATCCATCGAGATTCTCTGTGTTAGGCGAATCAACCGGGCTCCGCTCGTCAAGTTGAACGATAAGATCCCCAGCGACCCAATCGGGACTTTCATCGGCCTCGTTTTCAAAGCTAACCCTCATACCGTTGGGCACACCCTTATCGACCTCCAACCAATGCGTGACGGGCTTCTTAACCACCCGAGCGCCACGGCATACAGGACAAGGACTTGTGATCTTACTACCCTTACCCTGACATTTATCACAAACCGCCTGCATCTGTTGAAATATCCCAGGAGCAAGCATTTGTTTAATAATCCTCACACCACGTCCATTACACTGATCACACTTCTCGGTATGTCCGTCACTAGATCCAGAACCCTCACATTCTTCACAAATCTGTTGTTTCTCGACTGCGAATTCCACACGGTTTCCGTTGTAGAAGTCCTTGAGGGGTACGGAGACTTTAACTTCCATGTTATGACCACGACGTTGTCCGTGGCCGTGGCCGGCATGGCCACCGCCGCCGAAGAATCGGGAGAATAGATCGAAGGGGTCGTGGTGTCCGCCGCCTTGGCCGCCGCCTTGTTGGTGTTGCTTGTAGCCGTCGTAACCGTATTTGTCGTAGACTCGGCGGGATTCTTCATTTGAAAGAGCTTCGTAGGCTTCCGCTACATCGATAAATTTTTGATGGGCTTCTTCGTTTTCACTATTTGTTTTTTTTAAATAGTATGTTAGAATAGGGTTATTAAGCTTTGAAGAAATTGGGGGAGTTTGGAGAGGTTTGAAGCGTACGGGTTCTTGTCTGGATGGTATTTCTTTGATAGCTGCTTATAGGCCTTTTTGAGTTCTCTGTCTGTAGCTTTCTTGTCGACTCCTAGGACCTGTAATCGATGGAATAGAAACGGTTAGTATTAAAATACCATTGCGATATAGTAATGTGGGGAGGAAAGGATTAACCTTATAGAAATCCGGTGCAGCAAGAGCTAGCAGCGGTAATAAGAACAGAAGTAGCTGTAAGAACAGCATCTTGGAAGAAAAGAAAGAAGAAAAAAAGGAAAGAAAGAAAAGAAAAAAAAGGTAAAAGCCCACAGAGGGCGTGCGACTTGTGGAATGTAGTAGATCTGACTCCTCGAAGCTTTTAGATGTTATGCGAACCCGATAATTATATCGACGATTATAAAAAAAAAAGTTCCCGAAGGAATCTCTAAAAGTCAATTGCGCCGGAACTACCACCGTCGGCTACAAGAGAAAAAGCGAAAAATGAGAATTAATTAAAGAATTAAAAAGGAAAACGTCTTTCTTTCTTTGCTAGTTAAGAGAGCTATGGTAGTATAGCACCCGAGGGATAATGGAGGTGTGGATTATGGAAGGGAAAGAGAGAGAAAGAGATGAGATGGGAAGGAACATGCAGCGTGTCCAGAACACAGATCTTTTGATATCGCGAGAGAGAGCCGCAGTGCTAAACTTGATAGATAACACGTTGACAGTTACACCGGACACCTGTTGTGTTGTGCCCTGTGTTGTGGCCCCTGCTACCTCGACCAACACTTCCATTTTTATCTTTATCTTGTTTTCTCTTTCTTTTCCCCGACTGAGCATGGTGACGAGACAAACTGAGCACAGATGGAATTAATGCAATGGAGACAGTTGGGATAAGGTTATACACAGACCAGGGAGGGGGGTTATCGAGACCAGCCTCCCGAATAGGCCTGAAATCAAGGAATGATTCAGGCCACTCATCGATGAGTCGCAAAAAAAACGCCAGGCCAGCAGCGTTTCGCAGGAATTTGAAATGAAATGGCTGGAAACGGAAACACGAAAAGGATTCAAATCAGGTGAACTCGTGTTCGTTGTCGTCAATCGAGTCATCGTTGAGTCACCGGCACCCCGTTAAATTCTAAACCCTGGCTTGACTTTCCTCAAAAAGTGCTGGGGTGAGTGACGTTCGCGTTTGGACGGCGCGGCGGTCTTCTTGAAATTGAATTCGTTCGTGCGGCTTGGAAAAACTGCGCTTTTGCTCACTTTCGCTGAATGGGAATCGGATAATCCGAAGGAGCTTAAATCCCCATCTTTCCCCGTCGCACTTTTTTCTGGTTTTACTTTATTCTCCAGCGGGCACAAGTAGAAAAAATCATATTCCTTTCTTCTCTCTCTAGAATTTCGTCTTAGAATTAGATCAATTGTCCAGTTTTCGGGTTCAGAAATCTCCTTTCTTTCTTTCTCACTGCGAGCTTGCTACAGCTGCTGCGCGTCAGCTTCTCGTACGACTCTTGATAATTACCACACTTCCAACACACTTTCTACGGCATCCCACTATCCACATCGATAGCATCATGGCTCCGCTAGATAATCTCATTTTCGCCCTCAGTGGCAGCTTTGAGGGTTACACTAAGAGTATGTGATCCAATTGGCTTCTATAAAATACAGTTCTTCTCGATTCTAATTTTTTTAATTCTACTTTCCAGAGGACGTCGAAAGCCTCATCGCCAACAATGGTGGTGTTGTCAAATCCACAGTTACCAAAGCCGTCACCCACCTTATCACAACCACAGAGGATTACCTGAAAAATACTACAAAAGGTACCGGCTTCCCATGTTGATAGATAAAAAGAAAGAAAAGGATCAATTACTCATGCTTTATGATTATCATCATCATTATAGTTGGCAATGCATCTGCAAACGGAATCCCCATCGTCACTATCTCTTGGTATGTCTTTTTAGTCTTTCAAAAAACTCAATTGTTGTTTCAATTGTTATTAACAATAACAAAATAGGCTCGAGGATTCGGTCAAAAAGGGAAAGAAACAAGCCGAAAGCAAATACGACCCATCGAAAGTAACGAAGGCTTCTACATCTAAGGCCTCGACATCAAAGGCTGCTGCTGCTGTGGCACCCAAGGCTACTGGGACTAGAGCACCCTCTGCCCGAGCTGCTGCTGCTGCTGCTTCGCAGGCCTCTCAAACCTCTGCACCAGCTTCGCAGACTACCACCATCAGCGGCAAGAAGCGTGGTCGTAAAGCCGCTGATGATGATGAAGAGGAAGAAGAGGATGCAAAGCCAGCTAAAGGTAAAGGGAAAGCCAAAGCTGCTGATACCAAAACAAAGGCTAAGGCTCCTGCCGCCAAGAAGAGAAAGGCAAAGAAGGAGGAGTCCGAGGACGAAGAGATGGATGAGGAGTCCGAGGAGGAAGATGAGGAAGAAGAAGATACAAAGCCAGTTGAGGATGATGAGGAAGCTGCCGAGCGTGAGCGTCAGAAGGGGTATAAGGCTCCCGTTGACGAACTGTGTAAGTTTCCCCTCTATACTTGAGTACCATATAGACTTCTAAAACTAACTTCCTCCGTAGGCAGCTTAAGACACTCCGGATACCAGGTTTACGAAGACTCAGATCACATCAAATACGATGCTTCCCTCAATCAAACCAACATTGGCAATAACAACAATAAATTCTACGTCCTTCAACTGCTCAACAAGGGGAGCTCATATGCAGTTTGGACCCGCTGGGGCCGTGTCGGAGAAAGTGGACAAAACAAGCTTATGTCAGGTTACGGCCTTGACGGTGCCCTGAAAGAGTTCAACAAGAAGTTCAAGGACAAGACCGGCGTCAACTGGGACGATCGTCTTAATGCCGATAGGGCTAATAAGTACACGTACCTTGAAAAGGACTACGCACCACCAGAAGAAGAGACGAAGAAGGTCAAGAAAGAGAAAGACACCGAAGTCATCGAGTCCAAACTTCCAATGCAGACCCAAATCATTGCGAATCTCATCTTTAACAAAGATTTCATTCAGCAAAGTATGGCTGAACTCAACTACGACGCCAAGAAACTTCCACTCGGCCGTCTTAACAAGAATACTATCGCCAGAGGTTACGCCCAATTGAAGGCTATCGGTGAAGCCCTTAATGCCGGCACATCCAACCGATCCATCTTCGAACAGCTCACGAACTCTTACTACTCCACAATCCCCCACTCTTTCGGCCGTGACCGCCCAACTATCATCAACAGCGATCGTCTTCTCAAAGCCGAAATTGATCTTGTCCAATCCCTCGGTGACATGGCTATCGCTGAAAAGATCATGAAGGACGTCGAATACGCCGAAGACGAACAAGGCAACCGTATCCACCCACTCGACAAACAATTCGCCTCCCTCGGCCTCCTCGAAACAACTCCATTGGAAGAGGACACCAAGGAATACCAATACCTCCGCGATTACTTCCACAAAACCCACGGTCAAACCCACTACCACATCCGCGCCAAGGTCGTCCACATCTTCCGTATCGAACGTAAAGACGAAAGGGACACCTACGCAAAGGAGAGCTACGACAACTATAAATCAGACAACCGTCGTCTCCTATGGCATGGTTCCCGAGCTACAAATTTTGCTGGTATCTTATCCCAAGGTCTTCGTATCGCTCCTCCGGAAGCTCCTGTCAACGGTTACATGTTCGGAAAGGGTGTTTACCTCGCCGATATCTCTACCAAATCAGCGGGATACTGTGTTCCTTCTATTTCTGGCCATATGGGTCTCATGTTGCTCTGCGAGGCGCAATTGGGTGACCCGATGTACGAATTGACGAATTCGGATTACCATGCTGCTGAAAACTCGAAGGCGGCAGGGTGTATGTCGACTTTCGGTATGGGTAAGACGGCACCAAAGAAATGGATGGATGCTGGTGAGGTCCACGAGGATATGAAGGGTATTCAGATGCCGAATCCGGATGATAAGACAGGGGATTCGAACGTTAAGGGCGCTTATTTGCAGTATAATGAGGTATGTTCCGCTATTTTCCGTTTAGGATCCAAAATCAAGAGAACTGTAACTAATTCAAATATTTACTTTAACAGTACATTTGCTACTCGACTGCACAAATCAAGTTGAGATACTTGTTCTATGTCGACTTCCATTGATCCACTCGTAGCTGAATTTCTGGTTGTCTTTCTTTTTGTTTCCCTTATCAATTTGCTGATAAAAGCTTTAAATGTGGTTGCATGATGGCGGGTTCAACTGGTTTGAAAACTTTGTTCTTTTTTGTTAGATAGCTAGGGATGTTTTATGTGATTTAATACATTATCATGATGAAATTCTATACGAACCGTGCGGATTTTGGGTGTAGGCAATTCTAGTGAACTATTCCTATCATTATTGATATCGATATTGGGCAGAAGGCCTTCCTCGGCATTTGATCAATCATCTGGTATTTTGCTTGCGAGTTTTCACGGTTTTTAGAGACTCAAAACGTGCAGATTATAAAATCTAAATTGATATATCGATACATGCAAGTATAACGCAATGAATAAACGAACACAAATTCAAAAGAACATTGCAAAAGATTCTATAATATTAATCGTACACCCCCCATATCATTATCATCCCGCTCTCAAATTCTTCACCAAGATCATATGCATATCAAATGCTTAGACCTTAGACAACCCAAATTGCCTGATATACTTCTCATCCAAACAGACCTTTCCAGTGCACTCCTCAGGTCCCAATCCCTTAGGACAAGTATTAGTAACACAGAAGCTCTGGCTGGGAGATCCAGGGAAATTGCAGTCCGCATCAGACTGACAATTCCTCGAGAATCCCCATGACAAACAAACTCCCATCCCATCATTAAGCGCATCCTCACCGGCGCAGAGCTCCAAATTCGATGGGTTCTCGAAACACTTCTTTCCGGATTTCCCACCGCATCGGTTGACACCTTCGCTGCGAATGCCGACGATGTCGGTAACAGCCTTTTCGACGCAGAAGCCGCAGTAGGCTACGTCCATGGGGCATTGGAGGGTGTTGGCGCGTGGGATACATTTGTAGGATTTGTCCTTGGGACAGGTGGTGTTTGGGTCGGCGGGGGTGGAACCGCATTTGATGGCATTCTTCATGCAGACACCCTTCGGGTCGTCCTTGAAGCCGAATTCACCGACGCAGGTTTCGCCGGTGGCGCAGGTGAGGCCGGAGCCGGCACCGCAGCGTTTTTGGGTTTGCTAAAGTGGGTATGTGTGTTAGATTATTGTCTTTGTATGTATTTATGGTGAAGAAGAAGAACTTACGCGCTTGGCGATAGCACCTTGTGGTGCGGCGGCGGCGGCAGCAGCGAAGATGGCGAGGATGAGAGTGGCCTTCATTTTTGCGGTTTGGGATTATTTGTTTGATAGTAAAGTTGAAAGGTTTGTAGAATTAAATTTTATACGATCCGGTCGTTTTTTTTTGAAGAGATTGTAGAATAGTAAAGATCTAAAAGCGTATGCTTTTTATAATTTGTAATAAGATTATAAAGAATTGAAGAACTTTGTTGTTTTTGTACTGTGTGGAATGCTGTAGGACTGTTGATTGAATTGAATGATTGTATGATATGGATTCGAGATAATCGTCGGGAATCGTGGTCTTTTTATATTTTGAAATGACAGCGCAAGAGAATCTCTTGTCGTCCCTTTTTTGTTGAGAGTACAATGTAAATGGAAGCAGTTCCTCTTTCCATAATCCATGACTTGATCGATCATGATCTTGTCCCTGCAGTTCTGCCCTGACAGCTGTGGATGTCCCTTGTTACATTCTGTACATGCATCCAGAGGTCTCACGAGAATAACAAAACAAAAAAGGAAACATATCCCAGCAGAAAGGATGAAAGAAAATGTTCCAGTTCGCTTCAAAAGCTCTGCAAGCTTCATGCACGTATGTCAAGCAAGCAACGGGGTACTTACATGTATAATAGTCCGCAAATAGTAATAACAATGAAAAGGGTATACTATGCGGGGTTTAAGACAAAAAATAAGAAAAGAAGTGTGAGAGAAAACTCCACATGCCATCGACGGCATGGAACTTCTAGAATCAGATCGGTTACACAAAGATATGACACCTGATAAAAAAAATAAAAAAAAGTTGTGGCAATGCAGGGAAAAAAAGCATGGTTCCGTTTACGGTAGGTATGTATGTATGGAACCAAAGAGACGGATGTTTACGGTCCATTCCGGAGCATGTTAGCGGCGGTGGTGTGCGTGCGTGTGCGTGGTTCCATGTTTGGGGGTACATATGGGTGCTGGAGATTGAAACATTTCATGCTCAACTGCATGATAGAATTTGGGGAAAGGGCTACCGATTGGTATATGAGGAATCGGGTATCGATACCGTCTGTGATATTTGTTTAATATCCTGGATTAATTAATCATTGTCTGATAGAAATCCTATAGTGAATTATATTGCTATGCGCCCTGAAGGCATGATATCATTACGATTGAATCGATCAAAGCTATGAGCTCGTCTCATGGCTGTAATCAAAGATCATAAGAAGAGAAAAAAAAAATATCAAAACCTTCACCTCGGTTTAACGTTATGACACGTGGTGACTAAATTTAACTATTTCTTCTTCTCATTAATCAATCGGGCTCGATCGAGGTTCTAGAAGCATACAGTGTCCGCATAGAAGCGGCTATTTGGTCTTGTGCATTGAACTGCCAAGTTCTTATCACCACCTCCACTGTCAATGTTACATATCCGAGAAGAGAAAGAAAGAAAGGAAAGAAACTATGAATGCCTTGGGACCCGTTCCAGGGTACTTTCTTCCCAAACTTGCGGCAAGGTCAGGAAGAACCCTGTGGCGTTCAAGAACCTCTGCACTGGGATGTGGGATTTGGAAGGAAGGAAGGAATGGTTTGGTGTTGGCATGTGGCTTTTTTTTCAGACTGGGCGTTGGGTATGCAAAGAAATGCAGGGGTTGTTAGAGGTGGTGGATCTGTAACCTGAGGGAAGGCCTGGCTGATACTGGGGGAGTATATCGTATGATATCTAAAATTTGCATGAACTTCCACTTTTGAAGCTCTGTGGGAGATATTCTGAAGGTGGAACTGGTGAGTATCATGATCATGATCAGTGAGTGCTTGCGAATTGAATATTGAGTATTCGGGTTTCTAGCTTTTCCCTTGCAGAAGCCACAAGCTTCATCTTTCAACAGTTCTGACACCACATATGCACATACAACTTGACACGCAAATTAAACAGCAGAAAAGAAATATATCTTGAATTCAGTATATACTATCCGTCCAGATCCTGACTTCATGAAGAAAAGAAGAAGAAAAAATTGCGATTAAGACTTCATGCTGAAGACTTACATTCATATATTTAGAAACCTCAGTAAGTGTCAATGTCTGAGAATTCAAACTCAACCGACATGCGCATGCTTTCAAGAACTATCTAAGAAAAAGATTAATTTAATTTCCGTTCAAAACTCGAGCTTTTAACTCGTCACGATTGATTTTTAAATACACGGAAGCACCCAATGCAAGTCAGGACTCAATTAGAGTTTTTTTTGTTCGGTTTAAAATTCCCCAGGAATTTTCGGTTCCCAGGCGGTTATATTATATAATGTAATACTTGGAAACATCAGTGCGCGACGTTTCGCCACCAGCGGGCTGGCCATGAAGAGGTCCGTCCGCTTCTAGTAATTCTTGGATCTGCCTTTGGGTTTGACTCCTCGAGCGGGCTGAAGGTATGTATGTTCATCTTGATTCGTGGAACTAGCTAAGCTAACGTTTTCTCAAGCCTGAGAATTCGAACTTGAGAGGCAACCGCAGCATCTTCTTTACAGGCCATTACCATTATAAGCGTCGACTTTGAATATTACTTTGGGGATATATATCGAGAGGGCTCGAAGGATGATGGATGAATACCAGCAAACTTTCGAACTGACTCGTAATAAAAAATAAAATAAAAAATTATTAAAACATCGTCTCCACGCCGGCTTTGTGATCGGATGATATCGCTCGCTCGCTAGCAGGGATATGACACGGTAAAAGTCACGCCCCTGAAGGGCACGCAGGTCCACAGTTCAAGCGACAACCAAGCTTCAATGATACCAAGGGAAGAAGTGCCGAAAAGTCCTGACAGGGAGGAATAGCTGAGGGAGAGAGAGAGAAAAAAAAACCAGATGGATGGAGTTCTTTCGTAAACCCAGTACATACATACACACTTACTTACTTGCCTCTCGCACTTTTGTAACCATCCTGTTCCTCGTATACATTATACATACCTACCTGCTCTTTCTTAACCTATCGATCGATATCAGACGACCGGTAAATAATAATAAAATAATGACAGTCACCAGCATACCCCACCTCCCCGATTTTAAACTCCTCCCGTATAAACTGCCCCAAACCACCACAGGAACCCCGCCTTCTTCGGATTCGGATTCAAATTCGAATTCGTCTACACCGCCAATCAAAATCCTCAGAACCTCATCATGGACTTACTGCGGTCCCCTCCTCGACTTCCCCGTCTCGAAGGATGGTGAAGCTGACGATAGTTCCTTACCACCTTCATACCATACCTGGCACCGCGCAACCATCCGCGGCGAACCATTGATAAACCTCCTAAAACCATTCCTCCTCTTCGCGCACGAGTTTATAAAATCCAATGGTTTGAAGCACTACTGGATCACCATCCGCGCTTCGCTGCCTACAAACGACTTTAATACCCCAAGATGGCATGTCGACGACGATTTCTTCGATCGCGGTAGCGCAGCAAATTTAAATAATAGTAATAGTAATCACCACGTACCGCATACGACGACCTCGTATAATTATAATAACAGCAACAGTAACCCCAAGATAAACCGCACGCAATGGAAACTAGCGACTACACTATTAGGACCCGGCACGATGTTCGCAACCAACACGACTTCCGCCCGACAAACCCTCAAAGCCGTAAAACAAGCGGTTAAAACTTCCTCGCCGTCGCATACTTGCACGTCGGTCATTTGCCTCGGTTGTGCTAATTTAGCCGAGTGTGTTCGAAAGGCTTTGGCGGATGAGTTGAAGCACGTGGAAGTCGTGCAGTCGAAGGATGGGGAGTGCTGTTTTTTCAAGGTCGGGGATGGGATTGGAGCGGTTCATTCGGAGCCTAGGATGGATGGTGGGGAAAGAGTTTTTGTGAACATTGTCCCTGGGAGGGAAGAGGAGTTGAGGGAAGTCATGGGGAAGTGGGGGATGGAGGAGTGGCCGAGGGCTTGGTGTTTGGGAGTACCTGGAGGCTTTTGGGAGGAAGAAGGGTAATACGCAATATATTTCCCTGGGGGGGTATGTTAGTGATGTAGGATATGGTGATATAGGAGCGCGGGCGCGGATTTGCAATGTTGAATTCGAGGAGTTAAGGGGGGTAATTCGGGTTCAGAGTTATAGTATGCCTTCTGTATATTGGGCAATGGGTGTATCTAAGTAATTAACGGAGGCCATCTTTTTGTACATCTTCAATTCATCATTTTGATCAAATACAATGGTATCAGCAACTGTACATGCGACGCACGTGCACACCCCCTCTGCATGCCCTCCCACGAGATCTTCGCTGTTGAGTTCATGTTCAGACGACTGTTCCACGAAGCCCCCCAATCCAGCAAAACAACGCAAAAAATACAACATTCTCACAATCCGAGTATCCGTTCAAAACCAGTAGGAGATCTTCTAGAATTATCTACATCATCGAACTCAATAAACTCTCTCTCGCGGGGTTCCTGGCGTTACTCCACTGTCACAATCTACTTAAGCCTTGTAAGGCGTGTGCCCAAAATGTTACTAGCTACAGCGACTTTATTTTATCTACCAAAAATTTTTAAGACTTCATGTCGGGACGAAGGTCCTGTATCAATCTAAACCCCAAAGCCTTGGATATTCGAATCAATAATCCATTTTTATACATATAGAATTCAAACCACCAAGATGAAGCTACTCATATCCTGTTCTTTATTATTCTTAATATACTTGATAAGTCTTTCAATCGCCGAAGAAATTCAATTTTCAAGAGTAAAACGATACAAGCCTGACATCGGCGACGAACTTATCGAGACCGATCCACCACTTACATCCACCGTCATCTTCGACGATGTTGATACCTCACATACAGCCCCCGCCGACAAAGGCGGCTCCAAAACATCTCTAGAATTATTCATAGAACCCACAGACTCAGTATCCAAATCCACTGAATCCCCACCTTCCGAAACCCTAAAACCAACAAAACCCGACGCTTCAAATTCAAATACAGACGACTCTCCGCCACCTCTTACAGATTCTGACTCCGATTATAATAATTCTACCTCCAATTCAAACAGCACCTCCAAAAAACCAACCGGAAAGCCCAAACCTTCCTCCTCTTCCTCCGCACCACCAGAAGACGTCGTCGAAGAACAACCACCAGAAACAACCACCGCCTTCTTCCAAAAACTCGTAAAAGTCCACATAAACCCCACCCAAGCCCCAAACTACCCCACAAAACCCACAAACTACCCACCATTCGCAGACTACGAACAGGGTATAGTCTACGTCAAGGGTATCCCCCACCAAATCCTCGCCGCGGATACGAATTACAATCGTCTAAAGCAGGCAGAGGACGGTATAGGCTGGGAGGAAGCGGATAAGAAGGATGATAAACAGAAACAGGAGGAGTTAGAACAGGAGTTAGAGCATCAGGATAGATTGGTTGCTGGGGGAGCTGGGGGCGATGGTCATGTGGTTTATAGTGCTGATGTGACGAGTGGGGAGGAGAATGCGGTTAAGAAGGCTGTGTTTTTTAGTGTTATTGCGGCGGGGATAATTACAATTGGATTGTTGGCTTTCTTTGGGGTGTTTTAATTGCAGGAATTTAAAGTGGCGGGTTTTGTTATAAAGAGGCAGATGGGCTACGAACATGGGAGACAACTGTTGGTAGGGATGTATGCATCCCACTGTGGTTATTTCGAATTCATAGATTGAATAAGTAGATTGTACACCCAACGTCTAGCGTTTAATTCACGGTATGTGCATGGTATAAAAGATATATACATCTAGGATCATTGCTATTGAGAAAATATACAACTATACATCACCATGTTGGCCTATGTCTCCCGTCTCCTTATATTCAGAGGCTGCTATTTTTTTATAGACATTGGGAGTAGTATCTGTTGTAAATTGATGTTAGTGACTATCCTGAAAAGTTTACAAATGTAACTCTTAAGCACTTACGGGTTCAGGGCCTGGCATGTGGATCCGTCTACACAGGCTGTGGGGCCGGTCCATCCAACACCTCCGCACTATGGGAAAATACTGTTAGTTCATATCTATCTTCATTATTGTTCTCAAAACAGAAAGACGAACCTGTCCCCATTTTTGCTGTGCCGGTTGGGCAGCAGTAGTTGTCGTCCTAACTGGAGTAGTGCTAGGCGTGGTCTGGACGATCGGCGTAGTCGTGGTTGTAGTCGGTCTTACGGAAGAAGTCGTAGTCGTAATTCTTGGAGTCGTAGTACTCGAAGTCGTTGTTCTAATAGTCGTCGTTTGAGCGGCCGTAGTCGTAGTCGTGGTCGGAGTAGGACCCAACCCGCTCAACCACTGTACGCAGACTGGTCCGTTTGGTGAAGACCAGGTTGCAACTGGGGTATCTGGCCAAAGACCTGTAGTGGCATCACGACGGAAGAAGGCGATTCTATTTGTGTTTGCAAGTGCCACGGCGACGTATTGGCCTGAAGGGTCGAGAGAGAAATGGCGAGGGGTGGATCCACCGGCTCTGAGGAGCTGGAGGAATTGGAGAGTACCGTCTGAGTTAATCTTCCAAGCGGAGATAGAGTCTTGGCCTGGGTTTCCAGAGAAGGAGACGTCTCCACGGTTGGAAACGTAGGCGAATTTCTTATCAGGCTGTGGATCCAGAGAGTAGAATATTAATATTTGAATGATATAAATTTATATTGATAGAATGAAGAACTTATAAACTTACCGAAATTTGAATTTCACCTGCAGTTGGCTGCGGGTTCTTTGCGGGGACTGTAGCGGTTCCGTAGCTGCTGACTTGTTGGAATGAAGTCAAGCTGATCCCACCTGATGGATAGGTAACCTTGTAGGCAGTAACCATATTTCCCATCTCGCCGACGAGGTAGTATACCATTCCAGCATCGGTATCTACGAAAATACCGTGTCGTGGACCAGAACCACCGGGTGTCTTGATAGTAGTATACTCGGTAATACTGGCACCGTTAACAGAGTAGATGCGGATTAAATCTGCACCAAGGTCATTTGCGAACAAGAATTTGCCGGTTGGGTCGAAGATGACCTGGTGAGGATGAGAGCCGTCTTGCCTGTTTGCAACAGGTCCTGTAGGAGTGTTATATGTGAACTGCTGGGAGACACTGGATAGGACGCCACTGCTGCTAAGTGGGTATACGGCGACACCGTGCCCGTTACTAGATAATTTTGTTAGTCAGTTCCTAGTGACAAAATACGAAAACTGGTTCCTTTATTAAACATACTATGCAGCTGCGGCGACGAAGTTTCCTGCTGGGGATACCGAAGCATGCAATAACCCATTCAATCCATTCTGGCTGCTAATTTTCGATAATTGTCCGGTGCTTCCAATGCTATAGGATACAACGGATCCTTGACCGTTCCACGGTCCTTCATTTGTCGAGATCAGGAACGAAGAACCGACCAGAGTTTGCCATGTTGGTGCGGGCGTAGCATTCGAATCCGTCGAGATCTGATTGACGCTGGTGCCATCGAAATCGATTGTTACAAGTGGACCTGATGTAGTACCGACATATAGTCTAACGCCCAGCGCTTGAGGAAGAGATGCGAGCACTGCGGCCGCAATTTTTGTCGAAAACCTCATCTTGTAGACAAAGAATGTATGTATAAAATAGAAACTATAGGTATAGTCCACCTAAACAATAGATCGATCTACGACTTCGTCTGCCAAGCTATGCATGCAGCTTTTCAACCCCGCGAGAGGCGTTCTCCTTGGGGGTTTTATATTCCATCCCATCTTCTGAACCCCAATACCGATCTACGAAACCGTTTCTGGATCCGCTGCTACCTAGAGCTCTTGGGATGAATTGCTCTGTATCCGGGCAATTTCCATTTTACCATTTTACCCGGACCCCTTGTCTGCATGTTCGGAAGGCTCTTTAAAAATTCAAGTTACTTTTAGATTGAGGCTAGGGAATAATAGCCGCTTGGGTCGCGTTTCCGAAGCTTGTTTCTGATGCTTTGGACCGGAGATTTCGGGAAGCAGGTTGTGTTTTAGAATGGGGAAAGTTAGTATTGTGTTATGGGGTCTGCCTTGCGAAGCTTGTATTTGCGACAACAGCGGGTGCGAGCCCCGCAAAGTCCGTAGAGATGACATTTTTGGTTAGACGCTAAGAAGTTAAATCTGCTCACGTGGATGCTTAGTACACAGTTTCGTAATATTGTAGAAATCTGTAAGAAATATATTTTGTAATTGACGTTATTTTGTATACTAGAGTCTTTAAATTTAAAGAGTATGAGGTGGGCCAGCTGCCACCAAGTATTGTAGCGTATACATGTAGTTACATTGAGAGTAATTCGTAACACCATAGCGTTTCAATATAGGAGTATATAGCTTGTACTCAATTAAAAATCGATCCATCATGAGTTTTTCGAACTTTCGAGAATCGCGATCGATCAAAGCTAAGGTTGTATATGTATTAAATCGAGGAAGGTTGCCGGTTGAAGGGACCGGACAACACACAAATTCCAACATTTGGGTCGCAGATGTGCAAATCGGGATTCGAGAGTCGATTTTGTTCGAAGGACTATAGGCAGTAATCCCTATTGGTTGAACACTCTAACCGTTAGGGCATACTAGTACATATACTTAATAAGTATTTAATATGTCTTCGTGACAACGATTGCGCAATACTAGTTTAAGCCCTATACAACACTCCTTCGCTACAACTTCTAAATATGTACATTCAAAATTAGACATTAGCACTATTGATTTAGCCGCGAGCTTTTTGGTATGTCAGGCTCTATAGGTTTTGGAAATTTGCTACCGCTATCCGATATAATAATATAATCCACCTCTATGGTCAGAAATTAGTCTGATTGTAAGATCTTAGGACGGGTGCGGGGGAAATACAATTCACTTAGCCTCAGCTACAGGCTCTTTGGTTGTATGCCACCTGAAGGTTCCCAGATACTTGTTTCCTGAGCTTGTGATTACGGCTAAGGATTTTGCTAGTGATGTCAGTATCTCGAGCTTGTGTGATTGGGTCTTATTGATATTAATAGGGTCCCCTCGGTTGCTAGATGCTCAATTAGATACCCACTTCGGCATATATGGCAAATACATGATAAATCTATAACACTGCATTGTGGACTAAGTAGCTTTGGATCTTGTCGGAAAGTTCCAACAGCGACGTTGAGCTAGTTAAGTTGCTAGCCTGTCGGTGTAAAACAGGCGCTAGCTACGAGGCCCTAGAAAAAACAACCTTAAGGCCTCAGCCTTCCCATGCGACGCCTTACAAGGAAAACTATAAGGAGTCCAATTAGAAGGCTTATACATCGACATTTAGATTGAGATCTGGCCCCTTATGCCTTAGAAGTATTTAATTAATGGGCTTCGCAGAACCAGATGTATATATATCCAACACACGTTTCATGCATGTTCTGATCAGCTTAACGACCGATGAGCCTGCGCCTAGCTTTGATCCATTTATTTTTATTTGGTTTTAGTGTAGAGAGTAGAGCAGAGGGAGGGAGAAATTTCAGATCACAAGCTGGGAGAATATCCTTCGAGAAATAAAAACTCGTCACGAGGGACGAGTACTCGAGTGCAGGTTTTTGTCTTTCGACTTGATTTGTAAACTTGATACGTCGCGTTGCATTCTGAAGACCCATGTGCATACCTACTTAGGTACTATACTGAGCTCAAGCTCAAGACGGGACGAATTATCCATGCATAGTGTAGTTACATTTCCGGTTACAACCCTACCGCGGAAGATCTATATCTATTTACATATAAGTAAGTAAGTATGTATGTATGAATGTTCAAAGCCACAGTGTATACGTGTATACGTATTGTATATCGGGTACCAGGTGCGGTGCTGGAACAAATTGCCAAATACGCTCGTGCCCAGGAACTGACCCGTTGCATTGAGGTGCATCTAGCATTCTAACCCCCAAACGTTGCAAATCCTGCTAAACCAGGATACTATTTTCGAAATTTTTTTCTTGAATGTTACATTGGAATTGCAATTCGGTATTAATTAATACGATAGATGTGAACAGCGGATGCAATACCGTTGTGGTTTTGATGTACTCAATTGTTGCAGAATGCGAACTGCCAGTCCCGTTCGGCCTCTAACGTTATAACATCATCATCATCATCATCATCATCATCATCACCATTGCTTAACAATCGAGTACAATCTATATTAATAGAAGTAACTTACTTACTTAAAAGTATATAAGAAAGTCAGTAATAGGTCCTGCAAGGCCGGGGCTCCACAGCTGCAAGGGCTTGGCGGCCGGGAGCACCGCAGCCGACGTTAACATCGAAGCAGGCAAGCTCGCCTTCAAGCGTCAGACATACCATGGCATCCCATCCCATCCCATTCCACTTCAAGAACCTCCCCCACGATGTACATGTACATGTATATGTACATATACAGACACCTATTGGGTTGACTAACTGGCCAAGTAAGAGTGATAATTAATAGTGATAGTAAGAGTAAGAAAAGTGTGTACTTATGCCCGTTCGTTCGTTCGTTCGTTCTTACCCTCAGCATCCATCCAGATCCATCCCACTTCACCGGACTTAAAATTAAGTAATTTGGTTAAAGGAGAACACACAACCCACTTCGCTCAACTGCGGTCAACTTCAGTTTAACTTCATCATTTTGCGTACGTACTGACCAGGTACTTACTTAAGCACTTACTGGCTTACATACCTTCCACCTCACCTCATCTCATCTCATCTCAAACCAATTTCAACTTCGAGTTCAATCTCAATCTCAATTTCAATTCCAATTCACAATCACAATTCACAAACTTCACCCCTCTCGTCTGGTACCTCCAAATCGAGAAAATTACCAAAAACCTCTTCGGAAGATATCATGGCCACAATGGCAACCACTCAGCCCAATATCAGTCCCCACCTGAAGGCGCTCGCCCAGAAGACCGATGTCTTCCCTCTCCCTGACTCGCTCAATTCGTTTGTCGATTTATCCGGCACAGCTACACCTGTCAGGCGAGGTTCCACTGCAGGTAAAGCAGACGAAGAGGCACCCACTTTCGACAATCCTTACAATGTCATGATTCACAACTGCAACCACAATCCTGTAAGCTTCCTTTTTTTTCCTTTTCGGATCATCTTGTCTGATCTTGTTACGGTGTCATTGTTTTTTTATTATTTTTTATTTTCTCTTCGATCGGAGAGCTAATTGGTATCGTCTCGTTCGCTGCAGTCTAAAATCCAAGAAGCCTACAACACACATCGAACCACCCGCAACTCGTTGTCGCGCCACAAGCTTCTCACAGACCCGACCCCCATCAAGCTCGATTACATCCTCCTCAAATCCCATGTCCTTCAAGATGGAACAATCGATCATCGCAATTGCCTTGTGTTCTGGGCCCGTCCGCCGCTTAGAGTGCGTAACTTCATTGCCACCGTGCAAGATAAGTTGAGAGCTGTCGCACCCAGTATGTACTCACGTCATACCCCTCAATACACTAAACAGCTTCACCGACTGACCAATCCAATTGATTAATTAATAGATCTCTGGCTAATGCCTCCTCCAAATCTTCATACTACCGTCCTCGAGATTACACACTCCCGTACGCCAGAGTACATCGCCGATCTCGTCAAGACTATGCGCCCGTCCCTTCAATCGATCGTAGACCACACCTATACCCACCGGGCCAAATTAGTCAAACCTATGCTTTCATTCGACGGTTCTGCTTGTGCTATCTCATTCGTCCCAGCTGCTCCAGCCGGTGAAGGAAGGGACAATGAGAAGGGTTCTCATAACTACAACTACACATACCATCACCTTCGTCGTGACCTCTACGACCTATCCAAGGAGTCTGGAGTCGAGATCGATAGTCGTTACACTGTTCCTTCCGCCCACATTACCATTGCCCGTTTCATAACCACGGAAGACCACGTCCCCTCCGAGCTCGCTGTCGGCGAAACAGCAGAACCGGAGGCTATCGCTTCGACCACGAGCATCTTGGCTGACTCTTCACAGCCCGATCTGAGAGCTACGATCCCAGCTGTGAAGATCAAGAAGAGCAAGATGGAGAAGTGGGTTGAGTCATTGGACGAGATCAACCAGTGGTTATCGGAGTACGAAGGGGATGGAGCGGAATGGATTGTTGGTGAGGAGAAGGGCTTGGATTGTAGAATCGGTAGGTTGTGGTACGGTGGCGGCGAGACCGTTGTGCTTGGTAAGGGTATTTAAGACCTCAATATATTTCTTCTTTCTTTTTCCTTTCTCAATACTACAATATGGTAAAGAAGTGGGGGGTTTAATGATGGTATGATAATATGCGATTTGTACATTGGTATAGCGTCATTGCGTTCTGCTTATCTGGTATGTAGAATAGAGCTGGAGCTATCATAGCAGCGCCAATGTCTTTTAAACAGAGGCGATAATGGAATCAAGGCAGCAGATGCCTCCTTAACAGAATAAGAAATACTTCTTATCTCCTTTAAAATTCTATCATTGCACGAGCGATATGGTAGGAACTTCCCTGTGCTTTCGAGCAGCACATGTACTGGCTCAATTCCAAGGCCTAGAATACATTCGTACGGACTTTGTGTGTGTGTTTATATCTCGTATCTGCATTATTAGACTAGGGATAACGGCCGTGTGGTATCGTATCCAAGCCCGTTATGAGGGATTCTGTGTATAAAGGTGGTAGTGTGTAGGATATCATGACACAAAGGCATGGCTGGTCGGATAAGAAAGTAGAAGTATATAAACAGCGGAAGTAGAAACACCCCGGATATGCCCAAAGTAAACGGATGATGGAACAAAAAGGCGAATTAAAGGGAAAACGGCGTAAATTAAATAATTTAGAAAACAAGAGCGGCACCCTTTGTCTTCTTGTCGCCACTATACAAAAAAAACAACTATATTAGTATCATTTTTCTCTCTCTTGCGGTCTGAAGTAGGCAGGTAAAAGAGAGTGATAGGAAAACATACCCCAATTCGAAGTGCTTACATCGCTTCAACGCCAGCTGAAGCTTTGTCTTGCAGTTAACGCATTCCAATCTCAAAACGATCTTCTTTGTTGTCTTTGCCTTCTTGTGGAACACAGGCTTTGTCTGACCACCATAACCGGATTGTTTTCGGTCATAACGTCTCTTTCCCTGAGCGAATAACGAGGCCTGTAGATGTATTTCGTTAGATACATGGGTTTTCTAGGCGGAAAACTCTCTGGGGGGAACTCGAGATAGTCGTACCTTGCCGGCCTTGTACTGGGTGACTTTGTGCTGGGTGTGCTTGCGGCAGTCCTTGCCCTTGCAGTAGGTCTTGCGAGTCTTTGGAACGTTGACCTGAAAAGTTGATGATACCGTCAGTTCTCCGCTTGTCAGATTATTCCATCAACATCCAGTTCCTCCAGAGTCCTGGTATCTCCAAATAATTGTCATAGATAGAATCGATTTCGGCGGAAAAAAGTTCGATATTATCGGGGGAAAAAGTGACATCGGAAAACATGGTCGACTACATCAATCGTATCCCTCCATTTTTTTCTTCTTGTTCGTAAAAATGCGTCGAGGAAGTCGAATATTATCGGGGAGAACAGCGGGAACGACGAAGAATTTGGAGATACCAGGACTCTCAAGGACCGGAGCGACAGATTGAAAGAAAAAAAACGAGTATCGAAGTTCGAGCATACCATTTTGACGGATTTCGAGTTGGCAGGTCGGGAAACAGGTAGATGATGTCGGAAGTGGTTTGTCGATTGAGGATGTTTGAAGATGGAGATGCTGCCTAATACAATACAATCTTTCTTTCTGGGTGCGGGTGTTGTGCGAGCGCCACACCTCGCTTAGTAGTTCAGGTATTGTACAGTTTGGCTGCCCCGCCACAATGAGGGTTTGGAAACCCTCTCCATATCTCACGTGATCAGTTCAACACACCAGCCACAGAGAGGCCATTAGAGCTATCACGTGACGATAAGAGATGAGGGAGCTTCTAGACCGACGAAATGCGGCGTTGCTTTCGTCACCTGTCTTGGCACTAGGTAACGAGGACGTGCTTCCTGTCGCCAACAACAAATGGAAACCTCCAAGCAACCTCCAAGCGATCACGCAATCGGGCAGCAGACTCCAATGCCCCATTAGGAGGTACCTCACAGCCATTACAGCCCTGATACCCGCGGCATCTCACTCTCTAGATACCAAAACGTCGCTTGGCTCAAACAGCTCTGCATTCTAGCTCTCTTCCCCCTTCTTCTCAAAGAGGCCCGTCATTTTTGGAGGGGGGTTCCCTCTTCCTTTCCTCTCTTCAACCCGTATACTGTCGACAAAAAGCGGTATTTTCAAGATGATAAATGCCGTGCTGGTGTTCAATAATACCGGTCAACCGCGGTTGACAAAGTTCTATTCGCAAATCGTGGGTCTTACTTTTACATCCTTATCAATATGCATCTTATATGTTCTTGGCTTTTTTTTTGGGGGGAGAGGGGGTGGGGGTGATGCAAGGCTTCATAAAATATATATAGAGATCTAATAGGAAATCACTTATTTTTAGGATGTCAACTTGCAACAGCGCCTGATATCCGAAATATTCACCTTAGTTGCCAACCGGCCGGCTTCAGCTTGTAACTTCCTACCTCTCCCACCTCTTCTACAGAAGACTTCTTCAGAAGCTCTCTCCGATACCGACCAACCTACCCGAATCATCTACCGTCATTATGCGACGCTGTACTTTATCATCATTGCAGATGATTTAGAAAGCGAGCTGGGCCTGTTGGATCTCATCCAGGTGTTCGTAGAATGTCTGGATAGGATATTTGAAAACGTCTGTGAGTTGGATTTGATATTCAACTTTGAGACGTTACATCAGGTTTTGGCGGAGATGATTCAGGGTGGTGGGGTGGTAGAGGTTGATAGGGCGACTATTGTGGAGAGCGTGAGAAAGGTATTTATATATATCTCTCCTTCTAATCTATTATTTATTCATGATGGATTACTAACGTGATATAATGTGACAGGCAGCGAAAGTTACAAAGAGGCCGCAGGCGTCGTTACCGGATAGTGCTACTCGCTCGGCTTCACCGTCGGGCAGAAGTTCACCGGCTCATATGGCTCATCGAGGTAGTGGCGTTACCGGTATCGGTTCTAACGACTTTGTCTGGAGCGGACGTTAACCATTCGATATAATTTTTTTACTGAGAAACAGGCTCGTTTACTTCTTATCTCGTTTCGTTGAACTGAGAAAAAAGGAGTTATGATAAAGAAGAGATTGAGGATACGATGACATAACAGTATGATAATCACAACCGTGCATAGAATCCCTTTACCCTAATGAAGTTGATGGGGAGAGAGAGAGAGAGAGTATGATGTGTTTGAAATGGGGGGTTTAACTCTTTTTTAACAGCGCATTTTTAATGTCGCTTTCTATTTTCTGATTGCAAAAAAGGATTTAACGATTTTTTTTTTAGAAGAATAGGATACTTAAGATACCCATTTATAGCGTTTTGGATTAGCGGTTTTCGGACAGGGGATATCAATATCGCGATATTGATTTACGATGGCTATGAGAAAGCCAGTTGCATTGTGGGGTTGAATGGCGCCATGGCAGTATGGCATTACTTATATTATATTAGAAGACCAAGAATGTATTTAGTCATCACCCTCATGTCGATACAACAGAGTAGTCCTGTTCATAGGGGCCGTCAAGACTAAGCTTCAAAGATGTCGTTATGATACACGCCTAGCCGACCGCGAAGAGCTTTCCCGTGTGAGAGACTAAACATCATCTTCGATGAAACCTTCTAACAGTTTAAGTTCGTCTTGGTTTTTTTTGGAGTAGAAGTGAAACTTATCAATGTTTCTTTCCGCCCAACTCGAAAGTAGTTTTGTGAATTCGACGACATGTTTCTCCTTCTCGAGATTTAATTCCTCAAAACATCTTTCAGCTGAAGCCTCTTCGATTGCATTTCTTCCCATCCAATCCTCAAAATGTCGGGTTGCAATACGTCTTGCGCAGCGTGCCATACCAACGCTAAAGCCGTCTAGTATTTGACGGCGAAAACCAGATATAACCTCGTCCTTAATCTTTTTCCTATGAGCCTCATTAAGTCCCTTATTTCTGCGATATATGCAAGCTTCAAGATCCATAGGATCCGTAGCTTCGTCTATGTAATATTCGGGATCGAGGGTAAATTTTTTTAGCCCTCTGACTGCTACATCGCCTATGTAGAATTTCGTTCTCCATCGGCCACTTATCGATTCCCCCGGGATTAGCTGCTGCAGGACCTCTTCATCCTCCTTATCGTCAACCCATCGATTGCCGATCAGTGTCATCGGAGAGAGACCGAGTCTTAAATTTTCGACCCCGGGGAGCGGGTGAGCTGCGAATTTCCTCCACCAAGCGATTGATGCCGTGCAGCCATATTGTAGGGTCTTGCAATTTTCAGGTGGTGCTATGAAGAATGATGGGTGGAAGAACACTGCGCTGTCACTCGGGTATGTCGCGGGTCCAATCACTAACTTTTCTAACCTCTTTAAACCGTCGAGGGCGGTTTGGAGGCCTTTTAAAGGCTCGGTCAGACTATGGATCGACCCCGGTTCGTATCTGCGAGATTCTGGCCGTATCCAGAGTTCCTTCAGATTGACAGCGCCGGAGAGGAGCTGTGTTAATGCCTCGATTTCATCAATAATATTATCCTCTATATGAATGGACAAGCTTTCGTGAAATTCCCTCCACTCTTCGGAGAAAGTTCCACCTTGCAAATGATGGACCGCTCGCAGTTTTGTAAGAACAGTTAGGTTCAGAGCGCCCGTTCGAAGGAGCGGAGGTAGAGATTCAGTATGTAAAGTCATCGAAAACTCGCCCGGGGATTTCGATTCCGAATATTTCTTGATTCGATGCAACAGACTAAAGTCGACATCGGGCGGGATTGGGTACTCTAATTATAACTCCAAAATATTAGACCATCAAGTCTTTAAATAAATCGTATAAGATGATATCTTGACGTCGTGCATAATAATCACACTCACTGTTGGCATCTCGCAGGGCAACCTCTCGAAGGTTAATTTTCCCAGACTTAATTAAGTCTTCCAGAAGTCTTTGAAATCCATTTTTTACAGTACGGCTCTTTATTGAGAAAGTGGTCTCGGGTGCAAGGATTTTGATTTTCTTGATGTACTTGTATCCTAATGCATCTACGCCAAATTCGTCGGTGGTGTCAGCGAGCCGCCATACCCGGTGTTTTGAGAGTTCATTGTAGATGCTGAACTCATCATCATCTGGCGTAATGGTGTCGTAAAGGGTTAATCTTGACCATATATACGGTAGACAGACGGAGTGAAGGTATTTGCATGTCCGGAGGAGGGAGAGGATGTCACGTTTGCGTAGATAGAAGAGAATGGGGTCGAGTAGTTCGGGGATGAGGTTGCTTAAAGACGTCATTGTAAAGGTGGTTTTTGTACAGTCGTACTATCTATGTAATCTAACTGTCTATATGGACTGATGGCTCTAATGTGAATGTAGATAAATGTATCACGCGTCGTTCCGAACTGTCGATAGTTGAGCAGCCTTCAAATTCATATGCTGAACCAAGGCAAGGAGCCTCACGTTAGTACAGTATTCTGGTAAATATTGATTACACCAAATTTTATAACATGGTAGCAGCGCTGGAGTTGATGTCTGAGCATTCGCGTTCTGGAGTAGCTCGTAGTCTGGAGAGGTTGAAGCTTGTGCCCTTAGCTTATGTGTGGATGTGGATAGCTCGCCTTCTAACCCTTGTAAGGATTACCGTGCCCGCTTCCCGTCCGTTTCCCCGAAACCTTCTGTCACAAAAACTGCTTGCTCATTTCTTCTACGATCCAACTTGCAGCTCGCATAGAGAGCGTGGGAGATGTGGGGTGTCCTTTGCAGCTTTTCAGCCAATGAACACATTGACGTCGGACCTTGCATATGGCTGCAACCACTTCGATCGAAAGATCTCTGCAGATTCGGGTGGAACCAGGAAAACGACTCACCACGAATCCTGAACGACTGGGTCGAAATGAGCCCAGACTGCTTCAGAGGTTCACAAAACCGGCCGCGCTGTATTTCTCCTGCGTTAGGTCATGTTTTGGTGGCTGATAATAACCCCGGTCAATATCATATCGCCTGGTAGTATTATCCCAAACACACCAATTTGCTGTTTTGCTCGCTAGCCAAGGGTGGGATGGTCCCAAGCAGTCGGGTTGCCTGGAATCCTCCCTTCCCAAGTCCTGAATTTTTTCCTCATCGATTCTTCCTGCAGCTCGTGTTCGATGCATGGTATTGTTTATTTTTCTCTTCACTCGCAGTCCTTCCCGTCGTGTCTTTCTTTTGTGATTCTTTTGCATCTTCTGAATTTGTCTTTGCATCCCTTTCTTTCTCATTAACAGGCTCGAATTCCACGTGCTTCTTTTCATTTAGTTGTAAAGGGAGAACGTGAATGCTATGCTTGTCCTACTCTAGCTCTTCAGCCAGGAGCGTTTCACTTCTGGATCTACCTTTTCTATATCCAATTTAGCGGATTTGTAACAGCTGGTCAAATTATTTCCCGTCTACTGCTGTTGGGATAACGTCCCGAGGAAACACAACAATGGCTATTCGGCATGGCAATTGTAACTTTCGGAATCTCGAGTTCAACACTGTTTGCGGGTGTCAGGAATTCATGCCTGAAGAGGAAGATGGAGTCTCAACAGGGCTCCTATCATCTGGGGGGCGTGCACGGAAGGTGCGTTATTGCGTAACTTAAAACTGACATCATGCATCATGAGATCAATTGTAAACTCACATAAAATGTCGTTTTATATAGACGTGTCTTTGCGGCCACTTTGTAAACTTCCATTCGAAACACGCCGAAGATTCTCGCGAGCCCAAGAAACAGCAACAGTATGGAGATAGCTTTCGATCCGCAAGGCTTAGGTCTGGTGCGACTAGTCCGACCTCAATCGTCGCCTTGACAAATGGTAGACCGACACCGATGACGACGCAACCGCAAGACTCTTCGGATCGATACAATCTTTCAAAGACTTTTGAAGATCCTCCACGATACCAATCGAATCACCAAACTCGAGTACTCCCAGGAAGCTTTGGTGGTGACACCGGACTTGGAATCGGTTTGCGGGCCGCTCGAGATGCGGGTGGATCCAATGGCGCCCAATCAGGCGACTCGTCAGCAGTCACCGAGGTAGCTCCGCATCTCAATTTTGCCCATAGTCGTAATAATAGTCGTGCTGGCCAAGTGCTTGCTGAAATGCGACGGGAGCAGCGTGGTGGGTCTCTTTTACAATCCACACGTTCGCCACCAAAGTCGACCCATCAAGTTTCTGTGCAGCATACGGGCTCGTCCAAGGGGCCTGCAGATGATGCGACGGTTGCATCAACTGTGGCGGATTCCCAAATTATTACGGGACAGGATCGGTATCTCGAATTTGATCGAAGAGTCAATGGTGCTCTGCATATTGTGCATGGCTTGTCGCAGGCGTTTCTCCCGCTTAACCTGCAAGAAAGGATGCGACTAGGGGCGCCCACTGACACAAGAGATACATCTCCATATATCGCATTTGATGAGCGAGAGCATTCAAATGATGAGCTGCAGAGGCAAACGTTGGCGATTGAAGCCCAGTTAATAAGCCTTGCCAAAACAGTTGCTGGGCGTTTGAACCCTGGCCTCGCAATAAATGACGAGCCCCGGAATCGGATAGAGGAGCTCCCACAGAGTGTCCCGACAGTAACCCAACTCCAGGACTCACACAGACCACTTGAGTCCACTCCATTACCTGTAGTATCGCCAATTGACAATGTAGTTACTGCACCCCTGAGGCCAGAACCCGTTCCAAATCCATCCACAGAGATCGCGGTCATCGAGGAGGAGGAGGAAGAAGAAGAAGGAGAGGAGCGGGAGACAGCTGCTGTACCAGCTAGTGGCCCCGTACCCCTACTCCCAGGTGTGACTGAGTCTTTCGTCAATCGGAGGCTGCATGATATCAGTGAAAAGGTGGACTTGCAAGAAGAAATGTGTAACGATGTTATCAAATTTAAGAATGACACGGAAGAAGAGATTACTGAAATGGGCGCCAACGTCTTCACCCTTGAAGAGAGGCTCAATAACATGGAAAATCAGTTCCAGAGATACATCGAGGATCGTGAGCAAAGTTTCCGGAATTCGAAGCGGGCTCGTGATGAGGAAGAAGAAGGCTCAAGCATGGAGAAGAAGAAGCGGAAAAAGCGAAGACGTGAGCGGGATGCTACAACAGTTGAACTTCGAACCCCGTCATCTGTTGGGCCGGCCGAAAAGAATTATGTCTCGAAAAAAGTCGCTCGAGGCTCCGAGGTCAACCAACTCATCGACGGTACCTTCAAACAGACCCTTACCACTACAACCTCCTTCACACGAACTCACTCAACTTCTACCTCTTTTACCTCGACTTCTTCCTGTTCCACTTCAACAAAATTCAACCAGACCGCCTTAATCAAATCGCTTTCTAGTCAAATAGGAGTTCTACAACAGCGCCTTCAGCAGGTGGAAGCTGTATCTGCGCCATCAACCGAACGCCCTTGGGTCGTTCAAGTCATAGTTCTTCCACAATGTACTTGGACAACCTGGAGACCCACCAAAGAGGGGGACTTACTCGAGCAGCAAAGAGGCCCGAGAGTTATACCACCTTCGGGTAGAGCCTGGAAACGCCTAAACTCTCGAGGACTCATTAAGTGCCTCGAGATTACCGGGGGCGAATATCGGGATATTGAGAGAGCTATTCGAAAGGCTTTTGGGGCGGTATTAAATGCTCTTTTCGAAGCTAGCGAGATTTCCACCCAGCAACAATCTCCATATGATTGGTCACCCTTGCGCAAGGTTCCGGACCAACTTACACTTCGTGCCTTATCGACTGAAGAGATGAGTAGGCAGTTTTGGAAAATCGATTTCCTCCGTGGCACTTGTGCTGAGGATATTTGTTTACGCGCTGCTCAAAGCCCACGATCTCCAAACGTCCCGTCTTCGGATACTCAGACAAGGAATAGCCAAGCAGTTAGATGCTCACCGCAGAAAATTCAACTAAATAGGCCGACACACCGATTGTACATCACCAATTGCTGGACTGCGGGTATGGGCGCCTCTTGGGACACCGCTGGAGACAATACTCAATTGTCATCCGTTAACTCAAAACGACGTACTGGATCAGCAGTTAGCACCCAGGTCTCATCAGTTGGTACTAGCAGCCTTCGAAGGAAGTCCAAGCTTGACGTCCGGAGTTCAACCAGCCCTAAGATTGGAGACCATAACTATCGAAGTGTATGGTCTGAAATACGTAATCTCCCGCCAGCAAGCGTGTATGTTCAAGACAGCAAGCATGAGATCTCCAGCGTAAAGCCGAAACTAGTAGAGGATGAGGCATTCTGGTACTATGATGCTCTTCTCGACGGTCCTCGGGATGATAGTAGTTCCTCGGGGGAAGCTAGTGGATCGGAGGCAGCGCAGTCTAGCGGTAAAGAGGATGGCCAGGATCAAAAACTGCTGAGGTCTACCCAACGCTCGTCCTCTTCTTCCTCTAGCCGCCGGAAAGACACCCACCGATCACAAAGGGTGGCCACGCACCCGACAATTTATGAAACAGGAATGAGCATGTCGCTTACACAACAGCCCCCATTGCTTGTTTCACAGGCTTCCCTAAACGGGCGTCCTGCCCCTAGCCTCTCGAGGAACAGCTCCAGAAATCTCGGTGATGGTGACCCTGCAAGTGCGTCCTTGGGAGCGTTTAGTCATGACTCTGATAGCACACCGAAGGCTCGAAGTTTCGTGAATACCCAGAACTCCTCATTCCAAAACACGATCTGCCCCCCAACTCAGCCAGCATACACGACGAAGGGTACAGTCCCTACCGTGCCTCCTACAACCAGGGTTTTGCGAAGCTCCCGACGTGTTCAAGAATCACAACTGAAGAAGGAACCGAAGGACACTAGTGGCGAGAAGACCCCCACTAACTCTATGGTGGGAGACCGGATCCCTTCGCAAACCCCCCTGCTCAACCGAGAAAGCAGCAAAGGAAGCACAGTCGAGCAATGGGAAGACGCACCAGCACGACTCTCTAGAGCGTCAACAGTCGAAGACCATCCGCCGGCATCCCTACTAGTAAATCCTCACAACTCGGAGGAAATGAACGCTGAGTTGAAACTCAAGTATGGGCATGACCATGCATCTTTCAGCAAGTATATTGAACCATTGGCACCCCTCAGCGCCAGTCTCCCTCTACCTGAGAAGCGTAGGGGCCGCTCCAAGGAATAATCTGTCAACTCTTCTTATACGCCCTTCAATCCCACTATTTACAAGCACTATCCTTAATATTTGATTCACTATCTCTATTTCTTGGCTTTAGCATGATTATTTTGCAAGTCTTTGGCTCTTAATATCTACCGACGCCACTCTATACTCCACTTACTTATCTACTCTCTTTTCATGGCTTCGCGCATAGCGTCTGACAAAAAGCTCGGTCGTTTATTTATTTATTTTTGGCATTCTATCGGAGGATTTCTTATTTACACATAATGTCTGAGATTTTGGCAAGCGATACGCATACTAGTTAGGATTTCATGTTTGTTTTTTTGATTTCATGCATTATGGCGCTTATGTTTACCCTTTAACGGCCGCGGAATGATCACCTAAAGATCTGAAGGGTACCTATCGTTTGAGAAGAATATATAATATCTCTTTTGTCAAGTTGAAACCATTTAAAACCGAATACACGAATGAAAATAATCCGGTGAACTCCAATTTTAAGCCTTTCATGAGAGTTTCAGGCTTTAGCTATCTTGCACATGTGATATGCGTTGGTTGATGTTGAAAAATGGATCATGGTTCCACAAAGCTTTGAACCTTTTTTGGGACTTAAACCTGTGTGGTGTTCCCTTCTGGACGACCTCCACGTGGATCCAGCGTTGGCGCATGCATAGCCAATATCTCGCTCGTTATTCCCATCGAAGTCGTGCATGCGCATCATATGCATGTAGAATCCTCGTCATGTCGTTTGTATATTCCCAATCTTCCAATCAGATCTAAAATGGGTACATCATTTTCGAGAGCGGTTTCCTTCTTCATTTGTTGTCATTGGCTCAGGTTACAGTACTTGGCCTGGTAACTCTGACTCGACTCCTCCCCGTACCGGTTTCACGCCTTCTATACAGATTCGATTCCAAAGTTAGAAAGCATACGAACATGTGCATGAATGAACATCAAGTACTATTGTATTGGAATAGCGATTTTAAAAAAAACATCTGCACACCATGTCAAAGGGAGGAATAGACCTTCCATCAAGAGTCCTACTCACATCTATCTTCGATTCTCTCGCCACAATTCAAATACCAACTCCAGAGCCCTCTGCCACATTACCTCCAGCATCCACATCCAGCTTCTCAAATCTTCCAATACCCACAGCAAACCCCATCCGCTTCCTCCCAGCTGCATCCAGAAACATCTTTCTAACAGCACATTGTCTTCTCCCCACAACGTTCCTCGCAGCTCTCGATCTGCTCGAGAAGTCACTGGTTGAGCGGTATACAACCGTTGATACTCCGACTTCAGCTCCAAAGGTTTATTATATACGCTCTAACCCGCCGCCTCCACAGTCACTTGTCATCCCGGGTCCGAATTTTACGTTAACGTCAACTCAAAAGTCTGGGTTTCCAAAGTCTGGAAAATCATATATTTATGAAGTACGGCCTGCTGTGTGGAATTGTACTTGTATAGCTTTCACTCTGGCGGCTTATCAGAGACATACTCTGCTTCATACACAGAATAAAGGATATGGATTCGATCCTGATGATGAAGCTGGGTTTGAAGCGGAGAATAGCTCTGGAGAAGAGCAAGACGAAGATATAGAAAACCAAGGGGGAAACAGCATTGGGGGCGAAGACGGGGAAGAAGAGGATTATGGGGATGATACACCGGGATCGGATGGTGTATTTGATAAGAACAATTGGTATGGCGGCATCTATACCCTGGATTCTGAATCTAGTAGCAAGAAGAAAGCAAAAAAATCGGTAGTGCCGATATGCAAGCATCTTCTTGCCGCGGTTCTTGCAGAGAAGTGTCAAGGCCTGTTTGGTGGGTATGTTGTTGAAAAAGTAGTAACTACGGATGAAATGGCCGAAATGGCCGTTCTTTGGGAGTAATCAAACACCATAGATGGATCAGATTCAAAATAAGTGTGCAGAAGACTAATATTTCTTTGGCACGGCGGCCTTGGGGTACATGGTTGGCCAATTCGCCAAGCAGAGTGCATCGATATCAATTTGAATTCTGTATGTATAACATGAGGTCAAAGTTTAGACACTCTAAATTTCTTACTCCAAAATAAATCACTAGAACGACATTATGTATGTCGGAATCACTCGAGGCCGGATACCATTTCAAACGAGGTAAACTTCCAGATACAGATTCCATGTACCCATCACCTCCATAAAGCCATACTCCCGTTTTAAGGAGAGTACAGCAAGAAGCAAACATGATACCCCCGCAAGCGGGTTTAATCTTCCATCCGATGTAGACATTCGCCCTCACTGACTTAAAGAAAGGAATGTATATGCTTGTTAGATGGTGCTTGAAGTGTGCGACGTAAGCCATCGCTGTAGTGTTAGGATCCTCACAAGAAAAAAGGATTGGTTGACGGAGCAAGATACCCTGTGGCTAGCTCACTAGGGCGGTTGAATTAATAGCATTCTAATCGCTTCCGCGATCTCTAAAATTGCAAATTATCTAAATCTAGATCGCCGTCCCTTCTAGATGTATAAGTTGGTAAAATCGCTCGCTGGGAACAATATCAAAAAAAAGAGTTGGACGGATATAAATATCAACGCCTGCAATGGAGGTGATAACGGCAGAAAGGAACCTAGTAATCAGGTGTGGTGGTGGGTATTAAAAGACGTTAAGAAAATTGCTGGTGATGTTAAGAAGTCGGAAAATTTTTTATATCTTGGCGGCTTCCTTGACATTTCCAACCTTGAGCTTCTCAGTGTACTTCTTGAGGACTCCCTCATTGTGGTACTGAATGGATTCATGTTAGCATAGGCAAGAGAGAGAACCGCACTGGTTCTGTTTTTTGTACCTTCCAAAATTGCTTCGAGGCGTCCTTTCCAGCGACGCGCTGAAGAATTTTCTTTCCGCCGGGATGCTCATCGACGAAGCCTGTCGGGACAGCAAGTTAGGATTTTTCGTTCGAATGAGTACGGCGATTCCGTAGCATCCGGTGCTAGGTATCGTGACTTACTTGTGACATCGTAGACACCGCTGTCAATAATGATGTACAAACCGGCGGTGGTGAACTCCTTGTCGGCCATTTTTGAAGAGATCTGCTTTCGCGGAATATGATACAAACTATGGAGGAAAGGTTGAGCACGTTATTGAGAACGTAGAGAGATTGCGGTGGTGGTGGGAAGACATCATTCCTGGCACGAGGTCCGGAGAAGGGTTTTTGTAAGCGCAAGAATCTTTTTGTGGTTCGGTGCTGGAGAAAGTTACCGAGGTTGAAAGTCTTGGGGCAGGTCATCCAAGGGTGACTTTGGCAACACATTTACCTGCCCAATAGAAACCCGGGTATTGGAAACCGGACTGCCTCGGTCTCAGATATTTCGAGCCAGAATGCCTATTAGGAAGTCGGCTATGGTTTCATGAAGTCTGTCAGGGCTAATTTATATCAAAAAACCAATTTTTTATGTATTTTTTAAACTAATTTGTGTCACTAAAATGACAGGGCTGGGACGGACAATTGATCGAAGAAATGGCATGAACAACACCTAAAATCCAACAAACCCTCCTGTCTCCTTCTTAAATAATCTTAATATTGATTGCATCGATTGCAAAATATGGCTAGTTCATATAGTTGCTGAGCCAGATTGCATTTTGGCGAGTAATAGCCTCCATATACACCTTATTATTGTTGTTATGAGCATGGCATATTGGAAGTATCATTACATCATTGGATCCTGATGCTACGGCAGCAGGCACCTCTCCATCAATAACATGGCCACCAATAAGTACAGGGCCGCACTTCACCGTAGATGGAAAGTTAAGTGATGTACAACCGACCGGAGTGACGCCCCCATAAGCCGCTATCCATAACGCGATCCACGATGGAGCTGAATGAGTGGGGTCTGGAGTGCTTCCGATAACATTGGCGAAGGGCCCATTTACAGGAACATTCCACTTCCCGCCGTAATAAGAATCGAGCTTCTTTATTTGAACTCCTTCACCATAATTATGAGCAGGGTCAAAGGTTCCGATTAATTTACCGTCAGGGTTGTGGACCGTAGAGAGCTTCAAGTAATGTTCTAATGGTAATCCCGCGGGGAGGGTCTCGCGAATCTGTATAGAAACGGTATTTGTTGCTGTGAGAGCTGCAATAAGGGCCTCGTTGGCACTGCGGGCTATATCTTTGAATATCTTGGCCGCACCGGGCGTTAAGGGAGAATTGTAATTCCAGTCTCGGTTATGATGTACTTCGTCTGCCGCAAAACCAGCGTTTGCGGCGTGCTCATAAGCATATTGTTCCGTACCCTCTGGCCTAGTAATAAAGGCCATGCCATCGGCAGAGGGAAAGTCTGTACCGCAGACTCTAACAATATTGCGTTTTGCGTCATAAGAGTAGCGGAATGTTAAAGCCCCAAAGAGCTTTCGGCGGCCGCCGATATGGACGTCACCGAATTCGAGTTCCGGCGATGTAAAATAATTATTGATGCCTTCTTTGAAACTAACCTCGATCTCATAGACGTGTCCATGAAGATTAAGCGTTGGTACCTGATACGGGACAGGTGAGCCGATGGAGAGCTTAACACAGAACGACATTGCGTTTGTATAGAAATTTAACTCTGTTGATGATATATTGGTTATAAAATAAATTCATTAAATATAGGTCTGTAAAAGGATTTTCGAAATTTCAGGGTGCTGCGTATTATAGCGCTGACTATTTGCTAGCTTCCTATAGACTCGGTGGGAAATCCGGTCTATTATATACTATTCCGCAACCCTATGATTTGAACATTTATCGCCGGCGCCGTCACAAATCTTCTAGAGCAATACATAACAGGTCTCGAAATATCAATGGCTGCAATACGGTTATCACTACGACGTCGGTATATTTTACCACTGTTAAATATCAGCTGGAGCTGAACGCTACGCATTGCATCGTAAAATAATGCGCAATGCAAGCCACATAATATTAGAAACAGACAAATGCATTAACAGTTATATATTTTGTCCATATGACCATTGAATCCCGCCTTTTATCTTAGCCGCAGGGAGGACTTGTGTTCTATACTTGATCCTAGCGACGGTAAGTGAGAATTATTTCTTTGTAGGTATGACTATCGGATATCGTTGGATAGATATTCTGAAGACCTCAACGAGTTTCGTTAAAGGATATTGATAGCCATGTAAAGCGAAATCATAGATGTCTCCATGCGCGACTTCTTTCAACGACCTAGCCCGCAGTATTAATATTAATTAACATATTGGTGAAATATCTCACGCTTCCAAGGTCCCCAAACCTTGATAATATCACCTTCCCACCTTTACTAATGAAAAGCACAAGGTTAAGCGGATGGATAGCCATGGCTGAACTACCAAAAAACGAAACATGCAGCTCTACCGCAATCGCCAAGTTTGACGGGAGGGAAAAAAGACATATTTCCTTCAAAACAAGCTTTAAGGCTGGCCCGACAAAAACGATGGCCTTTTTCGATCGCACTCGCGGGTCTGCGAATTATGATCCGATGCATGAACACCGTCCCCCAATTGGCTGGGTTTCGAAGATGTTGTCGTAGGGCTGAAAGGACATCGGTAGGGCTGAGTCTGAAGTATGCATGTAGACACACAACTCGAAAATTTGGGCGCGGGCACAGGAAGGAAAGGTATATATCCGGGACTGGCGCTGATACCGTGACCTCCAAATGTATACGTGCATGACAGGCCTATAGCGGCCCCTGAACAGCCCGTTGGTAACTAGCTATAGGTCCTGCAACTCAGAGATTACTAGGTAAGGTGGGTGATACCTCTGACGGCTTCAACGTATAAGGTCTATCAATTTCGTTAATTAACTACTTAGTATCGAGCTCGATCTAAGTAATTATAAGTAGCAATACAATTATTAATTACCATGCATGACTATCGTCATTTAACGTTAAATTACTCTTTTGGATCATCAACTTATTGAGCCTTGACTCGACTGGGCATGAAACCAATCTCCAGAAACCGACAATATTGCAATCTGCACTCGAGCTCGAGACAGACATCTCCTCCATGGATTAGCCTCGAATCTCCATGGATCTGCTTTTAACTCTAATGAGCCACAATCCAACATGCAACATACATACATCAACTCAAGCATTTCCGCATACCCAAGTACAAGCCGAATACAGCATCGAATCTCAAACTAACTGAAAACATCTATCCGTCCAAATCCTCCAATGGTGGCCGCCCAATATTTAGAAGTGGGTCGTCATAGTCGAACCCGGCCGCCATTATTCTTCTCATAAAAATAAGCGTAAGCGCCACCAAACCCGGATTTATTGGGAGGAGCTTATAGTACTCCTCGGGGCCCTCCTCCCACCGGCCCTTTAGAGGCCGGTACGGCATCACACACCCAGGATGTTGAAGGGTAGCGTTTTTCTGAACGTAAGCTTCTAAGTGAGTTTGCACTGGCTTTCCTAATATAACAACTGATTCCATCACTTGGATAGCCTTCATAGCATTTTCGTAGTTGGTCTGCATCAGCGGGTTCTCCTTAAATTCTGGCGCACGCGTCCAGTAGCCGTTTGGTAATAGCTCACAGTAGTGTTCCTCAGTCGCTATCTTCCCCTCCACTCTAAACCACGAAATCGCGGTGGGGCAATATGATACACCCCTTTCGTCTCTCTTTTCGGCCATACGCGCATCGGTCGAGCTGTAATTAAACAAGGATAATGACAGTAACGCTAGAGCCCCGAAAACAGGTTGCCAGGACTGACGTGGGGCTTGGAGCGCACAATTCACAAACTTGACGTCGGCAAGGGTTCCTTTTCGGTCGACGAGGAATTTTATGATATCGTCGCTCTTGAAAGCAAGCGTGTCGAGATGAAAGTTTCGAAGGAACAGAAGATGACCCTCAGTCGCACTGAGAGAAATGAGTCGGATCGAGGGAACATATGGTAGATGTAGTTCATCAGAGAGCTTTATCTCCTCTGTCCAAGCGATGTCGTTAAAAACAATAGAAAGCCCAACCAACTGACGCGGGTGGAGAATGAATTTAGCAACATTTTTTTGATAAGATGTGATCCGTTCTACCGAGCGTTTGACATGAAATATATCGGTTAATGGTGGTCTTTGAAAATGCACCACCAGATTGTTCAGATTTGATATTACCGGCTGGTAGAAATCTACCCTTATATATTCGCTGCCGTCAATATCGTTTCGGAACCAACGATTTGGAATAAATCCATCCCTCCGATCTGTTCTGAGGTAACATAATGAGGTGAGCTTGGGTTTATCGGACTTAAACACTCTGAAGCTTTTTAGAACACTCCTGAATACGGTCGAGGCGAAGTCGGGTTTAAGGTTCTGGTATTTGCGAGTGATGATCCCATCTGGAGTTGTCTGTGACCCGTCATATTGTCGATAGAACTTCAGAAATTGTTTTGCTATCCGGTGCCGGTACTCTGAAGACATCCCGAAGTCGTGCGAATCGCAGAATGCCTTTAGTATGTATTCTCGGTAATGAGATAGGACGACTTTGCCGGATAGAAGAGTATGACTGCCTGGGTTTGCGATATCGATACGTTCAATATCCGGCAATAACATAATCGCTTCTGCGAATAAACCCTCCAGATCTTCTGAGCATCTCGTCTCGGATGGGTAGGCATCATATGCCCGGTTTAATATCTGATGGAAGCTTCTCAGTTCATCTTCAGTAATTGGGACCTGAGTTGGGAGCTGGGGTGAGGGGTCGATGTAGGGTGGGTAAACCTCGATCACAAGATGGCGCAACCTCAAGCTCGGATCAAAGTTGCGACAACTCTCTTTTGCAAAGAAAAGCAATGCCTCGAGGTCTATTCTAGTCCAATGATATTTCCGAGAAACTGTGAGCCTACACATCAAATTATGTCGACCCATAATACTAAGCTTCCGGCAGGAACGTCTCATGGACACAACGTCACGGATTGACAACATCCTCAAAATTTCGTCGACGAGTTCTTGTGGAAGAGATGTAATATGGGCGGACTCTTTCGAAGTCTCCGAGGTGTCTGATTCTGTAAATAAATCGTCCACTAGACACCGTTTTTTGAGTTAGATTCTTGACTTTTCCGTCGAGTGGTGCATAGAAGCCCACAGTAACAGGGTATTAGACTAGTGATAACAGGGCTGGTATATATTACCGAGGGCGACTTACTATTATATTTGACCAGTACAAGACTAATTTGACTCTATGGTTATAGCACCGATTTCCCACATAGGGATCTCGGATGTCAAAGTTCAAAACTAGGTAAAAAGGTGTAATATAGTAAAAGGTATAGCCATGTCCGAATACAGGCTTACAAAGTGGTCGAGGTACATGTGTCGAAGAACGGGAAACCGCGGATGGGCATTTTGTAAAGAAATATGTATGCAAATACCTGCACACACTTGACTCATATGCTCATTGGACATCAAATATATAGATAATATATAAAATCGATCTCCAAAATTCTCAATTTTTTGTGCGGTGTGATATTCTAGCGTTGATCTTCCATAGTGTTGATGGTTTGAGGATACATATTTTGCAATATTTGAAAACTGGCAGCTTCAAACCAGGACTACGTATACTTTTATTGCCGTACCAAGTCGTTCCCTTCCATCAAATAACTAGTTCTGAAGAGAAAAAATGATAGTTCCGCAATCTTCATCTCATATCATTCGGTGAGCCAGTATATCACGTTGTTGCCATATATTATACAAGTACCTAGGTACTTACTTAAAGTATGTATACACTGTGTACTTAAGTAACCACCATATTTGCAGTCTTGTAATGAGATTTCCGTGTGGCGGCACCAATCTTTTTGGTAAACAAGCACAGCGGGTAAGTGCCTTACATGCCCAAAAACAGAAGAAAAAGGGCCTTCATATGGAAGGGCTGTTAGATGGGGATTAGAATAGGCTGTGTAGGCAGTCTGTGTTGTCTACGTGTTATATTTTGGAACAGAAGGCATCGGAGTGGTGGACTCCGTCACTTTTTCTAAAGGCTCGGCCATCTACAAGACTCTGGTCTCGAGGCTAAGATCTATAATCATTCTTTATCCGTATGAGATGCATGCGTCTGTGTTATAAAATATCACTAATCATGATCGACAGACAATATTAGCACCTGGCGCTTGGTCGAGATGCTTTGATGTGCCCTCCCGTATCCGCTCAGTTTCCGGACTCCCATCTCTTCAAGTCCGCCGTGAATATAAATTCGCTTGAGCTACTATATACAATAAACAATAGACGGAAAAGAATAAGGACAAAGCCTTCAAAACTTAGCCCAGGAAGATATCGGGGGCGTTCTTCACCCAAACATCTTGTTGGCCTTCGTACTTTTTCAACGGTTCCTCTGGGTCAGCTACGATCTCCCTCCACACCTCTGGGATGTTCTCCTGTGCCCACTTTTCGATTTCCGGGCGCCTCGAGGGCTGATATTCGGCATATAATCCCATAAATCTACAGTAGTATTTTGGTTAGCAATGGCCATCGCCCCGAAAAGAATATACAAAAAATACAAAACTTACATCTCCCGATTTGGCCTGAATCCATCTTTTGACTCCAGTTCCCTCAGAACCTTGAACGCCATGTCATACTTATCTGCCAGACACCACGCAGACAACCTCATCGCGTGGTTGTGACTAGTTGGTTTGAACCCAAGCTTCAAAAAGTTTTTCCAGATCAGCGGAGATCTGCTGGCCATCATTTCCTTGGCAAGCCCACAACTGATCATTACTAAGCTCAGGGTATCACTATTCGGACCCTCCTTGCTATTTGTGATTGTTCTGAAGATATCCAAGGCATTTTTGGGTTGGTTGACCGAATTATAAGCATACATTAAGGAGTTGTATAGTTCAGTGGTCGGTGTAACTTCCGGGTCCACCTTGAACTGTATGTGAATTGACCATAATGTCTGAGCGTCTTGTAGCCTTGCGCAATGGCGGAAGGCAGATGCGTAGGCTTCGGCATCCGGTTTCGCATGTTTTGTCTGACGCATGTGCAGGAATATGACATTTGCGACATCAGAGGCCCCCCTCGAGAAGAAGAGTTCCATTATTTGTTTTCGTGCTGACAATGGAAGTTCTGGGAACAATCCTCGCATCGCTAGGTAGACATTCCACATTTCGCCGATTCCTAGTTCTGGATCTTTCATTCCCATCAATTCCCCAAGATGCATAATGACTTTCATACGGTCCCCCGGGTGATAGTTGTTGATTTCCCGACTCAAAGTCGCGATGATGATATTAAAGGGCTTATTGAATATCTGCCACCTGCTGAGGCCGCACAAAGTTTCCACATCCAGAGAAATCTTTCTCTTCAAGGTTTCGTTATATAAACTGTCGATGACATCGGCTTTGGTCTTGATGTTGCTGGTCATATACCGCAGTAACTCCAGTGTTTCCTCGTCTGAGTCCGGGGCGTGCCTGTAGTACTTCAAACTTTCCCATGCTTCATAGGCACCGTCTGTATCCTCCAGCATCAGCCGTACTCGGATATGTAAAACTTGTGTTCGTCTGTTAGGTTCGACACGCCACCTTTCAGCTAGTACTAGTAGTACCTGAGCTGCTGTTGCATCTTTCCTCCATACCGCAAAGTCCACCAGCTCGTTGATGAGTTCTATCTTCGTTTTCGGCGAAATAGAAGGTATCAAGCCGGCAATTGTATGTATTGTCTCGCCTTGACTCCATTTCCACTTCAGCTTCATAACCTCGAGCTCTTCCCTGGCTGTTAACCGAGCTTCGTCTTTCGGAGGAGTTTCAGGTTCAACGAGCTCTGTATGCTCGAACAAATGCTCAATCCATTCCTTCGCAGCTCGATCTTCGGGGTGCCCGACTGCATACCCAAATATCATTTTGAAGGTATCGCTAGTCGCCGAATCCTTCAACTCGTCCCACCACTTCCTTGCATTTGCAGTGTCGTCTCGATCCATATAGAACCGCATTGCACCTGTCAACACCCCCACGTCGCCCAAGTTGTTCGGTTTTCTGACTCCTTCCAGCTCGGTAAGCTTTAATAGGGCTTCCTCGTCATCCTTATCAATAATCTTTCTTAGAACATGCCACCAAGCCTTCCCAGTTATTAACTTAGGCCCGTAGGTCTCCGCTCCGACTGTTAAGAAACCCATTGCCTTGCTAAAATCGTAGGTATTCGCCAGAGTCGCAACCACGGCTTCGAACCCAGCCCTCAAAAGTGGTCTATCATGTTCTCGTACCCTCCGGATATAACCCAATAGCGCACCGGCCAAACTGACCGCTGTTGTGTGTTCGAGATGGTGTAAACTTTCCAGAAGGCGGGCAAGGGCAGGGGATTTGACTCCGTCGATATCGCCTCTCTTGCTAAGGGTTTCCAGACATCGTAATAGACCATAACAAACTCCATCATCCTTCAATATTATAGGTAGTTCCTCGTCGAAAACGATCATTTTGAATGCTTTAATCAATTCCGAGGTTGTCGGTGCCATACCGGCCTTTTCGTCGACGTATAAAGTAAGTGCTGCTAACACAGCGATACCGGGATTCTGCGGTTTATTTTCGACTTTTTTCTCAAAAGTCGATTTCCATTCTGCTTTGAATAAATCTAGAAAGCCGCGCTTTTGGGTAAGCTGAACGCTAGCCCCGAGGCCAGGAACAACCGTCGGCCGCCGTCGGTAGGTATGAAGGTTTTGGCGTGTAACGAGTAGGCGGCATTTTGGACAGACAGTTTCTTTCCCTGTAGAAATTGATGACGAAAGTACCCTTTGTGATGCTCGACGGAGTAGCCGCGGGGTCACACTCATAGCGACCGGCTAGTGGGGCATCAATGGCACCCGAAGAGGGGGGGAGGGGAAGCAATTGGAGGGGTGGGATATTTGGGCGTTATCCAGCACTGCGGCGTGTGGGTTGGAGGTTTAGCTGCGTCCTCGCCAACCAATCGGCTGTCATATCGATAAAGATTTTTGTTCCCGCCGATGACCTAAACATCCAACCACAACCGTCAACGACCTCCAACAAACGACCCATTCGCGCCTTCGATTGCTTCCTCGACATCGTCGACTCGACCCTGGCGTGAGCAGGCTTCTGGGAAGGGTCATGTTACTGGCAGTTGGCCCGAATAATTAACCGGTCTTGATATCGTACCCATACGTTCATTATACTTCGTCCACAATGCCTCCACGCCCGTCAACTGCGGTCGTTAAGACCTTCCTCGGGAACGGTCCAATCCTCCCGTTCCTCTACCCAGCGGCCTCCCGACGGCTTCTAAGCTCTACTCCTCCTAGGGCTCAGGATGAGAATTCAAATGACAAGTTCGCCGGGATTATGGACAATCTTCGATCGGAGACACCTGCATCCCTCCCTTCTCTTCCCGATGAAGCGCCCGCTTCCCGCTCACAGAGGCCCCCCCAGTCCACCAATTTTGCGACTATGCAGCAGCGTAAACGTGCTTTCCGGGATATGGCTTCTCTCAATCTTAGCACTAGCAAGGTCGTCGAGAAGCTACAGGACTTGGTCCACCTCCGCCACGCCTACAAAGATTCCATGGAACGTGTGGATCCAGAAATCTTCCGACACTCTGCCCCCATACTCGATCGATCATTCATCAGTCCTAAAGATTTAAGCTTCGAAGAGTACCAGAAATTCAACGCCAACAGAAAATTACGTCTTAAAGATGATGTATTCAAGACGCTGCAGGAGAATCCAATGTCTTATTATAAGGTATATCTTCCTATGCATTCCAATTCGATGCATACCGCTATCCTAACAAACAAACAAAAACCTTTCTAGAACTTCAATCTTTTAAAAGATTTCACCACTTCTGCCGGCCGTATAAAACACCGCTCTATAACCGGCCTTAGCAATACCAACCAGCGAAAGGTATCAAAAGCAATCAGGAGAGCGATCGGAATTGGTCTTATGCCATCCGTACATCGCCACCCGTCAATTCTCCTACACGAACAGAGGATGTCATCAGAAGGGTTTAAGCATGATCGCGCAACCACTGGCAATAGGGATGATCGTGATCGTCCTAGGCGGGAACCAATTGATATGAGATTGTCAGCTTAATCTAGGCTCGATATCTTGATGTTTTTTTGTACTGTAAATATTTTTGAAAATTTATACTTATTTACGAGACTATTTAACATACAAAAGTACTAAATATAAAATGATCAGAACACCATAAATCATCGCGGCTGTATACATGTATCGTGTCAATTGGTAATGGTAGTCGAGTGCCTGGACCCTCGGAAGCTATGGCTTGTACTTGCCAATTACAAGACGAGTTGCTGATGTCAATTCTTACACTGGTCTTAACTATCAATTCACAAATAGCTGATTAATTTTCTTTTATCCTTGAGTACTAAAAATGCAACGGAAACGAAAAACAAGGGAAATGAGCAAATCGAGCCTCCGATAAATTTTCTTTTGAAAACGTTGCGCATAAAAGTGCGTGGGGAAAGCATGACCACAAAGACTGTCGTGCAATGACAATAATAGTAAAACGGTTAAGCGGGTCAGACAATTGAAAGCACGGCATCATAAGAAAAAAAGGTATGCCTGTATAACAGAGTTGTAAGGAGTAAGTGTAAGAGTTACGAAAGATGAAAACAATGATAAAAAGACTAGCAGAACGCCGGGGTTGATGAGGGCATTACAATCTTTATGGTTGAGCCGGGCATAGTCGAAAAAGGAAAGAAACAATACGGAAGGAAATATATTTTTTGAAGAGGAAATGTGAACTCGCAGCTGTCTTGCCTCCAGACCAAATGCAATGTATAAGCGGCGAAACAGGACGAGTATGTCTTAGTTCCTCTGATAAGGGTGGAAGCCCCCGCTATATCCGCCCCTTCTGCTGCTGTTCCTGAAAGGTCCAGTTCCGCCGCCGCCACCACTGCCACCACCACCAGCTGCGGGACCAGATGGTGGGTTACGAGCATTTCGAGGTCCCGTCGGCGCATTAGGGGGAGGTCCTGCAGCTCCAGACTTAGGCCCAGTGGGCGCATTGAAGTTCTGACCCTTGAATCCACCACCGTGCATTCCACGGTTTCCTTGTCCATCACCACTGCCATTAGGGTCCTCGTACATGCCATTGTTCCACATACCGCCTTGTCCCATCTGCTGCTGGCTCGGATCTGGCGACTTCTCCTGTTGTCCGCCTTGGATTGATCCATCACCGCCGTTATATGGCTGTTGCATCGACATATTGGGGCTCTTAGGTTGATAACCACCCTGCTGGTTCATGCTGGGAAAACCTGGATTTTGTCCTTGGTTGCCACCGCCCATCTGCGGTGGCATGCCGTTCATACCCATAGGATTCATACCGCCAGGCATACCCTGCATCTGTTGCATCTGTTGCATCTGAGCCATCATTTGCGGGTTAAAGTTTGCCATGTTGGGCTGCTGCATCATGTTGGGCTGCTGTCCACCTGCATTACCGCCACGCATCTGCATCTGAGCTTGTTGTTGCATCATAACCATCATGTACTGTTGCATTCTCTGCCAGTATTGAGCAAGCATAGCAGGTGTCATGCCGTTTGTGTAACCGGCTGCCGGGTTTCCACCAGCAGGGTTCATGGCATTTTGCATGTTTTGAGGGGTATTCTGGGGGTTGAAGTTTGAGTGGTCCTGAGAATTACCGCCTTGGTTGTGATCGCGGTTTTGACCGAACCGATTGTTATTGTGTCCGCGATCACGGAAGTTGTTATTGTTATTGTTGTTATGGTGGCGGTTATTACCACTGTCTTCCTCAAAGTTGCGTTCTCTAGCATTACCTCGAGGCTGGGCCTTCTTGACTTCAATCTAGTTTTTGAAGCTGGTAAGTAAATATCCCGAACAGGAGATCACATAAAGAGTACTTACTGGCTTATCACGAATTCGCAAGTCTGGATGTTGAAGTGCCAGATCAACGGCGGCCTCGTTGTCAAAAGTAACGAATCCAAATCCACGGGGTCGTCCAGTTTCCTTGTCAATCATCAATGTAGAGTCTATGACTCTTCCAAATTGCATGAAGAAATTCTTAAATTCCTCTTCTGATGCCTCTTGAGAGACCCCGCCAACAAAGATCTTGCTAGTCCTTTCTTGTTCGTCTCTCGGGATAGCCCGCTTTGGATCAATCTAACAGCGTATATGTTAGCTAAGGTGTATGTTTCAGCTACAGATAAATGGAGGGCAGTTTGTACGTACTATCTTTCCATCAAGGTAGTGCTCCTTAACCATGACGATGTTGACCGTCTTAGGGTCTTTGAAAGTGAGGAATCCGAATCCACGCGACCGTCCGCTGGGTCCATCTCTCATAACGGTGCACTCGCTGACCTCTCCAAACTGGCTGAAGTAGTCGCGTAGGGATTCTATTATACGGCGATATTAATAAAATATTTTATACAACTTAATATGAGAAGAATTATCGTACCATCGGTAGTTTCCCAATTCAAACCTCCAATAAACATTTTCCTGGAAAGAGTGGTATATTAGTATTATAATCATGTCGCGGAGGATTTCAAGCAATCATCATAACAAATAAAGGAATGTTGTATGGTATGTTGGAGAGCCATGGCAGGAGTGATGTTTATGGCAGGGAGGGTATGAGCTCGTCTACTGAGAAGAGATAGCAGCTAGCGGTTGGGTACCCGCTCCATTGATAGCGCGGTAGTAATAGAGTATTACGGTCCCTCAATAGTAGCATAGAGAGCAAAAGAATAAGGGCCGACAAGAATAGGTAGGAGAAGAAGTCGTGGATATCATGTATGGTTTGTATCATGGCCATTGCACCTGGGACCGCCCAACTAGGATGGTTTGTGGGCGGCCGCATCAGGAAAGCTAGCGGCAGTTTGCAACTTTTAGCAATGAGGTCTCCTGCCAAGCCAACTAAAATGCGGCACAACATCGGTATTTTCCATCCCAATTTTATCGACAGCGGCACCATAACGTAGACCTCGGAGACAAAAGGATTTATCGTTCCCATCTCTTGTATCTCGCTCTTGCTCAAGAAAGAAGGTGTCGGCGGGGCGATATGATAACCCCATAGTAGACTCGGTGTAATTGAATATTTCTTCGATTTTCTTGATTCTATCTTCCCATGACTCTTGATAGTTCTACTCGTCTATCTCGATAGTTGTAGTAGGTAGGTAGTGATAGAATGACTCGAGTACAGCTGCTGATACTAGCGCTAGGTAGTTCTATAGAACTAAATGTCTTCCGATGGTCCGATATCTTTCTTTCTTTTTCCCTCGCTTCGCCTCGAAGCAACTCCCGTGTTGCTCAGCCTTCCCCCAGTTTTCGCCGCTAGCTCCTCTTGCTCTTTCACGAGTTCGATAGGTGCCTCGATGTTGAACGAGGCACTTTAGCTCGCCAGTGGTTGTTGGATGGCGCCGGGCAACCTTTCCAATACCGACTGCGACAAGACGCTTTTGCCTTTCCCACCAACCTGTCATATCCCAGAGTAGCGATTCTCGGATTGACAAGGCGACCCAGTTTGTGAATAGCTTGACAAAAACGTCTCGAAGCCGGTCGGCTCGATGACATGACCATAAGCACTATCGCATGATCAAATCACGCTAGCTATCATCTTCCCCTGCTGCAATACCCCGTTCCAGAAGCCTGCGTGTCGTGAAAACCCCAGCAAATCGCAAGTTGTGCTTAATCTAGCAGCAGGTTCTCGCCATGGCCCCAAGAAACATTTTCACGATATAGGACAAAAGGTTTCAAAAAAGATGTCAGTGACCTACCCGTCTTCCTTGATGGCGGTGCTACCTCCATCGGCAGAGGGCCCCTGGTTATGCATACCACCCATATTTGATCCGTCCCCGTACGGGCCCTGCCCATTTGAATTCATGCCGTGTTGATCTTCATTCCAGCCATTTCCATCATTTCCGTAACCTTGGGATTGATTATAGCCGTTGTAGTCCTGATTCATATTTCCATATCCCGAATAGTCCACGTTCCCGCCTTGGCCCGATTGCTGAGGGTCGGCAGGAGTATACTCATCAAGGTTATGCTCATTGTACGTGTCTACCGATTGGACAGCAACCGGTGCTGATTTCTTCTGGTCGGGTTGTGAAGTCGAAATTGGAGCGGCCGCCGGTGCTACTACAGTCGCCGTAGCAGCAGCAGCTGGCTTCGATGTTGTTGTAGCATTTTGAGGCTCTTCGTCATAGCTACGAGGAGGGGAAACGTGTCAGAGAGAAGAAAAACAATTGCATTGTGGAAACATACAGGTCATCAAAGATAGCCTCGTCGGCGTATTCATCGTGATCCATGGTGAGATATCGTAGTCGCGTCCAACCAGGCGAAGTAGATGAGAAGTTAGATCGGCAATGTCAGTCACAGGAACGATAAAATTATCAGAAATTCGGTAATATAATTCACTGAATTGATGATTGAGAGGCAATGGTGATGGTGAACGGGGGTTGATGGAAGAATAAATTGGAAGTTTGATGGCGAGTGAAAGAGTTTAGGGGGAAAGTTGTTTCATGGAGTCAAACTCGTCACGCAAATTTTTTGAGGAGAACAGCGTCGGGTTAAACGAGACCGGCAAGTCGTGACTTGTTAGCGATTTATTCGAGGGTGAGACCGAAACGGAAGGAGTGTCGAGAGGGCAGGCGATAGTGAAGAGGATTATAATGATGATCGTGATGGAGGGAAGATGGATTAGTGGAGGTTATGATGTGATGTGCTGTAAGGAAGGAAGGAGGTTTGGTAGTTGATGGATGACGGGGAAGAAAATAAATTTGTCCAGCCGAACAGAAAATAGGAAACCCAGCCAGCCAGCCAGCCAGCCAGCCAGCCAGCCCGGTTTAGCGCGTCGGTTTGTTCGGTCGGTTCAGCGCCGGCTGCCCGCCGTTTCGTACCCCAAAAAGGGCTCTGGAAGAAGAACTGTGCTGCGTGACCAGTCGGAAGGCCCCTCCATGGCCTGCCTGGCTGAACATGACTATGACCATAGACATAAACATCGAGATTCTCAATTAACGGCTTCGACAATGTCTGGTTCGCATATTCTTACCGTCTACCGCCCGTAATCCACCATACGTCCTTTGAGTTCGTCCCAAGCGGCAGTCCAACCCAACCTTTTCACATTCAACAATTACATCTAATCTTCGATTGAGTGAAGGCCGGTTTTCGATAACAGACGGAGCACGGACGTATAGACACAATGTGGGGAGGAGGAAGCAAGAAACCACAGTCGGGTCCTGCACAGGTATTTCGTGATATCCCCAGCTAGTCTGAATCTTGGTCTCACGATTCCATGCTAACGGGCGCTGCAGGAGATGGTACAAGTTGGCACGTATTTTGGCTCCATCCTGCTCTGCTCTCCCGAGAAGCTGTACTGTGACAAGAATCCCAGGAACCCGATTGCTAATCCCAAAACTACTACTCTCTTGACAAGGATACAATTACAGACCGGTCCGAGTACGCCATCACTCCATCCACCTCTTATCCTACGTATAATCCGGGGATTTTTGCTGATATTTTTTTTTGGTCTTGTGCAGAAGTTCTTTCTGGCGAAGTCGTTCTCCTCAGTCCAATACTTCCACACCCCATCGAGATGGCGCCTACAAGTAACCATACCTTGTCATACTATTGTACGCCAGAGCATGTTTCTAATACCTTTTCAACAGGCCTCCGGCGGATTCGCAGACCAAGGTCGTTGGAGCTTCTTACTCCTATGCTGATATGTTGAACTTTGAGAACACGTACGGCATAATCCCAATATCTCACGATAACTAATCTCAGAAATACGAGGCTGACCTCTCAATGCCAAGTCCTGCCCGACCCAAAACTCCCACCCACTCGAAGCATAAATCTACTCCTTCGGGTGGATCTCATTCTCCTACTACGGCGGCTGCCAGTTACAATGCTTTCATGTCTCAGACAGACGACGACTGGGGCTTGGATCTCAACGATGCCTCTGTCCCCAAGGAGACGACAGTCACTGGCGGGCTAGGAAGCATAGCAAGTATGGCCGGTGTCACAAGTATCGAAGGTCGTCCATCGGGAGCCAAAGGCTCAAAGGGAGCTGGTGGAGGATACGAGTATCCGCTCGCCAAAAAAAGGACAAAGGGTCTCAAGGCACAGTTTGAAGGTTTAGTGAGGGGTATGGACCAATCCATACAAGTACCCCAAATAACAAAGAGAACATCGTTAAAGAAAGGACTCGATATTAGACCCCGGAAATTCATTACATATGATCTATCACCCACCAATAAACACCGACGTCCACTCTTCCGCTGAAATCGAAGCTATGAACGCTCGTATATCGCGCATAAATAAATTCAAAACCGTCCTACAGTCTTCAACAGTCGACTTAACAAAGCTACGGTCACTAGCTTGGGGTGGAATTCCCGACGAACTTCGACCTATGGCCTGGCAACTCCTCCTAGGGTACCTTCCCGCCAATTCTGACCGGCGAGTAGCCACTCTAGAGCGGAAACGGAAGGAGTATCTGGATAGTGCGAAACAGGCGTTTAGTAGAGGTGACGCAGGGATGGATCAGACGATATGGCACCAGATATCAATCGATATTCCAAGGACAAATCCTCATATACCGTTATACGGTCACAAAACAACGCAGAGGTGCCTAGAGAAGATACTATACGTTTGGGCGATACGGCATCCGGCGAGCGGGTACGTACAAGGTATAAACGATCTTGTAACGCCCTTCTGGCAGGTGTTCCTGAGTGCGTACATAGGTAAGGCTTTGATCGCTTCCTGACGAGATCGAGTACTATTTTTAACCCAAAACCGTGGATTTTAGAAGGAGATGTCGAAACATTTAATCCGGGTTCATTACCACCAGAGGTCCTAGACGTCGTCAGTGCAGACTGTTTCTGGTGCCTAACAAAACTTTTAGACGGGATCCAAGATAATTATATACATTCACAGCCTGGGATACAAAGACAGGTCTCGCAACTACGAGATCTAGTAAGAAGGATAGACAGCGGGTTAGCGAAGCATCTAAATGATGTACAAGTCCAGTTTATTCAGTTCAGCTTTCGATGGATGAATTGTATGTTGATGCGAGAGTTCAGCGTGAAGAACGTGATACGGATGTGGGATACATATATGGTAAGACTCTACGATAGATATTTTACGGAGTATGGGCTAACGGCCGTGTGTAGTCGGAAGGTAACTCCGGTTTCTCGGAATTCCACCTTTACGTCTGTGCGGCATTTTTAGTGAAATGGTCAGCAGAGCTTAAAAAGATGGATTTCCAAGAAGTCATGATGTTCTTACAGTCATTGCCCACCAAAGAATGGGGCGAGAAGGATATTGGACTGTTATTGAGTGAAGCGTTAGTTCTCCGTGACACTCAAAGCCTCCCTATCTAGCAGAAACTAACCCCCTTCTTTATTCAATTAGTTTTATGTGGCAAAGCCTATACAGAAATTCATCAGCACATCTAAGAGACGATGGAACGACAGTGCATAATGAGGAGTTGAATCTATAAGACTTCTTCTTTTCTCCCTTTTCTTTTTTGTTTTCTTTTCAGATGACCTTTTTGATTGGCGGGTCTTTGGTATTGTACAATTGTGGTGGATTTTGTTTTTCATACACAATCCCCCCTCCCCTTTCCCTTAAGCTTTTTGTATTAATGAATAGCGAAATGTCGCTGGTAAAGCGGGAATAAATGAGATGAGCGATCAAGTGATCTGTTGTATTATGATGCGGCTCTGGATTTCAATTCGGTGGTAAATGCGAATCGATCTTGTTGAATATCAATTTTGGTGGTTTGTAGATACAACGCAATTGAAGACTAAAATACCACATTTGTGAAGACAGATGATATAGCTTATGTGCATACTGGTAGCGAATTAATATTAATTAGGAGGTCTCGCGGGCCTGGTAAAGCGGTACAGATGGCTGCTTCCGTTTCTACGATGCTGACATAATTTACATCGTTCTGGATTTAAATCAATATGGGACTCCCGAAATTTCGAAAGCATAATTTGTGCGCCTGAGAAGTCTTATTCCCAAACGCCGGTTGGTTACAAGTGTAAAAACCGGGTATTATTTTGGATCCGAAGTATTTTAAAGATACTCTAGATTAAAAGGTATATTGAGCCCGAATGCCGTATCTAGATAGTATTAAAACCGACCTAGTAAACGAAATCCACTACTTTCCCGCCAGCCCCAGCCTGAGCACCGACTACAAACTCCACAAACCTCCCCTTCCTTCTCTCATCTACCACCAAGAAGGGCCCAGGGTTAACAACATGGCACCCTTCGTAGGTAACTGTAAACGGGGGTGTAGAAGAATCTGCTAATATCAAGTAATTGGGTAAAGGAAATAACGTCAAAGCGTGGGTATAATCCCACAGCACCGGCCTTATGTTGACGGGATAAGGCGAGAGATAGGATTGATCAAGGATCGTTTTCACCAACTGTAGAAAATATGGGTTAGTCCTGTATATTTCCCGCTGTTGGAATGGGGATAACATACCTTCCTCGCCATTTTCACGCTGTCCGGTACCCCACTCTGTACCGGGGTGGTCTCATCTTCTTCCTGCTGAGTTCTAGGCACGGTTCCAGTAAGTCCATCGACATCCATTTCGTGCCCTTCTGCCCCCTTTTCCTTATTAGCGGGTCCGTCGGTAGCATCATCGCTGCTTAAAGCCTTAAACCTCACTGCATTTCTCGCAAACCTTGCACCCAGATCATCTCTGAACACTACAATCTCTCGTGTGAAATACCCAACCCTGCACGGATTGCTCCCAAATACTACCCTCCCGCCTCCACCATCCTTCTTATTTGCGGAATTAGCTACCGTAAATACCCTCTTGAGCTTCCCGGAGAATACATCTGGGACACTCTTTCGAGGTAACACTCCACTCGCTCCTCCCGTGAATGCTGCACCCCAAGGATCCCCATCCGACGGCACAAGCACAAATATTGTCTTTGTAAGTAACGTATTAAACGCACTTATTGTGACCGCGAAGGTATCTAAAGCCTCTTTATACCCCAAACTCCCATTCCCAACTCCAAACCCATTACTCACAAACCTTCCACACATGATCACCACAGCCGGTACCTCCACTTCATCCTCTCCATTCGCCTCACTCTCCCATTTCTCAAACAGCTTCGTAAGTGCTTCATGCGTCTTCGGTAAATCCAAATGTACTTCACTCAGCACTATCACTTTCCCTTTCCCTTCATTCGCAAGTCTCTTCTCCGCAAGTCGTAGCCCTCTTCCACCCCCACCACCAGCCGAAAATTCTAAGGGCATGTTAATCCCCAGAAAATCCATATGGCCAAATACTTCAGCCGAAGTCTCTCTCCTTTCACTCGGCGGCTGCCCGATAGTATACGCCGTAAACCGTCCATCCGCCTCAAAAGTTCCATCGACGACTACAAAACTTCCGGGACAGAACCATACCCCGTCTTCGGGTATTGGTCTTGCGTGTGTGGTATCCAGCTGTATTGACCCTGTTGGATCTTCTAGCATCAGTTGCCCAGTATCCGGAGAGGTTGACAATAATCCGAATATGAAGAACGGTTTGCCGCTACGACCGAGGAGGTGGGCTATTGGTGTGATTTTGAAGTAGGTCTTTGTGCCCCGCGATGTCATGCTACTCGAAGGTGCAAAAGTAGGGGGTTGGAATGAAGGATTACGAAGGAGGCGGTGGTGGATTAGATAGTATCTTGTCAAGAATACTTGAGCTTTCGAGGTAGCATCGGGAAGTAATGACGGTTTTGGTGCTCTGAATTATATATAAAGAAAGAGATAGAAGGTTCCTTAGAGTCAACTTATGCCCGGATCCATGAAGTTGAAAGAAGAGAATAGGATGCTAAGATAGGCGCTGACGAACCGTTCAAACTGTTTTCTCGATTGGTTGTATTTGTATTTCGGCTGTGTGAAGGCGTCGACTACATGGATGTAATCCCTAGGGTTTATATCCTCGAGATTCGGTCCAGTCTTTGAAGAAATCACCATCTGTGCCGATTGTCGCTGTTGCGAAGATCCTTCTTCGTCGTCTCCACCTAGTGAAGCGGCGTTCATACCACTTGCGCCAGCGAAATCAAAGCTTTCACCTCTAGTGAGTAAGCTAGATTTGTTCGCGCTGGGTCCCTCGACTTCCAAGTCCCTAATCACAGCTTTGAGAGCTTCATTCCCGTCCACGAGGATCGCGGCTGCACCTTCATTCCTTTTCCAGGTTCGAGCTACCTCTTCAAGGAGCTTTTCGGCCGAACCACTAGTCTTCCAGTCCGCGCCGCATTTTCGACCGATGAAGCTACAGAGTAAGGCGAGCGCTTCGGATTTTAACGTAAGGTTATGTTTCTTTGTAAAAATTCTGAAAGCTAAAGGTCGTAGCGAAGATGCTGGGATATCAACCGCTAATATCCTCGGTGGGGCGGCAGGTCGGGTAGGTTGACCGCGAGGAGGAGCTTCTCGAGGTCTAGGAGCTGGGAATTGAGAGGAATTTAACGGATGAAACGGGTCTGACGATAAGTTCACAGCTGAAGAAGACGGTGGAGCAGGAGAAAGCTGTTTTCGTTTCCAGTTTGCGAAAATAGGTGCTGTTTTTGAAGCTGGTTTCCGGGGTGGTGGGAGAGGATGGGAGCTGTAGAGATCCTCTTCCTCCTCATCTTCTTGTTCAGGGATTCGTTCTTCATCATCAATGGTCATCCCACTGAGGCGCTCTCGGGCTGTAGGAGAGGATGGAGTTATAGTTGGACTGTCTGCCATATTCTTGGTGTTTGGAGTCGAGACAATTGGGGTCGTGAAGTTCGAGGTTGTCCATGAACACCAACAAAAGGTGTGGTCACGAGACTACGTGATAGTCTAGTCTGCGGAGCTAAGGTCAACGCTAACACGACAAGTATTGAGCTTCTCTTATCAATAATAGTTAGTCAGCCCGAGAAATTAACGGTTAGCATTATATTATATACTTAAGTAATTATCTCCTAGAATATTCACTTCACTTCTACGTAATTACTCTTTGCCCGTCCTTTATTCTCGTTTATGATTGCGGGAAACGTACCTAGCCATCAGCCTTCAACGTCGACCAAGGTCATGTACCCTCCAAAAGAACAAGAGCTTTCAAGAAGTCCACTTTGTCAACTAAACATACCTCAAACTTCGTGAATGTTCCCGAAAGCCATTGAACCCCAATTGGGCCCAATATGAAGCCCTCAAATCTATACAGTGTCTCGAATCTGACGTTGACTTTGATATAAGGCATGGCTAGAAGGAAAAACCACAGATACAACACAAAAAGATGGTGTCTCGAAGATAACTCGATTATCCATAAACAATATTTGCCTGGTTATATATACTGGTTAGAACCTAAATGCCGACTTAGTGCCCGTGGCTAGCGTTAGATTTGTTTAACATTGAGAGTTATAATATATAATATATTATAATATAATTCCATGTCCCGATTAATATCAATTCTTAGCTTAACCGAGCTAGGGCCCGTCAAGAACATTTCTCAAGTCTACTACGTAGGATCTGGCTTTGATATCGCAGAAACGAGGTGGCTTTCAATTTTTAGACAGAAAACAGTTGGGCAAAAGAAACGAGGGTCCCCTCAAACATCTAAGCCTCGAAAAGCGGGGTAAAAAAAAAACCACACGTAGGGGAGTATATGCATACTTGTCTCGGCGTATGCATATACATACTTAAGTGCGTATGGATGTCCTACTTCATTAATTACCTTATAATAAATTTATAAACTTCATAAAATCAACAAGAAGGCTTTATTCAGCTGTGGGTGGAGGAACCCACCGATTTCCAGTTCATGATACAATCGATCACCCAAGTGACCTATATAGCTGTGCCGTCGATAAGAACTTAATATAGTGCCGTCGATATCAGGTAATCAGAAGGAGAAAAACAATAGAAGGCGTGTTATGAAGCTAATTAAGAGGCGGTTAGCAGGCCTAAGATGGCTACGATAGTCAGTATGATGGAATCGACGAGAGAGAGCGCATTCTCTAATACAGAATGCCGCGTGGGCTTCCAAGCTGGAACAATAATCAACCATGGGTTAGATCTCTTGCAGCCGTCTATTTATTTCTATGGAACTAACTATAGGTCGACTTTTGAATAGACAAATAACCACCGTAGATAACCAATATTCGTCAGAAAAGTTGAAATCAAGGAAACACTCGGTTCTGCAGAGGCTTTACAAGACATCTTACCAAGAACACAAAGACCGAAATCCCGATCGTGTCCCGGGGACATGTGAATGGTTTGTAACCCACCCGCGGTTTCAAGAATGGCAAGAAAGCAAGTCAAAGTCGCTTTGGGTATCAGCAGACCCTGGTTGTGGAAAGTCCGTTCTTGCTAAATATCTGATCGACTCCGTTCTTACGAACAATAAATCTCGAACAACCTGTTATTTCTTCTTCAAGGACGACATCGAGGACCAGAAGAGTGTCACAAATGCGATATGTTGTATTTTGCACCAACTCTTCAGTGTAAGAAGGGAGCTGCTTTCCGAAAAAATTCTTGAACAGTTTGAAATTCGCGGAGACAATTTCATTAATTCGTTTACGGCACTATGGGGGACTCTACTCAGCGTTGCACGGGCCAGTAATCCGAGTATTCCATCTAATGAAAGCGAGTCGAAACATAACGAAATTGTGTGTCTTCTCGATGCGATCGATGAATGCGAAGGTAGCGGGAGGATCCAACTTGTCAAAGAACTAAGCAAACTAGATGGTCCCAGGGGCCTGGCCCCCAATTTGAAGTTTCTCTTAATTAGTCGACCCTATAGCGAGATCCGACACGGCCTTATAGGATCCCGTCAACCCAGGGTTATTCACTTGAGCGGAGAGAGTGAAGAAGAGTCGGAAAAGATTTCTCGAGAAATCGATATATATATTAAAGCCAGAGTCGAGGATATCAGCACACAGCACCAATTGGAATCCGAAGATGAAGAGCTACTATTAAAAAACCTTATGAGCATTCCTAACAGGACGTACTTGTGGGTATACCTCACTCTTGATTTAATCGAGACCGATATTTACACCGACAATATTGGGATATCCGAAGCCATCACCCGAGTATCAAGAACAGTTAATGAGGCATACGAGAGGATTTTGAACAAAAGCCACAATTTCGAAAAGGCTAAGAAATTGTTACAAATAGTGGTTGCAGCGGTCCGACCCTTATCCCTAACGGAGATGTGCATGGCGTTGGCCCTCAAAAATGATCACCAATCCTGCAGCGACCTTCGCATTGAACCGGAGGCCCGGTTTCGGGACCATATTCGGGACCTTTGCGGATTTTTGATCGTAATCAAAGATTCGAGGATATACCTGCTTCACCAAACTGTAAAGGAATTTTTAGTACAAAATCACGGAGTACCAGCACAGTCCGTGCAAGCTAGCCTGGCGAGCTCGAGCCCGGCGTACAAAGACATATCGAATCCTACCAACGGCAATCCTGGGCCCGGACGACAGTACTCATTCAAGTTGCAGGATTCTCACCTATTACTTACGAAGATCTGTATCCAGTACCTGCTCTTCAAAGATTTCGAAGACCACCCCCTCGAAGGAGATGATATGCTAGATGAGTACGTCAAGAAAAACGGATTTCTTGACTACTCGGCCAAACACTGGACGGCTCACTTCCACGAATCAAGGACTATTCTCGACCAAACAGCGCCCGGATTTAGGGCCAATAGATCAGAGACGGAATCTGTTTTAAAACTATGCGATGCAAGTTCCAAGCGTTGCCCGACTTGGTTCCGAGTTTATTGGACAACCGTAACCGACCGCTTTCCAGGAAAATTTACCACCATGATGATCGTATCATATTTCGGGCTTACAGCAGCTATCATACATTTGCTCGAAACCGACACCGACCAAGACATCAACCTCGATTCCAAGGACGACACATATCAACGATCGGCATTATCCTGGGCAGCTGGAAACGGGTTCGACTACGTTGTCGAGCTATTGTTAGGGGGTATTGGTGGCCGCTGGAGAAATATTTCAGTACCATTCAGGACCGGGGCAGCAGTAGACTCTCAAGATCTATACGGTCGGACACCTTTGGTGTATGCTATTTGGAACCGGCATGCAGCAGTTGTCAACATACTTCTTAAGGGAAGGGCCGGCATCGCCGCTGAAGACAGTGTTAAGGGAACACCACTGGTCTACGCCTTCTGCTGTGGAAACCGTGATATAGAGGAGCTGGTTTCCAAAAGGGGCGCCAAAGTCGACTTGCACTCGGACCGGAATGGACTAACGGCAATGCTTTTCTCTGCTACGTCAAAGGGACAAGAACCGGTTCTTGAGTTCCTCCTTAAGACAGATAAAGTTGATCCTGATAGCAGAGATGAGAGCGAGCGAACGCCATTGTCATACGCGGCAGAATGGGGACGGGAAGGTATTGTTGAGAAGCTGCTTGAAACAGGCAAAGTTAACCCTAATCTCAGAGATAAAAGTGGAACTACGCCGCTATTATATGCGGCAGCACGGGGGCAGGAAGGTACTGTTAAGATTCTGCTTGAAAGAGGAAAAGTTGATCCAGACTTAGGAGATGGGAAAGGGCGAACGCCATTGTCATACATAGCAGAATGGGGACGAGAAGGTATTGTTGAGAGGCTGCTTGAAACAGGCAAAGTTAACCCTAATCTCAGAGATAAAAGTGGAACCACGCCGCTATTATATGCGGCAGCACGGGGGCAGGAAGGTACTGTTAAGATTCTGCTTGAAAGAGGAAAAGTTGATCCAGACTTAGGAGATGGGAAAGGGCGAACGCCATTGTCATACATAGCAGGATGGGGACAAGAAGGTAACGTTAAGCTTCTGATCGAAACAGACAAAGTAAACCTTGATGAAAGAGATATTAAAGGACGGACACCGCTATCTTATGCAGCTGAAAGTGGTTCTGCACCCACCGTTAAGTTGTTACTTGAAACGGGCAAAGTCGACCCTGACTCTCGTGCTTATGAAGAATTCGAATCGAAGGGATGCACACCGCTACTATTCGCAGCACGGAAGGGTCATGAGGCTGTTGTTCGGCTGCTATACCCTCAAACAGACAGAGTTAAGCTCGAGCATCACAACGAACATTATAACAAGGGCAAGGCCCTATTAGCTGCGATGGAATACGGACAGGAGATGATCGTTCAAATATTGATCGAGGAGGCAAAAGTCGATCCTCTTTTTTCGGATGAGTTTGGCCATGGTCCGCTATTGAGAGCAATAAAGGCGGACAGCGAAAATATGGTTCAATTAATATTGAATACTGGCAAGATCGATATAGATCAAAAGCTTCACGAGAGGAGTACACCAATTTCACTCGCTATAAAATATGGGAGTATGAACGCTGTGCGGGCTTTGCTCAAAGCAGGAGCGGACCCAAATATAACGATCAACCCAGTAAGTAAATCCGACCTTGAATATAAATTCTCGCTTGCATATCGATCTAGCGTAATTTGTCCAATAGCCACTGACCTTCCTGTCTGGCTTCCTGTCATAATAGTACGTAAGTGCAATAACCCGAGTCTGAACTCTCTACGATAAATTACATAAATGAGAAAATAATTGCATGATACTGCTGCTCATACCATACTATCAATCTTATAGGAGGTAAGTCCTCTCGGGGCTGAATATTCATACCGAGCTTCGAAGCGCTTCTAGCTAAACCTATAAATCAATAGATCCCCCTATTACAAGCAGCTCTCGAGGGAAATCCTGAAATGGTGAGGCTGCTCCTCGAAAACGGTGCCCTACCAGACTCGAAAGATTATAGAGGGAGGGATGCAACAAGATATATGCACCTTAGTGATGCAAAAGGCACACCTGAAAATATCCGATTGATTCGCGAGCTGCTTGATTCATATAGTCAACGGGTCCAGCGCAAGTCTGGCCGATGATACCAAGCTCAAGGTGGGTGAGATAACGACTATATTCTTCAATCAAAGAATATTCTATCAAAATAAAAATAAATTTGTACCACTGTATTAAAATTTCTTGCTGCAGGTTAGGCAAAACAGCCTCGCTCCGCGCTACCAGCCGCATTAAATACAATCCCACTGAGTAAAAAGTTCGTCAGGATAGGAGGTATCAAAACCTGAAATATGGTGGTTTGGGGGAGGGCTAGGGGGAGACTTGAGCCATAGCGCCAACGACAGAGTAGAAGGTAGTATATACCTAGGTATATAGTCTCGTATTGCAGACGCGGTCCACACTTTGGTATATATTATAGTTTATATTTGAAGAACTTAAGAACACATCACTATTCGGTATGCATGGGAGTGTCGACACTCCTACGGCTCTGCCTTACGTTACAAGTATACAAATCACAGAATTCCATCATGAGCCAATATGCTGTGAAATTATTATTCGAGTAGTATTATAGTTTGAATCGAATCATTATGAAGATATATTTTGTTGCATTTTACGACATACCCTGTGTTGAGAACCGGGAAGGGCTTATATGTCTTCGCCATAGTCGAGTCGATATATATATCTGGTAATTCTGAAGGTACTCCAGCTTCCTTAGTTACTTACCTAAAGTACTTACTTAAGTAGGTTTGGAATATTATAAGTCTTCAATAGCAATTATTGCATGCTCGTGCTCCAGAAACTCCCAAAATTAAAATTCGGTAGAGTTATTCTTTATAAACGCGCTTTGCTCAAGAAAACGCGTGCGGGTACAGTAACTGTCGCATCGACGCCACCAACAAACGGGCAGCATCTATCCATTCATTTATCCATTCCTACCATCCTTCCCATCCAATCCCCATCTCTCTCTCTCGCGTCTTCCCAAAAACCTCAAAAAGACCAAACAACCATTAATTCACTATCACAAGTACCAAAGAACCAAAAGAACATCTTATATTCAAATCAATAAAAGAAAAAAAAAAGATGTCAACCTCAACAACCGACCCTCCAAACCCTCAAAAGCTAGCCACCATCTCCGCCGAAGCTGCCAAAGAATACGCCCACAAGAACTACTCCAAAGCCGCCGAACTCTACGCCACAGCCGCCGAACTCCAAGCTCTCGTCAACGGTGAAGAAAATCCCCAAAACGCCGATCTCCTATACCTCTACGGCCGTTCTCTGTACCACTGCGGTCTCGAAAAATCAGACGTTCTAGGAACGGGAGTCGGTAACAGTGAAGCTGCGCGTGAAAAAAAACGTGCACAACAAGAAGAGGGTGGTAAAGAAACAGGAAAGGGCAAAGGGAAAGCAAAAAGAAAGACCGGAACGGGCGATGAAGAACTCAAGGAGAGCGATAAACTTAAGAAGGGTGGTGTATTTTCCTTCCAAGGCGACGATAACTACGATGTAGACGACGATGAAGATTACGAAGACATCGATGATGAGAACACAGCCGGCGGTGGTGAGGGCGACGGAGAAGGAGAAGAAGAAGACGACGATGATTTTACGCTAGCATGGAATATCCTCGACCTCGCCCGTGTATTCTTCAACAAACGCCTCGAAGCCGCAACAGAAGATGCGGAGACTTTGAAAAAGATCAAAGAACGATTAGCAGATGTGCACGATATCCTCGGAGAAGTATCATTGGAATCCGAGTCATTCAAACAGGCTTGTGTGGATTTGGAAGAGGCCTTGAAGATAAAACTCGAACTGTACCCAACAGAATCTACATTGATCACAGAAGCGCATTACAAGCTTTCCTTGGCACTGGAATTCGCATCACAAGGTGGCGGGGAAGGAGATGCGGATAATGAGGTTTCACCGGAGGAGCAGAAGAAAGGCAGGGATGAAGCAGTGAAACATATGAAATCCGCCATCGCAAGTTGTAAAAAGAGGGTGGAGGCGGAGGAAACCGCTATTAAGTCAGCAGACGGGGATAAAGTCGGTGACAAACCAAAGGATGAAGCCGAGAAGTCGGTCGAAGAGGGCAAGGATTTGGTCAAGGAACTTGAATTGAGATTGAGGGATCTTATGACACCGCCACAACCCACCAAGCCGGCAAATCTAGGGGAGGAACAAATGGCGGGTATATTGAGTAGTATCATGTCCGGCAGCTCGGAGGATGCGAAAAAGATGTTTGAAAATATTATCAGCGGGGCGAATGATATTTCCGGATCTGTACGAAAGAAGCCAAAGGCACCAGAAGCTGGACCTTCGTCTGCAGCTTCAGGTTCGGGTACTTCGAACGGTGCTGGCGCAAAGCGAAAGGCAGAAGACGACACCCCCGTCGTCCAAGAAGAGAAACCGGTGGTCGCAGCAACTGGCAACAGCAAGAAACCAAGAGTTACCACAGAAGAAGAAGAGAAAGCAGCCGAAGAAGGAACCTTGGTTCCTTAAGCGGGTGGATACAGCGGCTTGCAGTGACACAAAAAGTTTTGATTTTGATTATATTTTTCTTCAGTTTCTTACTTTTTCCTTTTTTTTCCCGTTTCTATTTTTATTCATTTTATTTTTTTTATTGATTGAAACTCGCACTGGTATAATGGTTTAATGGGAGTGGTATAGGGGTTATCTTCGGTTGTACGATACATATTCAGTACTTATAGCTTAAGTACTACTGACTTACGTAGCACGAAGCTACGTCGAAATGCGATATATAGTAGGTAATGAAATGGACACACAGCACGCATTAGCTTAGTTACTACTACCCCGTACGGGGTTTTGATGGGCTTTTGGGGTCGCTTTTAAATTTTAAGACGCTTTAACTAGCAGTCAAGACGTCCTAATTGCCCAAAAAAGCAGACCTAAGGCGGAATTTCTGCCCTAGAAAACCCTCAGTTTCCCCTACGGCTAGGTAGTAGCTTTATTCAAGAATACAAATAAAAAAACATCATTCTTATCGTATCCAAGGATTGTAGAGCCTGCTCTAACGGAGTCATAGTATTATACATTATCATCATTGGCTAAAAAAAAAGAGTAAAACTTGCGAAACAAAAGAGCAGACCAGCATAACATTCTTGCATCCCCCAAAAAACCATAGGTATCATATAATCCCGCACTTCCATCGACTTCAAACAAGAAAGAACTCGCCAATGCGCCAGCTAGATATCAAAAGAAAAAAAAACAATCGGTATAATCCCATCCTATTCCAACAATATGGTATACCCGTATAAGGTGTCTTTCGTCAAACATTAGAATCAACCTTCCTCCTCGCCTCCTCAGCCAGCCTCCTCCTCTCCCTCCTCCTCAGCGCTTTATCCTTATTCCAATTACCCGCAAACATAGCCTCCAACTCCTCTTCATCCGCCAAATCGACTTCAACCCCCTCCCCATCACCATCGTCGTCCCCCAAATCCTCCCATCCAGGTTCCCACCCGACCTTCCCATTACCATTCCCCTTCTTTTCACCTTTCCTCCTCCCATGTTCATCCAACCCATCACCAACCCTCCCATCCCAATAATTAACCTTCCGAACCCTTCCAGTTTCCAAAATATATTTCCCAACTTTATACCTCTGCGCCCGTTCCTCGGCATAGATATACTTCCAACCCAGATTACTCCCACAGATCTTACAGCTGATATCGCTGACGGTGTGAGCACCGGTTTGTAATGCCCTACTTGTGGGTTTACCGTGGATTATGTTCGTGGGGAGGAGGGAGGAGACTAAGTATGCTCTTCCGTGACGACCCGTGAAACCTTTGGAGATTACGGAGGAGGTGAAGCAGAGGTTTGTGTGGCAGGTTGAGCAGGTTAGGTAGGTTGTTGTGGTTGATAGGGTTGGGTTTTGCATGCGGGGTGGGTGGAGGGGGTTACGGTTGGAAGGCCAGAAGTTGATGAGGTTCTTTTTTTTTTGGGGGAGAACTTGATGAGGAGGATGAGGAGGATGAAGAGGAGGAGGAAGAGGAAGAAGGAGATGTAGAAGTAGTGGCGTTTAAAGGTGGAACTGTGAGGTCGTCGGAACTACCGCCGTATCCGCTTTCAGTGTCTAAATAGATTTCTAAGGAATCGACTGAAGATGAATATCTCCCGGGTCCCCTTGATGGAGCATAAGTATATGCTCTATCGTTCTCATCGCTACTTCCCTCTTCCTCTTCTCCTTCTTCTTCTTCTTCTTCTTCCTCCTCCTCCTCAATTCTCTCTTCATCATCGCCATTATCTTCATCAGAAACTATACACCCGGAATCATGCGACAAGTTTCTCGATTGTCGAGTTGGAATATCCTGTCCTCGTAATTCTTCTACTTCTTCTTCTTCATAACCATCATCGTCAGAAGATGAACGTGAGGGATTATCATCAGACGTTGTTATCGTTGGAATATTACTCGATCGTCTTCGTGACATCGTCGCAGCAGTAACATCCTCGACAGGTCTATTCCGTTTCAGAAGCGAAGATTCCCATCGTGGAAACGCAGGGAGTAAGAAACGTGGGAAGTTGAGGGAACTAGTCATCCTTCCTTTATCTATCTCTTTTGGAATTAATAACTTCCTTTTTTGAATATATTTTTATTTATTTTTTTTAGTTTGTTTTCGACAAGGGAGGGGGGTTTTTAATGTTTCTTCGTCTACGATGGGTTTAGCTGAGCTAATGTATGTGAGCTCCGATTAGCCAGCATCTAGAACATACACATACACATGCGGAAGCTTTGGCGAAAGGAAACCAGGGAGCTAGGAATATAATATCTTCTTTTTTTGGAATCGAACCGGGGGATCCGATACCCGGGGCTTATGAAGATATAGTTGGGAGATGGTAACTATTCCCCTGAAGCTAAAGATATCGATTTGCGATGGAGTGAAAATAGATGGTTTGGTCGGTGACGTCTGTCCCGGAAGGTGGCGGGTGTTGGATTTATATTAATTAATCCGGGTTTAAGTCTCTGTTTTATGTGATATCGTGTGATCGTTAAATCGAACCGTGATGTGATATGAGCCACCCCAGTTTAGTTTTTACTCAAACTAAAACTTCTGTCTGTGAATACAATAGAAAGAAAGAAAGAAAGAAAGAAAGAAAGAAAAAGGAAGATTTAAAGGAACTTATCAGTAAGCTATCGGTTATTAAGTATAATATAATATAAGCCCCGAAAAAGGGTGAGAAGCGGAGAAATAGAAAAAAAAAGGTCACACAGCATACTATAATTACTTCATCACACTCCTCTCGATTCTCCATCCATCCGGGAAATCATATTTGATTAAAATATTAATATTAATACCTCCAGATATTATTACATATAAGCATAAACCCTCACCAACATGGATTATCTTGACCCGCACATACATACATACACCACCGGATCATATCATAGTTTAGAAAAACAGCCGAAGAAGAGGGAGAGAGCCAAGACGTAACTAACATGTAAGTACCCGTCAAAGAAAAATCACTTGCATGAATATAATACTCTACTTATATATATCAAAAGTATACATGATACCTGCAGGGTGTGCCCGGTGGCTGCCATGTGTTTTTTTTTTTTTTTTTTGTAGCTTAAGCTTACAGCACAGGCTAATCCGGTTTATAAAGAAAAGAAAAGAAAAGATGGTCATATGCATCTGCGGGGGAATGGAAGTTTAGGTAAAATCACGGCTATGTAGGTACTTAGCTAGCGAAACGAACAACCTGAACTGCCACACCGAGTTCGAGTTCGAATTTGAATTTGAATTTGTATCCGTGAGGGGTTTCCAAACGGCTGTTCGAGCTGATGCTGGTTAACCCGGCTGGAAAAGCACAGCGAGGGGAGGGGGGAGGGGAGGACAACCGGATCTTTGTGTAGCGTTTCGATAAGGAGCTGAATCTGGTGGTCTAGACTGGATCTAACTAGTCCTCCAACTAGCCAACCAGTCTATCGGTTTCCGGTTTCCCTATCGATATATCGATACGGTTTCAACTTTTGGTCATTCGTAACCACTTACCTACTTGTGGTTCCAGGTCATTCGGATTAGAAATTGAGGAGCTCGGCTTTATAATAAATATTATAATTTATATAATACATCGGTTAGAAAAGATGATATTATTTCCGGGGAATGTTGACAGATACTAGTATGTAGCTTCTACATGTACCTGGGTATCTTTCTCATACTCCGACTAGCTAGTAGGTACCTACTACCTGCTTCGAGGTTTAATTTATGACCCAGGTTAGCCTCGATTGGACCGTGCTTTCGGGATACATTAGTATTACCTTTTTATACAAAAATATTAAATGCCTCGTACGCCGTCGTACACAGAAGAAAGAACATGTATTCATTTTATCTAAAACCTCATTACAAAAACAAAAAAGAAATCTATATTATAAGTAGGTCGTAATGATAATAATCATCATAATAGTAAAATGACAATAGTAGTAATAGTAGTAAAGATGCTCAAGAGGAAAGAAAATCCTTATACAAAAATAGGAGCAATGATATAATGATGATGATGCCATAATAGTCGTTCTGTCACACCTTTGCCAACCTCCGTCGCCATGGATCAAATAAATAAAGAAAAAAGGTAAAAGTAAGGAATAAAAAGAATAAAATAAATATACAATCATGGAAGAGAAGAGTTTGGGGAAGTGGACAAAAAAAAAATCAGGAAGGAAACGAAAGCCCCGTTATTAATTCAAAAAAAAGAGAAACCCCGTGAATGGACAAAATAATGCAAGTAGGACGTCAATGCTCCGCTTGTGAGTGAAAGTGATGCTGCTGCTCATCAATACAAAACAAAAACTAAGGGAAAGGACGATGAAAAAAAAAAGTGGATCAATAAAAAAAAAGGAGGCCAATTCATCAATCAACAATCCGCTTTGCATGCTCCCATGAGAACCATATCACTGTGCAATCCGGAAAGAACAGAAACCCCTCCATAATATCATACTTCAGCGTATCATTGAACAAAAAACCGGGAGGGTCGTCCCATACCTATCTCTTATCTTATCAAACAAGCATACCAACAAACGCATCCTATACGTCTGCCCAAACGGGTCCACCCACACACGAGCTTCTGCTGCTTCCAACCGTAGAGCCGACGTCCCAGAAATGCTTGGACGAAACGGTTCCCTTAGATGCCACTTTCGGTCCGGACTTCTTAGTCGTTGACTGCGATGCACAGCTACTCCCCGATCGGAACCCTCCCATACCGACACCCAAAACCGAAGTCAACGATGCAATCGGCGAGATTCTCTTCGCCTTCGTAGTATTATTCACGGTCTGGGCATGCGAAATCAGTGGATGTTGTTGGTGTAAAGGTTGATTCAAGCTGGCGGAGGAGTACCTATAGTTGATGGCAGGTACCGTCCTAGCGGTGGCAGTGGACGAAGCCGAAGGGCGGCGCGTTGTGGGGGCAGTAGCAGGAGATGCTTGGATGGCCGTTGGTGCGGTGGCAAGCTTGGATTTAAGGTAGGAGAAGAGCATGCGTACATTTAGTTCCTTCTCCCAGTACTCTCGGACAATTTCAGCGTCAACACGGGCCTCGGACGATGCCGAATGCAGAGACGAAGTCAGCGGCCGGTCTTCAATGCCCCAGTTAGCGGCATGACTATCGGTGTCATCTTCGCCGTCAATCGTGGGACGGAATTGACGGGTTGATGATAGGGGGTCAAGCGTCGAGAAGGAAGTCGACGACCTGAGGGAAGGGTATAGGGCATAGAGTGGTGTTCCGGGCCCGATGCTTCTGGGTTTGGCAGCTATAGAAGGTACTCCCGTGGAATCCTGGGCGCCCCCAGTGACATACGTTGAGAACGCAGCCTTCGCGACGTCTGGAGTATAATATTGTGCCAAAACGCCCAGCTCACGTGCCAATCTCTCGAAGAGCCTCTCTTCCCACATAGCATCCATCCGCTTCAACCCAGTTCCCTCAGTTGCAGTGGGTGTGGATGCACCCGATATGCTCTTCTCGAATTCCGCAGGGAGAGCTTCCCCGAAGATTATCTGAAGGACCATGTCATCCAATCCCATTATGTCTTGGACCAACTTTCTCCTGATTCTTTCCCAGAAGGTCGCATTGTCCACAGCATCGTCGGCCAATGCCCTCTCGTTCGCTTCTTCCAAACCAACGTCACTCATTGTAGCCATATCCTCTTCCAATCGTTCGGCCTCGGTTTGCCTCAAACCTAGCCTGCCTTTCGTCGCTCGTTCGATTTCGTCCAGTAGGATCCTCGATTGCTCCATTCTCCACGCCTGTATTCTGGCATTGGTGAACGAATTACGCGACGGTAGTATAGCCGGTTCCGGTTCATATTTTTCGAGCGAACCCTGCCTGCTGACGGCCGATGGGAAAGTCCCTAATCCATCATGTTGCGGTAGCATAACCGGTCCCTGATGGTACGGATTCTGAAAGCCGTGCAGGTCTATATCTTCGTCATAGTCCTCGTCATCATCTTCCTCCTCCTCGTCCTCCTCTTCCTCATCGCCCATGCCATCGGCCTGCGATTCTTCCTCGTCCTCCAATTCATCATCATAGCTATCGTATTGTAACGAGCCTAGATCGCTGATCCGACTGACTCTACCAGACGTCGGAGTCTTGACGGTCTGAGCATCGGAGGTTGGAGAGAAGACGACCCATTCTTCAGAGCCGGCGGTAGCAGATTGGCCAAAGGCACTGCCGGAGAGGGACGGTCGATCTTTGGGTTGTTGTGTTTGAGGAGTTGATGTCAATCTGTGTTGGGGGACTCGGTATGCCATTCTGAGTTGAGAGAATCCAAGACAGATTGGGACTGCTCGGTCGATAGGTCTTTCTTGGAACGGACTGGATAAGAAAACAAAAAATTAGGGGGATTTTGTTACTATTGTTTTTTGTTATTTTTATTTTTTTCCCCTTCGCGTCCGGCGCAGGTTGCAGATAGTAGTTTATCTTTGGAGGCTCTTTGTAGAAGGTAGATGGGTGAAAGAGTCGGTATGTTACAAGGGAGAGGGTAAAACGGGGTAAGGCCGGTATGCAGAGTGGAGAAACGGGGGTTTTCGATGCGAGTGAATTGTGTATTTAAAGACGGCTGGAATGGTAACTAGGATTACAAAGAGGACCTATAGAGTATAGTAGGTGCAGAGTCGGCGAGAGTCTAGATGGAGGGCAACGATAAATCCGAAGCTGAAGCTGAAAATGATGATGATGAAGAAGATGATGATGATGGTTTTGGAACCGGAGGTTGGATTAAGAAGCTGTTCTTGTTTCTTTGGGGGGAATAAACAGGAACGTTCGAACAGGAACAGAAACAGGGCAACTTGGCGTTGGTTCTTTATTGAGGCTGCACTTTCTGTCCTGTTTGCGGGATGGCTGCTCCGAAAGCGCTTTTTATGTAAATTGACTAGCTGATGGCCAACAGAACAGCCAGCTTGATACCTGTAAAGAAGAATAAGAGGAATAAGAAGATGAAGGGGAAGAGGAAGAAGGGGACCCCCAACGGTTGTATCACGAGAGCACCAACTGACGGCCAGGATGGGGTCAAACGACGACGACCAGTCGACAGATAGATAGGTAGATAGGCGTCTGGTGTATTATTCGCGGGAAGTTGAACTGGACTGACCGACTGACTGGATTAATCAATTAATTAATTTAAGGAAGTAACTAATCCAAGAGCGAATGTAGATATATTCATCTGTAGAGGTTGTTCGTTGGCAATACAGTGCAGCAGTGTGGCCTGTTAATTCGGTGACTGGCAGTTACTGGTACTAAGTAAGGAGGTAGGAAAGTACCAACGAAGCCGGGTTTATGGTGATAGCTAGCGGATATGATGACATCGGGACGACATGGCGGATTTTAATTATAGTTTCGATCGATCGGTAGACGGTTCTTATATTATATTTTAAGCCAGGTATGTACTTAAGTATCTATCTTCATGCTTTCACTGACTGATATACGAGATAATCACTTTCAACTCTGATAGCATACATCTACAGCCGCTATGGCGATGCATATGACACCAATATCACACGGTTACTAGTACAGGTAGTCTAAAGATAATAACTTCATGAATTCAGAATAGAATTAATAGAATGAATAGAGTAGAACAGAAAATATGTTTGGAGCCAATAAAACTCAAAAGGACCCTGAGCTCACCTTCCTTCCTCCTCATCCCAGCAGACCAGAGTATTTTCTCTATGGATAATATAATTCGCCGTCATCGCGATAATTTATCGGACACAACCGGTCAAGCTTCCTTTTTTACCTATTGATGGACTGGAACCCTTGCTCCTGTCGAATTCTCCCGTATTTAGCTGCAGCCTGTATTCTTAGCTGAGACTAGGTTAAGTGATAATCCAGGGATGTCGTTCTGGGCCCGCGGAATTCGCATCGCCAGTTCCTATTGCCTCCTCCTTCCCCCATATGGCCAATTTGCATTCTTCCAACTGCATGAGTATACGTATACGTATACCTCGGAGTTGGTGAGATACTCCGGATTTACTCAGATACTCTACGTATATTTGTATTTAATATTTAATCGAATTCGAAAATTAAAATTAAAAAAAGACAGAACATGATCACATTGTCCTGTCATTGGGATTTCCTCCATGATATGATGGACTTCCCCAACAGTTTCTGTTTTACTAAACTGTACAGTCGATACAGATTAATTAGCCTTATCATCCATCATCTGATCTTGCGGGAGCCCTATGCCGTACTCACAGATGGCAGACTTGGGAAAAAAGACTTAGTGTGGGAAACAAGAATCCGACTTCGCCCTTGGCTGAGAGATATCCATATTATTGTTGTTATAACCCAACATGGCTAGGTAAGTTAGGTAAGTAAGTTAACTCCAAAACGGTGATCCACGAACATTAAATATCGATAACGTCGATGTGTCCAACATCCAACATCATATCGATGCCCCTCATTCATCTCAAAGAGAGGAGCTGCCTGCTGCTTGCGTCCGTGGAGGGGCTCAGGTGTGGAGCCCACCCCTAGCTTCAGCTCTGTCGAAGAACAAGAAGCAGAAGGGGGGGTCACATTCATAACACCGAGGACTTATGCATGAAATGGACCGTGAACCAAGTTCATCCAACCATGGACCACCGACACTTTCCGCTCCTCCCTTGAAAGATGGGTGATTAATCAATACTTCGATAAATCTTATCAATCGGATCTAAACGGTCCTAAATTAATTTTCATGATCCATCTAATTGCGACGGAACCCGAGTCGAGACCATCGCTGCCACACCTCTTAGGTAACCCACAGTTCTCCATCAATATCCGAAGCTACCACCAGTATAGCTAGCTATAGTACTGGTAAGTCGAATTAAGTAATCCATCTGAATTCAACTTCCTCGGCTCTTTTGCCACAATCATACTTACATACATACTACGTATGTAATGGTTATGATGTACCTACCCGATACTAACCACTTGCAAGGGCCTTCCGAACAAAAATCAAATCAAACGGGATATCGAAATGAGGCATCCCGAGATTATCGATGTGGAAACGCCCGAATAGATCTAATGATGATCGATTCGATTTCGCACGGGGTCCGTCATCCACCTACATATTTACAGCTTGGTTGTCACCTGCATCGGGTGCCCTAACCAGCAAACTAACTTGGAACGGGTAACTCGAACGGGTAGTGGTCCCCGCGCAAGACAAAGAAAGACCATCGATATAATCTCATCCCATGCATGTGTTCGTCCGATCGATGTGTACGAAACGTCTTCAATGCTTAGCACTGCGGACGGGGATCAATATCCGCGGTGTACATTGTGATTCAAACCGTTCCAATCGATCATGCTACACATGCAGCCTGCTTATATTATGTTTTAAGCTTTTTTGAAGACGTCAAAGAAGGGAATTCAATTATTCAGCAAAGAGTCACATAAAGAAGGGCATTGCATCGGGAAGACGAAAATAAATTTAAATACAAGCTCGGCAAGGCCCAAGGTTCTCAAGGAAGGAAAAAAAAAAAGTTTGGACAAACTTAAAACCCTGACTCGAGGTCGAGCACAATGCAAGGTGCCTTTTCGCCTTCCTTTTTTTCACATTGAATTCAGGGTCTTCGGCATCTACATATATTTTTTACTCTAATTTTATTTTATTATTCTATTCATATATACTTTTCTACCTACCTGGACTTATCTAAGTCTATTTTATACTATTTTATATTATCTCAACCCTCGGTGGTCTTATCTCCTCCATCTCTCACCATTTTTACGATACGGATCGCCAATTGATCTTATTATCCGTAGACGCCACCGTCAATTGACCCGCAATTATAGCATAGCGTCTCTCTACAGAACGTTAACATCTCCACCAACGTTAACTTTTTCAAACTGACAAATTCAAGCGCCCTAGCCGAATATCCGGTACCACCACCTTATCATTGCGCCATCCCGATCAGGTCTCGCATCAATTCCTTCTCTCCATCTTATACCGCGCAAATCTGCACCGTTGTATAGCACAGCTGCTTCCCCGGTATTGATAATTAAAATAAAAGAGCTCGCAGCTCGTCCTATTCGGTCCAGTCGCCGCCGCCGCCATTAATTCGATTTTGTTAATTATAATCGGATCACGCAACCCAGCTTCTAAGCTAGCAGCTACCCCAAAAGGGTTTCGCTATTTTTTTTTAAAAAAAAAATTATATAAATATAAAAATAATTTTGAAAAAAAATGTCGACATCCTCCCGCATCTTTCAAGCCCTCCCCACAAACTTCACAACCGCTCCGAAGACCACAACCTGTCTGGCCTCCCCTCCTTCGACACCACCCTTAGAAACAGGTCCTTCAAATAGCGAATCAATCCTAGACCTAGCAGTCCACGTCCTAGCAACCGAAGCAGCTTCATTATCCCACCTAACCAGAATCTACACCACAAACCCCACCGCCCGAACCGCCTTCGTCCACGCAGTCCAATGCATAACCCACTCCCTCTCCGTCAACCATGGCAAAGTAATCTTCAGCGGTATGGGGAAATCCGGTAAAATCGCCCAAAAGATGGTAGCAACCATGAACTCCCTAGGACTCATGTCCTTCTTCCTCCACCCGACTGAAGCGCTCCACGGCGATATGGGAATAATCCGAGCTCAAGATATCTTAGTGTTGGTTACATACTCCGGTACCACCACCGAGCTAGTCAAGATTCTGAGTCATATACCATCGCAGACGGTGGTTATCGCCATGACGGCTCATAATTGTAGGAATAGTTGTCCGTTGACGATGGGGAGGGAGAATGCGATAATATTACCGACACCGGTTCATGAGAAGGAGGAAGTGACGTTTGGAGTACCCGCTCCGACGACTTCTACGACTGTTACTGTTGCCCTAGGGGATGCATTGGCTTTGGCGGTGGCGGATACGATGCATACTATTGAAGGGAGGAAGACGCAGGATGTTTTTCATGGGTTTCATCCCGGTGGGGCTATTGGGGATAGGAAGAGAACTTTGGAGGATTGTACTGCGGTTAGGGTTGGGGATATTGCCATGCTGAAAGGGAAGGAAGGGTGGAAAGTGGCGGATTGTTTGGTTTTGGCGTTTAGGGCGAAAGGTGGGTGGGTTGGGATTGCGGATGATGGGTCTGTGGTTCCGCCGAGGAGGTTGAGGGCGGTGGATAATCCGGATATGGCGTTGGAAAAGGCGGGGATTCTGGTGAAGAAGAGTGAGATGGTGGTGCTCGATGGGGGGGTTAAGATTGCTGATGCCAGGGGTCTGGTGAGGCCTGGACAGGTATTGGAGATACATCTGTCTAATGGAGAAGTTGGATTCGCGGAGAGTGAGGATATTTTATAATTTTCGTGGGTGAATTTTTTTTTTTTTCCTCATGCATTTCCTTTTGAAATGCAGAATCCGAGTGGTTTGGAAGGGTACCGGCCTTACATTTTGATATTCCCATGGGACTTGCTCCTTTAATATCCATCGACTCTGACGACTTCTTTTTATATGACATTAATACGGCAAACATTACCCTCCCCTCTTTCTCATTCTCATTCTCATTCTCTTACTCTCTTCATCACCAATCATTCAGCAAGTTTATTTCATTCTTTCTTTATATATACCGCACATGTACACTCACACACTCACATCGGCGCATGAGATACCCTTTGGAGCGGCCATCTGGAATTCTGTTATACTATACTTCCTAGTTACCATATATATGGTTTATACAACTATTATACTATCTACTTACCTAGAAGAAAAAAGTTCTATATACCTGGTAGAAATGTTCTTGATTATGAGTGGGTAGCGGTGAGAATATGAAGGAAAAGATATGGTGATCCTATGTACCAGTAGAGTCTAATTGTTAGCCGGGTGCCGAACACCCCAAAATGAATTTGAATTGAACCTGTGATATTCTGGACATTGACCGGGTTGGCCCTTCTAGGAAGACGGTTTTTTTAAAACTAAATTGTAAGATCGATATCGATATAATATATAATATCGCGGTCGAGTTTGTTGTATTGTGGGAGAATAAGCTCCTTTCGGACACTCACTAGCCATATATACCCCCGCCACACTATGGCTGATGTTATGGTTACACGAAACGGGTTGAACCACCCTTGAGAAATCGAGGTTTAGTCGTGAGCCAGACCGCAAGTACTTGCTTTCAAAAAACTTCATGAATTCATATTCGAGGGAGAGCTAGTCTGGGGGGACTCCGAAAGCTAGCTAGCAGCGCGAACGCGAACACATCACGCCTGCATGTGATTTAATAATAAGATGGGGGAGATATTTATTTACCTGCTGCAGGTTAAGCCACAAATCCTTTTTTATCAGTTTATCAGCTCTGCCTCGTAGATTGCCTTGCTGAATGTTGGACGATTCCGAATCTTTTGAGCCTCGTTTGTCGAGTTGATTAATATAAATCGGCCGTCAAGTTCACCATATCGCTCTGGGTACCATACCTATGATATACACCCGGCGTACATGTTTTCAAAATGTCGACGTTCACGGCCAAGTTACGGTTATAAATCCCCATAGATTGAAGAAAAACATACATAATACTTTGAATTTATTATATTTTTAAATTATATTATATTAGTTAAATACACGATGGACCCAGCCCGGGCAGCTCAACAAACTCGGTTTTTGGAAATCTGGGATGAAGCGCTGAAGAATTACAAAACAGCATTCAGCGGGGGGGATTTAAGCACCATACAACTTCCAGACCCAGCAAACCTAGAAGCGTTCAGACAAGATATCGAAAGTAGCCAGTCGCGATTTGAGAATTATCGTGAAATCAGAGCTTCGCTATGGAAATCACTAGCCAATTTTCTAGTGCCGATAGAAATGCTTGGAGGGGTTGCTTCGCAGGGAGCTGTTGCTGTAAGTTGGGCGAGAAATACCACACTCAACGCAACTGAAGTAGTTTGGTTGGAATATTTCTGACAATAATGGTTTAGGCATTCCAAGCTTCGCCGGCAATAATGGCTGCAGTGAGCATTTTGATTAAGGGAGCGAGGGGAGTTAGTCAATCTTATGACTATATACAAGAACTTTTTAATGATATTGGACCAATTCTGTCGAGACTTCAAATACATGCTCGGAAGGATCTCCCGGTTGAGTTGAAGCAATTGTATATCGATATTTTAGCCTGTGTGCTTGAGATTATTGGAGTTTCGACGAAGTATGTTACAGAGGGGAGGACTAGTAAGTACACTTATCTTAATATATATTAATGACTACCCTGTTTACGACAAGAATACTAATGCATAAAAAATTAAGAACGGTTTCTCAAACGGATCCTAAAACCGGAGGACAGTCGTGCTTCCGAATTAAAGATTAAGCTCCAGACACTTGTCGGGCAAGAATCCACACTAGTGGGGGCGTTGAATCTGGAGGCCAACGGAAGCATCCTCGAGACAACGAAATTGACAGGGAAAATCATCAGTAAACTTGATTCAAAAATCGAAGATCTCGCGAATTCTGTCAACCAGATTCCAAAACAGCCGAAAGGAAACCGATCAAAGAATTCGGGCAAAGTTAGTAGCAATGAGATGCTGAAGAAGCTGAGAGAAAGGTTGCTTCCGCAGCTTAACCTGGAGGACGACCTCCTCAATCTCAAATATCTGGCGGGTACAGGGGACTGGGTGCTCACTGAGCCGTTGATCCAACAATGGATAGAAGGAAATATTCCCTTCCTGAGGCTCTCTGGAGGACCTGGGGCGGGAAAATCCCACCTTTCGTCTTTTCTAGTCCACCACCTACACAATATGCAAAAAAAGACGCCGGATGATATTTCTGTTAGCTATTTTTTCTTCAGGGATAACGACCCTCAAAGAAATTGCTTCGCTATTGCTCTCCGAACGATAGCTTACCAAATAGCGTTATCCGATCCTATGTACCGGCAGCTCGTCGAAAATACTTGTCAAGGCATCGAAGACATTGGAACATTGGCTAGTGTGTGGAGGCATTTGTTTCGAGTGTTTTTCGCGACGAAATTTCAATCTCGGATATTTATCGTATTGGATGGGGTTGACGAAGCTCAAAGAGACCAGTTGGTGCCTTTTTTGAAACTTCTTAGGGAATTTTGCACGGAGGGAAACCAGGGACACGGAAGAGTCAATATTCTTATGGTTGGACGATGGGATATTGACTGGTACGTGGAGGAAGTTTTCGAAACCCAAGTTCCATGCGTCGACATCTTACCCGGAAAGAATAACGAAGATATAAACAAATATATCTCTCATATTTTGGCAAAGAGCAGGAATCTTAAGAAGACTAGCCCAGAGCTCCAATCTGAAATCCTTAGCGTTCTAACGTCCGAGGCTGATGGGATGTTTCTCTGGGCGGATCTCATGCTCAAGGAAATCTCGACGAAAAACCGGGAGGCATTGATTCGAGAATCACTACAAAATTTACCGAAGGGGCTGCCAGATACCTACGAGAGGATGTTTCGTGTGTTCTCGGAGGCTCTAATAGATGAGCCAGATCAAATCAAAGATCTCAACGAACTGCTTCTGTGGGTTGGATTTGCGAGTCGACCGCTGAGCTTAGCGGAACTTGAAGTCATTCTAGAACTCAGATATGGTGATGGGGGGAGACTAATAGACCTTCACGACGAAATAACGAAGAAATATGCTTCTTTTTTCACAATCTCGAATATCGAGTACGATGCGAGGGACGGAAACACCGGCACAGGGCTTTCTCTAGAGCAAAAATACACTTCGATCGTTCGACTTCGTCACGCTTCCCTTGGCGACTTCTTGAGGCTGAAAAGAGCCAAAGAAACATCAGTTGGTTTAAAAGTTGACGATGCCCAATTGCACTGTTTTAAAACCTGCGCCAAGTTTATGGCAGACCCCGAAAATATGCCGAAAATAGACACTCAGTTTCGCCTACCTGAGATGTTCACTTACTCAAGACGGGACATCTCGGACGGCCCTCTTCGAGCAGAAATTGTAGGCGAACGGTCAAATTTGGTCTTTGCTTCTTATGCCTTACACCACTGGCGGTCACATTTCGGTAGAATCACCGCTGGCCAAACTTCTTTTAAGGACAGGGAAGAGGTTCTCAGCTATTTACATCAAATATTTACCAAACCACACATTCTCGCGGCCCGGTACCAAAACTACATATATAGATTCCCAAGCGACACCTTAAAAATCCCCCCTGGCCTCGTCGCTAAATATAAAAATGAAGAATTAGCATTCGGTCCGGAAACCGTGGGTTATTCGCCTAAGGTGGCAGGTGATATGTTTGAGGTTGTTAAACATTGGATACTGATGAATTTCGGAACAAGGCAAATTATAGTGTCGGTCGGAGCGGGTACGAAACCAGTCAGAACGGAAATGATATTAAACTTGTCCCGACTGAACACTGAAGACGGGGCCCAAGTTAAATCGTGGGCTTTGGGTCCCTTCTCGCCATGGGGTCAAAGGCCGCTCTTTTTTTACCCTATGATAAAAGAGATGTATTTTTTGGCATTGGGTGGAGGCTCTGAGCTCGTGACGGATGAAACTGAAGCTGCAAGGTTCCTATCCTTAATGTATGACTATATATCTAAGGTAATTAAGATTCCTATATCCACCCCTCACTTTCTAATTAGGGAGCCACAAGAAGGCTAATATATTTCTTCGGCTGTAGCTGTGGCCTGGCTACAAGCTCCCATTTTCTAAATCGCAGGGAGAGACTCGGACTATAAACTGGTTTGGCGTCAAAAATGAAGGAGATAATGGTAGAAATCTCGAGCCCATATTGGAGTTCATCTCTTTGGAGAAGAATGCTATTTGGTATTTTAGCGTCGCTCATATACTCCGCGGTCTTGGGGCCTTTGAAATAGCACAAACATATTGTGTCAGAGCATCATCTGCAACGAGATCTGAAGATAATTTTCTCCGCGCAAGGATTTGTCACCTCCGATATGAGTGTGCATATGCTTCTTTCCTTAGGACAAAATCCGCTACTGACTTGCGCTTGGCTAAAGTGTCTCTCGAGATTGCCATTAAAGAGATGACTCGAGATATCAAATTGCTTGAAGATCTTAAAATGCGCGATTTGACCCCCTGGTCGCTGTGTAGGCCTAGGGCAACAGGATACTTGAACGACTACCTCGCGTTCATGGCCAAATACGGATGGACTCAGAATACCAAAATGATGGAAATTTTGGTTTTGAATCTATTACGTAAAATCGACAAAGCATTTGAGCCCATTTCGATGGTTAGGCTAGCGCCGGCTTGATGGAATTCAGAATCTAGAAACCGATTGTCCGAAGAGTTTAGGAGATACAATTGCGACGAAAGCACAAATACTGTTATCCCGTACTAGCTGGATATTTAGTTATAGGTGGAGCTGTTATAGAATTTGTTTTGTAAATATACTATATATACTTACGTTTGTTTAATTAGATTACTTATGTCAACTGCGCTAACTAATAATTAATGCTGTCTTGTGTCATACCTATAGTTTATGCCGGGCTCTGAAGTCCAACCTGCAGCTGACCCATATCTTGAAAGCAGACGAGTTATCTTCTCTAAAAGCTAGGGGGGAATGAAATATACTATGTGTAAGGAATTTAATCGATCAGGGGCAGGTGGGGGGTGTATATTCATATATCCAAAATTACTCTTCTAGGTTCTATGTGCGCTTCCGAGTACATAAATTAGCTATACTTTTAACTTGGGAAGCAAAGCGTCAATCTTTGAGATGTATCTTTCTAACTTCATCCAGCTAAGATAGGTTAAACAAGTGGTATTGGGTTTGTACAGCCAGTCATTCCAATGATCATGACCGGAGTAAAACTAGCCAGTGGGTCCTTATATATAACCTTTTGGGCGACTTCTTGCGTTGTTCGTAAAAAAATACCACACGCCATATCCTTGCACGCATTCTCGAATTCACGTCGCATTTACTCACACTTCCAAGTTCCCGTCGACACCAAACTCGTCTCTTTAAAATAAGAAAGAAAAAAAAGGAGGAAAGCGGCATTCGAAAATAAAAAAACAATGTCGGACCTTCGCGGTTGGATCTCCGACAACCTCCTCAAACTTTCCGGCGCCGCTGACTCCACTATCATCGACTTCGTCCTCGCCACTGCTTCGTCTTCCAAGTCTTCGAACGCCCTTGCCGACAAACTATCAAGCTTTATCGATGGCGATACATCATCGACGCGCGATTTCGCGGAGGAACTGTACCGAAGGTCAGGGAAGAAGGGTAATGGTGCTCTAGTGGCTAGTAATGGAGCTTCGGCGCCTGTAAAGAAGGTGGAAAAGAAGAAGTACGGGTTCGTGACGATGGAAGATGATGATGAACCGATGAGTATGCCGCCGCCTCCGGCGCCGAGGGAGAGGGGAGACAGGAGTCGGGATAAAGATAGGAAGAAGAGGGATGGCGATGAGAAGCAGAGTGGGAGAGATAAAGAACGGGAGCGGGAACGGGAACGGGATCGCGACAGGGAAAGGGGGCAGGATAGGGATAAGGGCAAGGACAAAGATAGGAGGACACGGAAATCCCGACGGAGGGATGAAGATGAGGATTTGTGGGGGGATGTGGAGGTGGATCCTGAGGATTATCCTGAGGAAGAGTACGAAATGCCTCCATCGAAACGGCCACGGATAGAAGACGGCGACGAAGGCGAGCCCGGAATACAAGAAGAGGAACTGAATGAAGAAGAAAAGGCAGAGCTTAAACGACTCCAGGACTTAGAAGAGCGCGACGAATTTGCGGAACGATTGAAGAAGAAAGATAAGGACAGGACGAACAAACTAGTTGAGGATCGGTCTTCGACAAAAGAGGGCAGGGAAACTGCGGAAAGGCGGCGTCTAGCAGACGATCCTGCTGCGAGGCAAGCTGCTGTCAGTGATCTACGATTACGGTCACGACAGAGCTATCTCCAAAAACGTGAGATCGAGCAAGTTGCTCTCTTGCGGAAGCGGGTCGCTGAAGAGCAGCAAGAGCTACGTGAAAACCCCAGCCTATCGCAGAGAGAAAAGGCCGAGTTCGAGAAGAATAGGAAGCTTTTGGAAGCCCATGAGGCTCGAGCACGCATAGACGACCACCGTGATGGGTACGCACTACCCGAAGACTACATCACGGAGAAAGGCAAAATCGATAGAAAGCGTAAAGAAGAGGCTCTCTATAAACGTTACGTGGATCGGGACGAGACCGGGCATGAACGATTCGTTACGGAGCATGAGGAATGGGAGCGCGAGCAGACAGCGAAGGCCAAAGCACAAGTCAATCGGAGTGAGCGAGAAGACGATGGAAATTACGAATATGTTTTCGACGATACCCAAAAGATCAATTTCCTCATGGAGAATACCCAGGCTGGCACTCCTGCCTCGAAAGAGCAGCGGTTCATCGAAGAGCAGCTTAAAGCAGCTGAGAAGAAGGCGCTTAGTATGGAAGAAACGAGAAAGTCGTTACCGATCTATGCCTTTAGGGATGACCTGTTAGCTGCGCTTGAGCAATACCAGGTGCTCATCATTGTGGGAGAGACCGGCTCTGGAAAGACCACACAGATCCCACAGTATCTCCACGAAGCTGGGTATACAAAAAATGGCCAAAAGGTTGGGTGTACCCAACCCCGTCGTGTCGCTGCCATGTCCGTCGCTGCTCGTGTAGCAGACGAGATGGGAGTCAAGGTTGGCAAGGAAGTTGGCTACTCGATTCGTTTCGAAGATCAGACCAGTGATAAGACAGTCTTGAAGTACATGACTGATGGCATGTTGCTCCGAGAATTCCTGACGGAACCTGATCTGGGTGGTTACTCAGCTTTGATGATCGACGAGGCCCACGAACGTACTCTCCACACCGATATCCTGTTTGGCCTAGTAAAGGACATTGCCAGATTTCGCCCGGAGCTGAAACTACTGATTTCCAGTGCTACTATGGATGCTCAGAAGTTTGCGGCATATTTTGATGATGCACCGATCTTTAACATCCCAGGAAGAAGATACCCTGTTGACATTCACTACACATCTCAGCCAGAAGCCAATTACCTTCACGCAGCAATCACCACTATCTTCCAGATTCACATTTCTGCGCCTAAAGGTGACATCCTTGTATTCTTAACTGGTCAGGATGAAATCGAAGCAGCTCAACAGAACCTCGAAGAAACGGCCCGAAAATTGGGTAGCAAAATTAGAGAGTTGATAGTGGCGCCCATCTACGCTAATCTCCCCTCCGAACTCCAATCCAAGATCTTCGAACCAACCCCAGAGAATGCCCGGAAAGTCGTATTAGCCACTAATATCGCCGAAACCTCGATTACAATCGACGGTATAGTCTATGTCATAGATCCGGGCTTCGTTAAAGAAAATGTTTACAACCCTAAAAGCGGCATGGAGTCGCTTGTTGTTACACCTTGCTCCCGTGCCTCCGCAAACCAACGAAGCGGTCGTGCGGGTCGTGTCGGACCGGGCAAATGTTTTAGATTGTATACCAAGTGGGCGTATTACAATGAGTTGGAGGAGAATACGACACCAGAGATCCAGCGGACGAACCTCAACAGCGTTGTGTTATTGCTGAAAAGTTTGGGGATCAACGATTTGATTGGGTTCGATTTTATGGATCCACCGCCTGCGGAGACGCTTATTCGTGCACTAGAACAGCTATATGCTCTAGGTGCATTAAACGACAAAGGAGAGCTCACGAAAGTTGGTCGACAGATGGCAGAATTCCCGACTGACCCGATGCTTGCCAAGGCAATCCTAGCGGCGGACAAGTATGGCTGCGTTGAAGAAGTCCTATCAGTTATCTCCATGCTGGGTGAAGCATCCGCTCTCTTCTATCGACCGAAGGACAAGAAGCTATATGCGGATCAAGCAAGGAACCGGTTCACAAACAAACAAGGAGGCGACCACCTAACTCTCCTGAACATTTGGAACCAATGGGTTGATACCGATTTTTCATACGTCTGGGCCCGTGAGAATTACCTTCAACACCGCTCACTTACCCGTGCGCGCGATGTTCGAGACCAACTTTCCAGGCTGTGCGATCGAGTTGAAGTTACGCTTTCGTCATGCGGGAGCTCCGATGTTGTACCCATTCAAAAGGCTATAACCGCTGGGTTCTTCCCTAATGCCTCGCGGCTACAGCGCGGCGGAGACAGTTACCGGACGGTGAAGAATGCACAAACGGTGTATATTCATCCCAGTTCGACGTTATTTGAGGTCAATCCCAAGTGGGTTATCTATTATGAATTGGTGTTGACGAGTAAGGAATTTATGAGGAACGTGCTGCCTTTGCAGCCGGAGTGGTTGGTCGAGGTGAGTACTCTTTTTATATTCTGGTAGAGGCGATATAGTAAAAATACTAATACGAATGGCTTTATAGGTCGCACCGCACTATCATAAGAAAAAGGATTTGGACACTTTAGGTATTGATAAGAAGATGCCGAAACAGCAGGCACAGCAACAGCAGCAGCAGAAAGCATAGTGAATATATATATCTGCTATATTATTAGTCCCTACATACTACAGGAGTGTAGAATTCGGGACTACTTCCTGGCCTCGTCCCAAGAAGTCACAAAAGGAGAAATCCGCTTAACTTCCTATAACTTTGTATACTTAATTTCGTGTACGATAATAATGAACTTGAGAAGATTAGGAAATAAAAATGAGGTCACAAAAATAAGGGGACCTGAGTTTCTAGTACTTGGAAGCGGTACGTTTTTGGTGCCGTGGGAAGGTGCTGGTCGATCTTTGAATATTTTTTCTACTCAAGTAACGTTAACGAGGCTTAAACCTTTAAATATCCAACCGCTCTACCACTCTCCAACAGAACCATGTTAACCACCAAACCCTTCAAACCCCACACTACCATCATTACTACAATCCCACGCCTGGGACAAAAACATTCATTTATGAGTTCACATCCACACCCACCTCCCACAGCCCCAAGACCCCACGGTCATCGCGGCGGCCACGGCGGCCGAGGTCGCGGTCAAGGTCGAGGCCGTGCCCGTGGTGGCGGCGGCGGCGGAGGCCCATCACATCCACGTCCCGGACAATCAGCCTTTGCAGCAACAAACGGACCGAACCCCGTACCCCGCCACTCAGCAATCCACACAAACACTCATGTTTCAATAGTTCTCAAAGAAGACCAACCTACCGGCCGACAAGTTACGGGACTTGTAGCTGATGTATTGACACGTGGGGATCATCATCGGGGTGTCAAAGTACGGTTGAAAGATGGGAGGGTGGGGAGGGTACAGAGAGTTCTACACGGGGTTCCGGATAGTAGTAGTACAATTCAGAGTGGAAGTGCTGGTGGTGGACAACTTGATGGTGCTACTGCTATGGAGGAGGGTTCAGGTGGTTTTCAAAACGTAAATTTGGGTGATAGAGGAGGTAGTGGAGGGAATAGGAGCAATTATAGAGGTGGGAGGGGCAGAGGTAGAGGTGGGTTTAGACCATACAATGTATCATCAGCTAGGGGTGAAGACGGAAACGAAAGAAGCGAGGCTACATACGACTTAACAGCATTTATACGGGGTGGGAGGAGGGGTGGGAGATATAGAAACCAACGGGGAGGGCGAGGATTTGGGAATACAGACGCTGGCGGATCTGGTGGGCGCTGGGAGGAACTGGAGTTATCGCCACTAGATTCGGATGAGTTTTTGGAGAATAGTCCAAGTAACGATCCCATCATACGGTGCCCTGTTTGCAGCGACTTTGAAGGGGACGAAACGGCGGTATCACATCATGTTGAGGCTCACTTCAGATAGAGATAAGAGTCTTTCGGTGGAATTTTTCTTCTTTTTTTAGATTTAGCGGGTATTCATGCACGGCGTTTACGAAGGCTTTTGTCTAATTTATGGGACGGGGAAGAAATGGGATCATGAATGTATCATAGAAACGATATCATACATCTAATCATCAAAAAAAAAGCGGTTGTCATGTCGTCCGTGAAGGACATAGGGTATGTTTCCATCAAGCCCCATCTTCTGCAGAAGAAGAATTCTAGAAGGGGAAGGGACGTGAGGAAGGTGGAATTGGAAATGTGGTATACAAGGCGTATATAAAGGAAAAGCGTTCAACGAAAAATCCCCATGCACATAAACCATAAGAAGACACCCAGAGAGTCAGAAAAAAGCTCGAATTAATAATACTAGACGTTAAAAAAACAAAGATGCTACTTGAATTTAAGCCTCGAAAGCATCTGGGAAACGTCTAATATTATCCTTCAAGCTACCGTGGTTGGTCAAGAACTGAACGTAGGCACCGTCAGTCTTGACCTTACCAGCAGCCCTGGCGTCGGCGTACTCCTCTCTCCTCAAAGGTGTGAAACCCCAGTTCTTGGAGACAATGATCTTCTGTCGGCCGGGGAACTTGTACTGGGATCTTCGGAGAGCTTCGATGGCGGTAGCACGGTGAGAGTCACGGGTTCGGACGGACAAGATGATCTGGCCAATGTTGACACGAGCGACGGTACCGTTGGGTTTTCCCCAGGCACCACGCATACCAGTTTGCAGTCTATCGGCACCGGCACAGGACAACATCTTATTGATACGGATGACGTGGAATGGGTGGCATCGGACACGCATGTGGAAACCTATTCCGTCACCGTTAGTATGACTTCTAATAGGCTATTACTTTGAAGTAGAATATTAAAACTTACCGTCCTTTCCGGCAATCTTGACGAGGTACTTGTTGGCGCAAATACGGGCGGCTTCGAGAGCCTCGGAGCTCAACTGTTCGTACTCATTGGAAACCTATAGAATAACCACCATTCACTTAGTCCTTCTGTTTCCCTATAATTTTCTTCGAAGTTTTGTTCCTTGTCGGATGGAATAGAGACATACGAGATGGATGCAGAGAGGGAACTCGTCGACACCAGCACGCTTTCGTCCAAGATCGAAGATACGGATCTTAGGATCTGGGACACCACGGTTGAATCGGGACTCTAATTATTTCGAACAACATATCGTTAGAAGCCGTATTCTAGCAGCAGTAGTAGCAGTAGCAACTATGTATCGGTCGATCGAAGATATATATACGCACTTGGATATGGCTTGTTCTCTATAATGAAGAATCAAAAATTAGCAATCTGTCCCTTCATCCATCCCACCAAAGGAATCCGTAGATGTCGAGAATGTGAACATACTGCAGTAACGGTAGCAACGAGCTGGACGACGACCCATTTTGACGGTTTGTTGAAGATTCCGGTATTACAACGGTGTACTGGGGGGGTATAGAAGGTTGATGATGGGGGGTAAGGGAATGGGCTTCCTGTCGATGAGGTAGTACTTGGGCGTTGAATGTTTGATTGATAATCAACTTTTCACACTTTTCCGCAACACCAGCCAAACAAGGAAATTTCTTGGCACTACGCAAAAAGCAGTCACAGGAACCTTCAACGCAATCCGGGTCAGGGAACCCGTCCAATTTATATGTTTTCCCGGGCCAAGATCTTGAAGATGTTGCTTAGAAATACAGATTTTACAGACTACGGAACTGCCGTTGCATTGCAGTTGCAAGCAGGCAAGGCATTAGGATTTTACGAGGCAAAAGAGTCATAGCAATAGACTGTCGTTTCAGACTAGACAGTTGGTTTTCCGATTTAGACCTTCTAAACTCGACAAGGAATTGGGCACAGAACAAGACAGAAAATATGTACAGCAAGGTGACCATATTAATAGCCTGAGTAAAAAAGAAGAAATGAAGCGAGCTTGAGTCGGCCAAATGTAACCACCGATAGTCCGATCAATACCCCCCGGTCTTCTTGTCACTGCTTCCCATTTTATCATTAAATCGTAAAAATATTAACGAGAAGCAAGACGCAGAGAAGATGTCGAGGAGCGAGACGGTCTAACTACTTGTCCGCTTAAGCGCTGGTGGACAGAATGTCGGAGTCACCTTGGTCGAGGATGGCCATGGTGGAGCATCGGAAGAGTTTACCACAGGCGGTTCCAAGCTCAATCTGTTTATTTCGAAAAGAAGTAATTAGCATCTATTTGATCCCTCCAAAGCCTCTATATGGCTTCTTCTCAGGGAATACCATGCCCATTTATCTAGTTCCCTAACCTAAACTTTTCACCACAATACATTATGATATTGAGTGGAAAGCAGCTTTGGACATCCGATAATACAGCAGGTATAAACCTAAAGACGAGGATTTGAGGAGGGTTCAACATACGTTGTTTCCAGAGAAGTGGTGAACATTGGTCTTGGCCAACATGGCGTAGTACTCCAATTCGGACTTGCGAAGAGGAGGGGTGTTTCCGGCAATGAGGACGAGCTTGGCCTTGCCAGATCGGAGGGTCTTGAGGGTAGACTTGTATCCCAAAACGACCTTTCCACTCTTCATAACCAGGGCGAGCCTGGAGTTGATGCTGTTCTCAGCTTTCTTGGACTTCTTGGTTGGGGCTGTCGACGACCTCCGTTAGCAATTGCTTCTGAAAATAATGTCGATAGTAGCACATACCCATCTCTGCGCTTGTGGAATATAAGCACTCCGGTCTATATTAGAGATAATTTGATAGGGGTTGGGAGGGTAGGTGATGAGGTTCGTTGAAGTTGATGATGAATGAAGCAGCAAAAATTCGATAACTTTTTTAGATTTTGAAGAGCAGCCCACCGAATTTTTTGGCAAGTGCGACTAAACCCTAACATGGTGAAGAGCCGCAAACGACAAACATTGCAGCCTGCACAACACAAAATCCATAAAGGGTATTTCAGAATATCAAACATAATTTAAATCATGTGATGACCTCTCTTAGCTTTGGGAGCTCGAGCTTCTCGCGCCTGTCCAGGTCATGGCCATGACGTCCGCGTCCAGGGAGCTTGCGATTGCATGAAACTGTTGGCTTCGTTGAGGAACAAGGCCACTTAGCGCGAGGCTAGCTTGGGGAACTAGAGTTCCCAGTACCAGTACCAATCTGTCGGCAACTTGCCCCTAAAAACATTGGCTCAGGGCTGGGCTCCATGCTACGACAACCCTTGCAGCGCCTATCATACCAGCAGCTATAGCTGTCGCCGGTGGGTTTGGGGCTACCAATGCAATGCAACTCATAACCTTCAACCTTCAATTCTGTGATTCGATGCATTGTACATGTACATACAGCAATTGCAATACAACCTGGCACATGTATCACTTTAGATTATTCTCGCCTTCACACGCCTATCATTACATTGATCATTGTGATACGAAGAATATGCGGTGGAATTGAATTACGACATCAATGCATACCTATCCTCAGAAGCGGGCTATTTCGGATGTGATTTTGAAGGTCAGAAGTATCATGATATCAATGTCCATGGGGACAAGTTCCCAAAAAGATGTCTCTAACCTTCGGATAATCTAGGTTAAAGATTCCCGTTGGCCTCAAGCTTATAATTAGATCTCGAGGCCAAAATATCCTTTGCACATTTGTAGGACAGCTTGCATGCGACTGCTAGCCTAGCAGACCCACAACCTACCCCGCCCAATCAATTAGACCTGGCCTAAAACTTTGTGAACCTTGCCTCTTTCAAGGTGGCATCTAAAGCAAACCTTAACCTTCAATCTATTACTATACTGACTTACTTAAGTACTGATTTTGTTTACCTAGGACGGGTTTGCCTGATATAGCTACGCAATCTTAGTAGTCGAGCTCCGCATATCATGCGCGAAGGTGATACAGAAGTACATATGTACATGTACCCAGCTAAACACACGTTTATCATCTCCGGAAATTTCAAAAAACCAAGTTTTGAACATTTTTCGTCCCAAGTCCAACATTTTCGAGCGCTAGTATCGCTTGAATTCTGACAGCTTATTATAATCATGCATGTTATGCATGAAAAGTTTAAGCAAAAATGGTCGTAGGGACAGGCCAGCCGCGAAGTTGTTGGAGTTTCGAATGCAAACCTGGGAAATCTGCGCGACTGCATGCACCCACTTCTGTCCTAGGTTCTTATTCGATGGATGCAAGTTCCAAATCCACACGATGCCACTCGCCGGCTGCAGGTCGTATGACCCGAAACATCATGTTGCCGATCCAGCCAGTGAAAATGTGATATCTCGTCGTCCGACGTCGCGGACTAGTAGTCGGGTAGAGCCTTGCCGCACACACACTACTAGGCTAAGCCTAACTAGCTAGTACAGGGAAGTCCAAAGTTCCCAAAATATGACGGACCCCTACAGATTAGAACATACCGAGGAAGTATCAACCATTGTCGACAACCACAAAGCTGTTCCTCTTTTATTTAGCTTTATCTCACCTTACGGCCTTTTCCGAATCTATGCTTTTCCGTCCACTTAGACCACTCTCCTACGGCCGCGTGTCTAACAACGTCCAAAAGCGTCCCCACTTCGAACCAGTGGTCTGACGGCTCTAGTCGAATAACGCGGCAGTCGGTATTCATCCATGAAAAGCGTTAGTTTACCCCTCTTTTTGACCTGTTTGGTAGCTATCTTTCGTCCGAGACTCTTTCACATTTCTTCTAGTAGCTGCAGAAGACCCAGAATCCAAGTAGTTGGGACCGGAATGACGACTTTGCCGGGCTGCACTACTATCCTATGTTACTATAGAATTTGACAGATAGTATTTTTTTCGTAACAGTAATACGGGTGTCAGCTGGCTTCGTGGCGGTTGCCTTTTAATTTAGAAAAAGAAACAAAGCAATTCGAAACCAAAGCGTATATAAAAGCTCGAGCCCTCATACTCTCGGACCCTTAATTCTGAACTGGCGCTACCTATATCCTTTACATTCCTCATCGTATCGATCGCTAATCATACAACGGAAGCATCTTTTTTTGTATCGATTCGTCTTTTAAAAGTCCTTCTTAATAAATCTAAACGATAACCTATCATAGGGGAACACTAAATTGTGTCAAAAGCATCATAAAATCTATCCACAATGGTTCACACAGCCCAGGATTCTGCTGCAGGCCCAGCACCTATACTTCGTCCGAAACTTTCTGAGTTGGCCGCCCAGATTGCTGAAAATGCAAAAATTCTTGAGGATTACATCGAATCACAGGGTCTCCCGTACCCATCATTCGCTGCAGACGGACCAGCAAAGTTCCCTCTGCCACCCGCAGGGTCAACGCCGGAGGTTGAAAAGCTACACGCTGCAAGGATTCAAGTCCTAGAAGCCTCCAAGTCTATGTTGGATCTAACTGCAGGCCCAAGTGAAATGCTTCAATGGCTTGTCTGGGGAGTAAGTTCTCACCCTCTTTTTTCTTTGACATTTGTTTCTGTGTTGGGTTTGTCGTGAATGGCATGCTGCATGTTGTACGACACCAATCGCAGCACCGAACCAAATTGTCGGGATTCTGGGCGCGAGCTCCAAGCTCCGATCAACGGGCGATTAATTAGGCGTTGTCGTTCGATTCCTTGATATACGGATGCGTATACGAGGTCGTTAATATGGCGTGCTATTGGATGGTGATTATTCCGAATGTTTCATTGCAAGGATGCTTCATTTCAGTATGTTAATAGTACTGGCTTCGTTCAAACAAGAACAACCAAAAACTATTATATACATTATATTAGACGACGTTGAAATTTGGCTTACCCATCAGGTTGGACACATCAAGCTAACAAGCGCTGATAATCTTTGAAAATAATAGTTTAATGACACCTCGACTATCCATGTCATCCATCACTTCAAAATCGCCCAGCATGTTCCAGAGACCGGTGATATTTCGTTCACCGAGCTGAGCGAAAAGATCAACGTCTCGTCTCTCAAGCTTCGTCAAATTCTTCGCTATGCTATGACAAACCGCATATTCTGCGAGCCCCGCCAAGGGTACATTGGCCATACTGCCTTATCTCTACTTCTCCGCAATGAAGATTCGCCGGAGTGGGCATGGATAGGCTACAATACCGAAGAACTTTGCCGTACTGGACCTGCCCTCGTACCATGTCTTGAGAAGTACCCGCATAGCCAAGAACTCAATGAAACGCCCTGGTCTGTGGCACACAAAGACCAAGGGTTCTTTGAGTATATGGATGAGAACCCTGAAAGTGCGAAGCGGTTTGGTGTATGTATGTCTCTATGGAGTTCCGGAGATGGATTGAAGGTTGCGCCTTTGGTCACAGGTTACGATTGGGGGAAATTGCCCGAGGGTGCAACAGTAGTCGATGTAAGTGGTAACTCATCCTATCTAAGTTAAGAGTAAAATATATCAGCGTGCTAATATACAATTGTATCTAGGTTGGTGGTGCTACCGGATTCGTTTCTCTTGAGATCGCAAAGGCAAATCCATCCCTGAAATTCATAATTGAGGACATTGCCCCTCTTTCTCTAGAACAAGGCAAGAAGAACCTAGCCCGAGATCACCCTGATCTCGTAGAAAGATTTGAATTTCGCCAGCATGATTTCATGACCGAACAGCCAGTCAAAGGTGCCGATGCATATCTGGTTCGATTTATTCTTCACGACTGGCCGGATAAATATGTTCACCAGATTTTGAAGAGCTTAATCCCAGCTTTCAAGAATGGAACTAAGCTTATTGTAAGCGATTTCGTTATACCGCCAGCGAATGTTTTGCCTCCGAGAGAGGAGCGGACGGTTAGGTAAGATACAACCACTTCTCTCTTAAAATTTAAAGGGTGCTGGCTGACGATCGAACACCTATCCCAGAGCATTGGATCTTGTCATTTTCAAGGCCTATAACTCGAATGAACGAGAGGAGGCAGACTGGAGAAGACTATTTGCGGAAGTAGATACAAGACTCCGGGTTGACAGCATAACAAGGCCGGCTAACTCGTTATTGTGGGTCCTGGAGCTTACCTTTGTTGACGAGTAAACAACTAGCGTGAGGCCTTGGCAGCTCGAAGTCTGGTTTGCGAGACAGTCTACCCTCCTGTTAATTCTTATGATTCCCTTTAGCTGTTTTTTTATGAAATAGTTTCGTAGATAGCGACAGTCTCTTACTAATAATGAATCTGTTTTGAATTCTGTTACAAATCTATCTCAGAGTGATTCATGCTGATGACTGGCTTTCTGCGTTGTAATGTTGGAAGTGGAACATTTGTGACAAACGCCAACACAGCGGTGACGACACTCTGACAAACAGATCCATGTTCACGTGTCACCGAATAAGGCAAGTTGAGGCGATAACGGCAGGAGGTGGCCAATTCCGCGAACGAGGATTGCGAAAGTTCGAAGGAAGATGGCAAGTTCCTTCCCCATCACCGTTGAAACAAAGGATGTGGTGGTGGTGTAATGGATGTCTACGATGTATGCGTAAGTCAGTAGGTATCATGCACGGCCCATGCATGCATCTCAGCTGGTTAGGTACAGATATGCGACCTTGAATTCCCCACAGTCTACAATCCGGCAGAAAGTACCGGCAAAGTCTCTGCCAATGCAGGCAATAACGTATAACTGTGCGTGCTACATTCCTGGGGTACACAGGAAACGGTTTCCGGGAATTGGGATGCAGACAGAACACCCGCAGGAATTTTGCTTTCGTCCGAAATTTTGCTTCAAACGTCGGATTGAACTCGAAGTTCCCTTTCAAAAGTGACAATATACATATCATACACACTTGTATATCGATATGAGACCCCCTGTGTGTGAGCGAATAGGTATGTATGTCATCCTGTCCGCATCAATGACAGGCCTATTAGTGATATGGATCCGTGATATCCATCCGACAGCCGGATCAGCCATCCAGCCCAGATGGTTCGAGAAGTGGCAAGAGCGTTCGTTCCCTCCTGCTTCTGGGGGACGAGTAGCCCAAAGCAGAGCTCTGGAGCACTAGCCGGAGTGGCTGTCATAACTGTCCGGGCTGTTGCTAAGCATGAAACCGTTTTAGCTGAAAATTTTCACGCCAATTTGAAGGAGGACAAAGAGAGGAACACTGGCCATGTGATTCGGTTGCTTGGATGCCATTGACTGGATTAATTTGCATTGCCTTGCCTGAAGTTCTAGTTCTGATTGAATGCCTTGGTTTGGTCTTGGTCTTAGTCTGGGTTTGGGGATGCATGTCTGGACGTTAATTACTTAAACACCCTCTCCCAGCCCAACCCAACCTGAATTCATTATTCATTCATTCATCCACCGAATTAAACTTCCAACCTCAATCCATCGCACGAACCCAACAAAACCACCTCATCTCCAACATCATCCTATCAAGGACACATTTGCTGCTTGTCATCACCATCTTCGCCATTGTTCCGTCGATCGTAGATAGTTACTCATATCTCTCGCTCCTGCAAAGTTAAGGAAAGAAAGAAAGCAAAAAAAAAAAAAAAAAAACTCAGTTCAAACTGTCCAGCCTATTGTCGTCTGTCAGCGACACCGCCCCAGTCCCTTCACCCAAGAAAACCGATCCCACGAGTACCCCCGGCAATCAGTCAAGCTGGAACGTTATGGCGACCATGTCAAATTTATCTAGTAATACGAGTAGTAATAATCAACACCTCATGCATGAAGTCGCCCCTCTCGCTGAGGCCAGGAACCCAGTTCTTGCCTCTTGCTTCACCACCGATGTCTCTGCTACGGTTGTTCGCTCGTTCCATTACTCTTCGACCCGGGCGGGCGGGGTAGAGGTAATTTAATTCTCCTAGATTTAACTTGAGTGTTATAATCAATCTTGTCAGAACATATGCTAACTTCTGATATTACAGTGGTATCCCTGAGGTCCCTAACTCACCTACCACTAATTCCCGGCGGCAGACCTCTCCGAGTCGCCAGGGAAAGTGGGCGGCCCGTACCATTATCACAGAGTGTGAGAGACTCTGCGATGGTGTTATGCGTCAAGTTTTCTTCGGTTATGGAAGGAAATCTGCGCAGGCATCTACTATGGACGTGTCGTTAAAAACAATCGCAGGAGGGAACGGCAACAGCATCATTCCCAGCGTCGGCAATCATGTCGATGCCTTCCAGAAGCCGCATACTCCACCAACCACTCCTCCCTCATCTCCTCCTAAGGGTGTAAAAAGCCCTGTCAGGAGAATGATGAGGCGGTCGTCGGAGTTGCAAACTAGGGTTGCGGCTTACTTGGAGGTTTTCGACTACGTCGGCGGGAGTGCATTCCGAGGATTCGTATCCGAAAAAGGTCCTTTGAACAAGCCTGAGAGGTCTCTCTTTTTGTTCTTTGATAAAGGTGTTAATGGCACCGAACTCAAGTCCGGACTCGTTGCTTTGATCGATCTCGCAACGGAATGCTTTGATTGTCAGGATCTAGTCATTTGTCTTGATCGGGAAACCGACGGACTTGGTATGTCACCTACCTTCATTTGTAAATTCTTCAGACGCAGCATCATACTAACATGGAATCCTATTAGACTCGCTTGTTCACAACCTCGGATGGGTTGGCCTTGAGCTCGCTACACTCAAAAATTGGGCTTCTCAGGACCTTCGAGATGAAGTTACCACCACTCACAAGCTCGACAGAGAATACTTCACCTCCGACAAATGGTTGTTCCTCGGAATGGAATTGTAAATACTACTCTCCTCAACGAACATAGACATGACGGATGATGCAACACTACGAACAAAAGTTTTGATGACACTTTTTGATCAAAAGCGACAAAAAAGAGGATAGACGGTGGCAGCGACCCAAAAGTCTAGTTAATTGTCTATTATTTCCTCCCCTTTTCTCAACGTCAATCATTCACTATTTCTCCTGCGGCTCTATCCTAAGTTCTTTTGCTTCGCGTGCGCTGTTTTTTTTACTTTGTCCAACAAAAATTCCGGCGGCGGTTTTTTCTTATTGATCCTTTCTTTACTTTGGTTTTGAATCGTGCTGTTGCCGGCACCCCTGCGCTATTGCACTAATGCTCTTGGGCTTTCTATGTATAGCAGTTATCTACTTTCGTTAGTTTCTGGTCAGCCTCTTCTTCGAAAAGGCAATTTTATATCTTAGAATCCCTCGTTTCTCTCGAGAACCCCTTTCCGTACTTTTTCTTTTTGTTTGTGATCGTTTCGTTTCTTATTCCACGTGATATATGCATATGCTCTTCCATCGTAGGCAGCCTCTTCTCCCCCCTCCCCTTTCCCTTTTTAAGCTTTCCTAAGGCCTTCCTGCATAGGCCCACGGACTGCAGGGTGGACTGTTGTATCTTCTGCCTTATCTGTTATATTGTTTGTCCTACACATCCGTTTCATAATCGTGCGGTTGATTTTCTCTTTTCGAACTCTTTTCTGGGATGCCTTATCAAGGTTTTCATGCTTGCTTACTTTTCTTTTCCTTTCCTTTCTTTTTGATAGTTGTAAGCTAGGTAGTAGCCGCAAATGCAATAATTACCCGCCGGATTCGAATTCATCGTTCCCTTGCTGTAGTCTATTAGATGGTGCAGGTAGCGACTATAGTCTTACAAGTTTGAAGTTATATATATCAATAATAAATGTTTAGTTATGCGCTATTAAATTGATAACATGTATATACAAATATCTCAGTCATGATCATGCTGGGAGCTCTAAGATGGGAAATGAATGTTTTATTGCGGGATAAAGGATATGGGAAAGGATATTCGTTAAACAGAAGAAGAAATAATGACACATCTCCAGCATTTGTCTAGATAAGGTACTACAGCATCTAGATTACACTCCATTATATGCCAAAATCTTGGTATCCTTGTCGTCCTTAATGTTATGCAACAATCCCTTGCCCGCAGTATTCATAATCTTCTTCTTCATGCCCACAACATCAGTCTGCAAGCTCTGGTCCTCTCCTAGGAAGTAGGCTACCAATCCTGCGACGTGTGGTGCGGCCATGCTAGTTCCACTCATCACATTTACCGCCTCATCGCCATTGATGTAAGTGCTCAAGATATCACGACCTGGTGCATAAGTTGTAATACACGGTCCGTAGTTCGAAAAATCCGCACGGTTATCATGGATATCTATAGCACCGACAGTAATAGCACTAGCGAGGTATGTAAATTCGGTTCCGTTATAGAGTTTGTTACTCAAGAATCCCGGGGAAACTCTACAAGCGTCGATGCCTTGGTTTCCAGCGGCGATGACGGTGTGGATACCCTCGGCATTGGCTCTCATGATGGCTCGTTCGAGGGCTGGTGAGGCGCTGACTTCGTTACCGTCGATGTTGTCGACATCGATTCCGAAGGACATGGATGCGACTGAACCCTTGAAACCGGGTTCATCCTTACGCCTTCGGTGGATGGTGAGCATTTCGTCGATTCCGGCTATGATGTCGGCAGAAGAACCAGCGCCTTTGCTGCCCATGACTTTGATGGCGTGGATGTTGGCCTTTTTGGCGACACCGAAACCGCGAGAACCGGTTGTGCCGGCGCAGTGGGTTCTGTAAATATTATTAGTATGATGGTTGATTAAAGCAAGTTGTGTATGTTTTTTTTTAAAAAAAGGAAAACCCTTACCCATGACCAGCACGATCTTCTTCTCCTTCCAGGGTATTACTCTTTAAAGAGGGAGCTGTGTAGACTCTATCCGCCCGGCCACCGAATGATTTGTGATTGATGTTTATTCCGGTATCAATAACATAGATATCAACACCTTCTCCTGCGGTCTCGTCAAATTTATACTTGAAAGACGGTTGCCAAGTCTTATCTGCCGCCGCATTAAAATCAACGGGGATCATTTGTTTCTGACTAATCCTCTGGAGTCCCCAGGGTGCATTCGTCTGAGTCTGCACGTTCGTAATACCAGGTGCAGGAGCTTGTCTTGGCTTCTTCACGGGGTGTTCGGCAGCAAAATTCCCAATATCAGCGAGTTGAGGGGTGGCGAATGGAGCTTGAACTCTATATGTCACGATGGGTTCGATGATGACGCCTGATGGTGGAAGCATGGCTTTGAGGATTTTAACACAGTGGTCGGACATATCTGCGGAAAACCCGTTCATGATTGAAGAGAATTTATGGTGAAGATGGGATTTGTTGAAGCCGTGGGGTTGGAGGGATGTGAGGATTTCCTCGGCATTGACGACGGCTGAACCATCTTTTGGGTGCGGGAAGCGGAAAAGATAGGGGGTGAACTTTGTGGGATGTCCGGATGGGACTGTGGGTTTGTTATCCCCCGGGATGGTGTATGTAGGAGGATGTTCACCGTTGTGAGGAGCGGGCAGCGCTGAAGCTGTGAGAAGGAAAGTAGAGAAGACTGTGAAGAATCGCATTTTGAAAAAAAAAAAAGTAATGAGGGGTATCCTTTTTAGAATTTGTAGAGAGGTATCAAGTGAGAAATGGGGGGTATATTATGCTACGCAAAATGTGCAAGAATATGTATAGTTGAATGGATTAAGATGCGATATAATTAATGTATCGTCTCGAAGTCTGTGACGATTTGGGGTATCGATAGAATGCAAAATATCGTGAATTAAAGGATTCCGAGAAAATTGCGTTGACTTTGTTGCAATTTTGTTAGGGAGAAGTGAAGGGACTTTTAGCCGATAAAATGCTAAACCAAGCTTGCAAGTAGCTAAGTTTGAAAATGAAAGTAGATGTATAAAAGATTGAAGAAAAAAATAAAAATATAGGAAAATAAAAGAGTGTAAATCGGTATAATAGAATATATCGAAAGGCCGGTCGAAATCAAGCAAGACTTGAGCGCTCTTCAAGAAATCACCAAAAGTAGCTGACCCAGCCCCGACCAACGAAAGAATGTGGTGAATATATATGGTGGCCCTGCACCGTCGAACTTTTTTCGAATTAATGATCAACACCCTGAAACGGTGGATCTGGAGAAGTATTGAAACGAAAAAAAGGGGAATGAAGGATAAACCAAGAAAAAAAAAAGAGTGATGCAAGTCCTCCAACCTGTGGAATTCCCGCTTAGATACCGGTGAGGCTGTGGTGATAAAGCGGAAAGGAAAAGTACCTGCAGCTGTCCTACCTACGGAAGAGGGGGGCATGGGCGTGTTTATAAACCTGCAAGTCTGACATTGGACTTCACCGATGGCAATAAACACAGTCAGCAGAAGAGAGTCTCCTGGACTAAATTTGCAGTATCCTGCAGTGAAATCCCGTGCTTCGACCCCTTCCCTAGGCATGCTAGCCTTGTGCGTCCAGTTCATAATCCGACCAGCAAATGGGACCTTTCCCATCAGAGATCTAGTTCTATCTTGAGATCTCACTACATTTTTAGGTACGAATTGGGGTACCTTTTCACAGCGCGCGCCAGGCGTTGTTGGACAAGTACACCTTACTGAACGCTGATTCGGTGTGGGGGAAGTTGTCCCTGGACGAATGCGGCCATGGCGGCAGGGTTGTTGCGGTTAGCAAAACAGCATGAACAAGATTGCGCGGCCAGTCAATAGCGGCATTGGATTCGTGGAAGTGGACAGGCCTAGGTCTACACCGAGTCAGATTCCCTCTCTTTAGGGAGAAAAAAAAAAGGGAATCTAGGCAGTTGAAACGTGCATTACCATATGTGGGAAAGAAACTGCATATATGCATGCATCTTGATGATTAATGATAAAATGATAAAATGATGAATATGATGGAGAGCTAATTCGATAGCTGCTATTTCTGAGGCGAGCACGATGTGATTGGATTAATGGCAGCGGCGGGCAGCGGAGCATTGAGGCCGGATCAAAGTCGTTGCCCGATTGGGAGCCCAGCGACATCGGACGACACGCCCAACGCAAAAGCCCTGTCATGGCCGCGGTTCTAGCTTGAATTCTCCCTCGCCTCGGAAATCTTAAAAGAAAAAAGCTGACTCAAACATTGCATGATATTGGCAGCGGCAAACCTTCAATATCAATATCAATATCAGTATCTGGAAGATATTATTTAGGCTACCAAGCTGTCGTGCCCCGACCGAGCTTCCATCTTTTATACGCAAAAAAAAAAGATGTCAAACACCGTTCATCTCCTCGACTATGTCGCCGGCAATGTCCGAAGCTTGGTCAATGCGATCGAGAAAGTCGGTTACAAGGTCGTCTGGATTAAAGACCCTGCAGACCTTGCAGGCGCAGAGGTAAAGTTTCATTATTCCAAATTCAGGCCTTTTATATGCATATACCCCAGATATATCGATCTTTTAATTCTTGATTAATATACCATAAAATACACATTACACTTCTGTCATATCAAGTCTAACCGTTATCTTAAAACGCCATATAGAGAGTAATCCTTCCTGGTGTCGGGCACTTTGGCCATTGCCTGTCCTCCCTCGCCAAAGCTTCATTCACGGAGCCATTGAAGGCCTATATCGCCTCTGGGAAACCGTTTATGGGCATTTGCGTCGGCCTTCAAGGTCTCTTTGATTCCTCCTCCGAAGACCTTGAAGTTCCCGGTCTTGGAATCATTCCAGGAAGACTCACTCAATTTGACTCTTCCACAAAATCGGTGCCACATATTGGCTGGAATAGTGCTATCGCAATCGAGTCTGAGGAGACAAAGGGTAAATCACTATATGGATTAGTACCCGGGAGAAAATACTATTATGTTCATTCATATGCTGTGCCATATACCCCCGGACAACTCGAATCACAGGGGTGGGACGTAGCAACCGCCACATATGGAGACGAGAAATTTGTCGGGGCTATTGCTAAGGGAAACATTTTTGCCACACAGTTTCATCCAGAAAAGAGCGGGGAAGCCGGATTAGCGGTTATCAAAGCATTTTTGGATGGGACAAGATTATCGGACCTTCCTCAGGATACCCAGGCGAAAGAGATGGGGGATGGGCTGACAAGGAGAGTCATCGCCTGTTTGGATGTTAGAACGAACGATGATGGTGATTTGGTCGTTACGAAAGGAGACCAATATGATGTACGGGAAAAGGGGACAAGCTCTTCGGGCGGACAAGTCAGAAACCTTGGTAAACCGGTGGACTTGGCGAAACGGTATTACGAATCTGGAGCCGATGAAGTTACATTTTTGAATATAATGTCCTTCAGAAATTGTCCAGTAGCGGACACACCAATGTTGGATGTCCTTAGACTTACATCCGAGGAGGTGTTCGTGCCACTGACAATAGGGGGAGGCATTAGGGACGTGGTTGACACGGATGGAACAAAAGTCTCGGCGCTAGAGGTTGCGACAATGTACTTCAAATCTGGCGCTGACAAAGTTTCCATTGGAAGCGATGCAGTCATTGCAGCTGAGGAATATTTTGCAAGTGGGAGACAGTTGAGCGGGAAGACGGCTATCGAAACGATATCAAAGGCATACGGGAACCAAGCGGTTGTTGTATCGGTGGACCCGAGGAGGGTATATGTAGCTTCGCCGCAGGATACGAAACGTCATGCCATAAAAACCGTATTTCCTGGACCAAATGGTGAACAGTACTGTTGGTATCAATGCACAATAAAAGGAGGGCGCGAAGGCAGGGATGTTGACGTTCAAGAATTGGTCACCGCTGTGGAGGCCATGGGATGTGGCGAGATTTTGTTAAATTGCATTGACAAAGATGGTACAAACTCTGGATTCGACTTGGAACTGATCAGCGAAGTCAAGAAGTCGGTAAAGATTCCGGTCATTGCATCGAGTGGTGCTGGTAATCCGGGGCATTTCTTGGAGGTTTTCGAGAAAACGACTACAGATGCAGCTTTAGGGGCCGGGATGGTAAGTTCTACGGTCCTACGATTTAAATCCCGAGATGCTAACCTCTTTGTAGTTCCACAGAGCAGAGTACACGGTCACCCAAGTGAAAGACTATTTAGCTAGAGAAGGGCTTGTGGTAAGGACATCAAAATAAATGGCATCATAAGGACGGAGTTTGGGGCATAAAACGTAAATTCAATAGAGCAGCGCAGTAGGTATTATATTAATGATATTACTATATTAATGGAGTACTTTAGATGACACACGTGAGATTGTTTGCAACGTTTGTTAATCATTCACGAGGCCCAGTTGAATAAATGAAGGGTCTTAAGAATTCATACTATTAAAACGTATTAGTTAAGGGACGAGTCTCTATTGACCAAGGAAATTCGTGCTACTGCGGTGCCTGTCCCTGAGATTGTGATTCTTGCGATGCTTGTAATCCTTGAGATGCCTGCAGCACTTGTGACCCTTGTGACTCTTGTGACCCTCCAGAACGTAATGAAGCCAGAAGATTTGGATTCGCGAACGAAAAGTTCGTATCTCGAACGCCTTCAAGGTCTGCTAGTTGCATATATTCTTCTGGATCCTCTTCTCTGCTCTCGCCTTCAATATACGGTGGATACTGGACCTGACCATCCTCACCTATAGGAAATGGTGAAATTCGGCTAACTCCTAAATTCCATCCTTGACTTCGAATACTGTCCTTTAATTGGTTTGCAGTGAAATCAGCAGATTCCGGCCCAAAATCTTCTTCGTGGCCTCTAGCAAAGCTGGCATAATTTATATCTTGCTCATCTATATCTTGGTCTGCGAGGGTGGAGCGAACTGGGCTTCCAAGTTGGACGTCAATGCCGCCTTCTGGGTATTGAATTTGTGGTTGATTCATTTGCCCTCCAAGCACTTGTGGCTGATTCATTTGTCCCCGAACCACTTGCGCCTGGTTCATTCCGTTCCCAATTTCCTGTTGGTTTGAGGGACTGTAGACGATTTGGGGTCGACCTAGTACGTTTTGTCGTATTTGGGGTTGTTCAAGATTTTCCGTGAATATCTGTGCCGTCGTCAATATATCGGGTTGCTCGTCGAGATTGTTATTGCCACCTGATTGCTCTTCGTTGCTTGGTATATAAATCTCCCCTTCATCTCCCTCTGGGTACAATTGATCAAATAATTGCGCCCTCCGCTGTTGTTCCATTCTGTCTAATGGGGCCCGTTCGAGTTTTTGGCGCTGGATGCGCTGTCGTTCGATCACTTCTGGCGCCAACCCTAGTGCGGCTTTACGACGCTCCTCATCACGCTCTCGCGCAGCTGTTTCTGCCATGACCTCGGCAGGGTTGACCACCCAGCCTGGTTGGTAGACTATCGGGCCGTCATAACTAGGAAGGGTTTCACGGGGGCCGGTGTTCAGTACTTTCTCGGGTTCTTTGTAACGTCCTTTCCAGATACGTCTAAAGAAACTTTCTTTTTTCTCTTCTGGTGCATTTGGATCCACAACAACCACATTTTTACCTCTTTGGCCGCGAAGGTAATCTAAGACACCTGGATGTTCGGTGTAAGGTGAGATGTCAATGTCTAGAAACTTTTTTGTAGCGTAGGGAAGGCCGTAATCTATAGCTAGTTTTTTCATAAACTTAGGTAACTTACCTTTGCGCATTTTGTCCTCGCCCTGGTTATTTTGCGCTATATGAATTCATTAGTTTGATTTTATTCCTTGACTGGGGTATTGATCTATACATGGAGGGAGGAGGCTACTTACGTTGATCGTTCATCCCAGTTTGGCCTACACCCGCCACATCAGCTTCCTCGTCCGAAAAGACCAGTTCATCTTCGGGCCAAAGTCTTTCTTCTCTGTAGAACTCTCTGCCTTTTTCTCCCGGTATAAAAGGATTCTTCATAGACTCACTTAGACTAATGAGCAGATCATTTGGATCTCCAATTTCCGTTCCGGTTTCTCCAGATCCCTGTCCTGATCTTACGGATCCCTGCCCTGATCTTACGGATCCCTGGGGGAGTACACCGGATTGACCTAGCTGTATAGATCCTCTAGGAAGGGATTCTAGAGATCTTTCTAACGCCTGTTCAGGGATTGGATCCAAATTCCTGACACGCTGCTGAAATAACTCGGTGTCTTCGATCTTTACTGGAACTGGGTTTTCAGGAAGTCGAGAAATCATGCCCCTGATATCCTCGTCCGTACCGAAACGACTCATCCCAGAATTCGGCCTGGTATTAGAATCGGTGCCAGGCCTAGCACGGATCGATTGTCTACGACGACGATTGATCGGTGGGGAATCAAATTCATCTGGGTCCTGTTCTTTTTCCTCTTCCTCTTCCACGATAATCTCCGTAGTTTGAACTTGGTTATTCAGGCCTTGGTTATCAACATTCCCACCCTGATTATCATCCCCCAGATCGATCATAGGTGCAAGAACATCCTCCTCAAACCCCTCTGGGGCAATGACATCCTGCTGGCTAATACCAGCATTCGACTGCCTAAGCATCGAATTCTCAAGAGCCTCCTTTTTTATTCCACCAGTACCACAGACTTTCTGGGTGAATTTACCAAGCGTCTTTTTTATTTTCCCCCAAGGGTCTGCGCGTTTTTGAAGTCGATGTGTGGTGACCATTCCCTCTGATGAGGATGATGATGCGGGAGGAGATCCCGAGGGCTGAGGCTCAAAATTTGCAACGACATGAGGAATAGAAACATGAGGTTCTGCATCTCGTTTAATAAGGCTCGGGGAATCATCGTTAGGACAATCATTGAGTACTGGAATGGCTAAAGTAGTTCCCGCGAGATGTGCGAGGACTACACAAGCCGGGAGGATATTAATGCCGTAACGCATGCTTTTTTTTTCAAGAGAACGAAACGAATTAAAGCGATGGAAGAGGAAGGGTCCCTTTGTTTGGACTCCCTTTTCTTCTTCTGTTCAAAAGGAATTGACGTCTATCAAAACACCAAGTAGTAATATCCTCGTATATGCAATATGTGAGAAAACAAAGAGAGAGAGGTTACTCCAAAAATCTTGGCTGAACCCCAAAAACGTGGCGGACATGTGAGATTCTTGCCATGAGTATTTTATTCTCTATTGAGGCCGTTTAAACAGGCCTAGGTTCGTGGGGTTTCCATGAGACAGGAAGCGTGGAATATGAAAATGGACGGGAATCAACTCAAATACAAGTATGTAATGCTTTGTTTTCTTCCTCCCCGTCGTCACTACCAAATCTAGTAAGATTAGATAGCTTCATGACTAATGATTCGTGCCATAACCGTTTGAATTCATCACTGGCGGCCATAAGAAACCCTTCAGGCATTTCGTATATCTCGTTTTCGAGGGCTTTAACTTGGCTATGCAAAAAATAATTTAGCTCATATTTTTATCAAGACTAAGCTTTTCCGCTGCGAAGAAACAGAAAAAGAAAAAGAAACCAAAACCTTTGATGAAAAAGATGAAAATAAAAATAAAAAAAATAAGAGAAGGGAAAGAAGGGGAATAGTTCCACATACAGCGGCGCATCATCAGGCTCTACTTTGCAAACCTTCCAGCCTTTAGAAGAAAATTCAACCGTAAGAGTAACATTTTCCTTGGTTTTGATATAAAGTCGGTTCGCGTCGGAATCATCAACCGTGACACGGTGAAGGAACGACCCGTATTCTTGACTGAGCTGGTTTGTATCCTCTGCAAACGTAGGGATCGGGGGCGGAACTATCGCCATTGTTCTGTGAGGTGGTTGGCCGGATACAGATTCTTCCCCTACTTGTAACTGGGAATATATCGAAAGCAAGTCTGACGAGGTAGCAAAGTGAGGTTGTTCGAGGACCTTTATTATTGATGCCAACACAAAAATTACAACGTGGATGTTAATTCGGGACCAAGGCCGGCTAGTATCGATACCAACTAGAATCCTAACCACCTAGCTCGAACGTTACAGTCCTAGGGACCCTGGTAGCCTTCAATTTCAAAAAGAAGAGTTATCAGGTGTTTTAGAGCCGATAGTTGGGGTTGCCTACAGCTTATTCATATATTGCCTACACTTTAGGTTCAACTAGGCACCCACAAGTTTCCAGAGCCTCCTAGCTAATCGTGAACCGTAAATCCCTCTACATGTCCTTACAAAGACAAGGTACCTAATTGGCAATTCGAAATAATGCCTTTATTCCATTTTGTAATGATAATAATAACGATAATAATGATAAGGCCGATGGTGGAAAAACAGAAAAATTAACAGAAAAACAATACACATGATGCTAACAACCCCTCATTCTATAGTCCTGCGCCCCATGCATTCCCGAAATTGTGGATCCTCTAAAACAAAAACGTCGATCGATTAATCAATCATCGTCCTCAATAGCTTGTTCCTCAGCAACGTGCCTACAAAAGCGAACGTGTTAGCAATTTTATTCTCTCAAGAGCGGGTTTCATAGTTTGGGGAGGAAATGGTATCATACTTCTTGACAACACGCTCGATACCATCAAGACCCTTCTTCAAGACATCCATCTTCGGGCCAAACGAGAGACGGACGACTAGTAAAATACATATTAGCAACTTGTTCGTAGATTCTATTTCGTCAGCAAGAGATTAATGTGCTTACAATGGTGGCAAGGGCTGTCAAACAAATCTCTTCTCATCGCAGGGTTCAAGTCGAAGAAAATACCGGGCACAACAATGACCTTCTCCTTAAGACAAGCCTGGAAGAAGTTCAAACCGTCGTTGATTTTCTTGGGGAGGCATTCGACGTCAAGCCAAATGTAAAAGGTGGCCTCTGGGACTTTCTGTTTAATTGGTTAGCGGTATCTATGGCGCTTTAAGCGTAGCAGAAGGGAGACATACGACGTCCTTGAAACCAATCTCCCTCAATCGCTCAATAACATAGTCTCTCTTCATCTTAAAGTGTGTTTGCAAAGCTTTCATCTCCTCCTTAACCTTGGCGGGCTCAAGCATTGGAACAGCGGCTTCTTGGAACGCAACATTGGCACCACCATCAAGGTAGCTACCACAGGATCCGATTGCTTTGATGAATTCCTTAGGACCAACAATCCAAGCAACACGAAGGCCAGGAAGTCTGAAACGCTTGGTAAGCCCATCAATAATCAGAACGTCATCTTCGTCGACGTCATCAATATTGTCGGCGGCAGAGATAACGGTTCCATCACAGTTAGTGCTATAATTGTAACCTCCGCTGTTGTCATATTAGTGGATGGGCGAAAAATATTGGGGAAAATGTATGGTGCATACTAAAACTCATCCATGATCAATGTAGCACGATCTCGGCAAATTCCTTGGATCTCAGCGAGATCAGGGTTCTTCACGACACCGCCAGTTGGGTTACGAGGATTAGAGGTGCTAGAGGGTTCAAGTTAGTTTACTTGGCCTCCGCAGAGGTACGCTGGGCAATATTTTCCCTTACATAATGACACTAACACCTCTAGCGATTTCCTCCGCGATCTTGTCTGGATGAATCTGATATTCATCGTGAACAGAGAGTGGAGATGGAATAGCAGCAAACTACAAGTTTTCAAAGTTAATTAACCTGGATCTAGGTCATAAACCACAGTCGAAGCTTCGAAAGGTAATTCTCACGTTTTTGAACAAAGAAAGCATCTCGTTGTAGGCGGTGTAGTCCGGGATGAAGAAACCAAGATACGCATTGTTAAGGACGGCGGCGACACGGATTAGACCAGCACGGCCACCCTAATTTTAACTGTAATTAGAATGGTAGTAAATCTAGATTTGATTTGAGGATGGCATACAGGAACAATGGCGACATTCTCCCAGGTGTACTGGCTACGACGATTGCGTCTATGATGTTCATTGTAGAGTTTGGCAACAGCCTCACGGAGAGGTTTGATACCGGCGGTAGGACCTAGAGATTGGGATTTCGTCAGACTGGCATCGAAATGATATTGGTTAGATGGCAGCACATACCGTATTCGCGAGCATTCAGACTGAGAGGGATTTCAGTTGGTCTGGGGAAGCAACCCTCGATCTCATCCTCACACTCAGGAGCTCCTTGTCCGAACTAGTGGCTCATTAGCGTACTGATAGACTACCTAGAGTCACTGGTAGTTGATGCTAGCTTACGTTCGCCCTACAGCATGAAACAACCGGATTTAGAATGTCAAAAATGCAACAAAGCTTGAGACTCGAGCCTGTGTAACGACGTACCACTTATGAGGAGCTTCGAGGTATCCTTGCTGTGTAACGATTTGGTCAGTTACCGGGATAGTATGACGTTGGACTCGAGCAGAATGTTACCTCATACGCCCTTTCTGTACACCAGACGACACCACTATATCGATCGAATCTAAGTGAGCGAATTATTCCCGATAACCCTGATATCATTTCCGTTGCAAGAAGTGGGGGGGCCCGGGAGTGGAAACCGAACATACGTCGAAGCACGAGACGGATCTAGGAAATCAGCAAAAGTTAGGGATTTTTTCTATAAATGTCAAATGTTGGTTGGATATTATGGATCCGGTACACACCTAATCCTGCATGCGGCTTGTGGCCATCATGGGCATTTCTGAATTGACGGTGGGCCGCGGAATTGAGTTCTAGTAAGGTTAAATCAGCGATAGAACAACCTCGAATACGAGGAAGCACTTGTAGCTAATGATAGCTATGGATCTTACCACTCTCCGAAGGTCCCTTAGCGGTCGAAAAGCGTCGTTCACGCGGAGCACCGGTGTTTCTGTTGATTGAAAACTATTCGAAAATCAGTACCTCAGTCGACGATACAGCTGATTAGGTATAAAAATGATAGGTTACCGGTACAGCGAAGCTCACCTTGCGTCCGGAGAATGACATGTTTTTTGTATTTTAAATATTTTGATTTTTTTCCAATTTCTATAAAGAACAAAAGGAGGTCAATGTCAATTCTCGAAGGACGGAAGAGGTAGGCAACGAGGTATAGAGAGCAGTGATTCGCGTGTCTGGAGAGGCCAAGAAAAGGGAGAGAGCGGGGGGGCCAAGAGAAGGGACCGTCGCCCCTCTTTTTATATACGGCGGGGGAGAGCTAAAGCGGGTAGAAAGACACTTACTTTGGGATATACTTTTACGTTATAGCTATAGAACGTAAATCAGAGCTGCAGTAAGTAATTTACCTGTCGAGCGAGAGGCTGGACGAACAAGTATGCACGTAACGTATGTCTGGCTTTGTTTTTTGTTTTTGGCTTTACTTTGGGTCCTTTTATGCAATGGACAAGTGAGGGAAAAAACAAAAAATGAAAAAGGGAAAGCCCGGGGTGTAAAACAATTAATTGCTCGCGGGAGGTAAGCTACGGTGCAGCGTCAGTGCAGCGGTGGTCGAGTCGAGTAGGTAGCTAGCTACCTAGTCTGGACGTCAGGTTGGATTGGGACGAATGAGGTCAGAGTCGGGTTACAGGGCGAGTACTTTTTAATTGGAGCAAAAGCTTAGCTTCGCACGGCAGAATCGAACAGGAGAGACATCTCGACAACCAAACTGAAATGCAACTGCAAATTCAACAGACGGACGTCGGCACAGTTAGCTTCCCAAAGACGACCAGAGTGGGGTTGTCCGTATTCTCTGGCCCCTCTGGCCCCTTTGGCTCTTCCGCTTCATCGCCTCTATGCTACCTTCTGCGCTTGGCCCTACGGCTTCGGGAACCGCAGGGTACGTACTCAAGGCCCTCAACATCGATGCGTATCTCAACCATCATGCATGGTTTGCACGATGGCTCCCCTTTTCCTGCGGTCCGGATTGGTTGTCCGTTGAGATCTCATCACGTAAACTTCAGCTTCCAAAAAAGTTTGTCTTTGCAGCTTTCGCAAGGGTCGGTTTTTATATCTCTCGAGCTAGTCGACTAGTCCGTATAATATAACCTCTTGCTATTAGCCTGGTGCGGCAGAGTCGACCCCACAGGGGCACCACCGTTCACTACGTACCATCAACCCCCCCGCCGGCTCGGGACGGGCTTCTTCGCCCAAGTTTACCATGTTCGACCATCCTGCCATCGGGTCTTGGCTTGAAAAGAAAAGGTACACACGACGGGCATGCAAGCTTCCATGCGCCATCGCTAGCAATGAACGGATTGGGCAGGCAGCACGAGGTGGCTGATATCTAATGGCTTATACAGCGCTGTAAAGCGTCCCTCGTCCTTCTACACCATAACCCACTCGAGTTTCTACCATGCGCAGCTACGGTATGTATACCCAGCCGGAGCTTCACATCTCACGGAACCGAGTAGATCTGAGTACGTATACTCCGTCCTTGTATCCAGATCTCGTAACCAGAATCATAGGGTGGCTACATGGAGGTACTTGGACAGTACAGTATGAATATGAAAGGGGGGTATATCTATGTATATGTAGGACAGACTCTGTAACGTGCCTGTATGCATAGTGGATTCGAGGCTGGTATGCATACTAGATCTATGATCGATTCTGAACTCGAAATGCATCATGCATCCCTCTCTATCTCCGTCGCTCTCGTATACATGTAAAATTTGTATCGCATACTCAGCTGTGATCTATGGCCATGTGCATGAGGTGCGTGCTTCGGTTCCACAAAGGTATTCGTCCAAATTCTAGCTTGCCGACCTACCGATATCGATATTCCATGGGCCCCCCCTAGCTAGATCGAATTCTAGTTCTCCACCTAGCTGTCATGTCAGGTTCGAATCGAATCGACAAAAGAAAAAGGCTTGTCTGCGGATGACCTGGTTTCGCCATCAAGCCTCGTGAACCGACGCTCTTGGCAGCCGCCGTAATATCTTGGCTAATCGTGGGGGCCGCATCATCTTGGAAACTCGTAATGCATGCGACATTCCGCTGTTAGGTAACAACATCATCGTCAAATTGGATGTTCGACTCCGACGATGCCTCACAGAAACAGAAATATCGTAGGCTTTATTTCCGCTTCGCTTCCCTGAATCCTTATGCTAACACTGCTGCTAGAGGCACGGAACCGTCGTTTTGCCGTCTAGCGGCCGTCGCGTCAACCGACATGTAACTTTTGCGCGCCCGAGAAGTGTTGACGGTAACGACAGCAGCACGGATTCCCCACACGATGACGACGAACATCATGAAGACGACGGCCTGCTTCCTAACGGGAACGGGCATTCTAACGGACGTGCAAATGGTTATGCGAACGGCCATACCAAGGTACCCACGTGGAGGCAGAACTTACGGCTTCCGCCTTTTCTCAAACGGTTTATTGAGACTTGGAAGCTGAAGGAAGTGCTGAAATGTGCCTTGGCATACTTTCTCGGATCAATGGGAACCTACATACCGCTTTTTGCAGCACTATTTGGCAAGAACGATGGGAAACATATGGTCGCTACTGTTGCTGTATACTTCCACCCAGCTCGAACTCGAGGAAGCATGGCTGAGGCGACCATGTTCGCTACAATAGCTGTTCTGTACTCCTGCTTCATCTCGGCTGGAACGCTCGGCACTGCAACTCTCTTTGGTCATATAGGGCATCCTGCAATAGGTCGTATCATCATCTTGTTGGTCTTTTGCGTAGGAGGTCTCGGACTGATAGGGTGGACAAAGTTAAAAATGGCCAGTCCGACTGCCAACGTGTCCTGCAGTCTTGCATCCATTATAATCATTACCACCCTGACAAAAGATGTTGCGACCCAACAAGGGATATTCAACATGACCAAGATTATGCAAACCGTCGCAATGGCTGTCTGTGCGATTGTCATGTCGACGACCTTGTCTAATATTATGTGGCCGAGTTTTGCTGTAACAGAGTTGCGAAAGTCCATGGTTAACTCTACTCGTGCCTTTGCTGAAATGTTAGAAGGGATTACCAAAGGATTCATTGATGGGTCTGAAGAGCATTTGCAACAACCATCGTTCAAGAAGGCCGCTGCGGATCATAGAAAGACCTTCACGGACCTGGCCAAGCACTTGCACGAGGCGAAATTTGAACATTACATGAAGGGAACTGAAGTTACATACGGACTTGAGCTACGTCTTGTCGAATGTCTTCAGGTATGTCTCTTGACTCGTAAACTTGATGTGTACTATTGTGTTTCTAATATATATTCTATCAACTATAGAGACTCGCACAAGCCATTGGTGGTTTGCAGAATGCTGCTAGTACTCAGTTCTCCCTTCTTGAGCAGAGTGATCAAACGGACCCGTTTCTGTCTGAATATCCAGAACTACAGGCCTCATTTACAGGTTCTTTTCTACAAACCCCATCCGAAGATGTCTCTCGGGACTATTTTGATTCTCCTGTGGATGCGAGACCTGGCACATCGGGTACCACGCGCACTACGGGTACGATAGGCACCACAGGTTCAACGGATGGGGCTCTTGTAGTCGTTACAGGCCGTACTTTATTTGATCAATTTATAGAGCATCTTGGACCTTCTATGGTAAGTTTTACGTAATTTATACCTAATATGGACGATACCATAAACCCTCCATGCTAACGAATGACATAGCGATCCTTGGCTGTCACTCTCAAACTCATGTTAGATGAACTCCCATTTGGAGGGGGCACGGACTACACCGTCAGTGTGAACCCTCATTTCCGCGCTAGCCTTCGCGATGCATTGGAACTCTACACCGAAAAGCGTAAACTCGCCCTCGACCAACTTTACAACCAGCAAGACATCTCTGGTCGAAAATCTGCAGATTTGGCTGCAGACCAGGAAGAAATTGCTGCCAGTTGTGGTCACTTTGCTTACTCCCTCGAAGACTTTGGAAAAGAACTTTTCGACCTTCTCGACATACTTGACCAACTCGAAGGTCTCCAGGAACTACCCCTCCCCAAGACATGGCACTGGCTCAACCCTATCCGCCACATCTTCAGAAAACCAAACGAAGAAATAGAAGATGGCGACCGCCATATTGACCGTGTTCTCCCGCAACAACTTCCAGGCGGACTCTCTGACGTCAAAGTCCTGCAAGAAGAAATCGCCCGTCGTGAAAATAAAACTCATAATGCCCTAGGCTACCGCATCTGGAAAGCCCTGCGTATGTTCCGCCGCGATGACGTGAAATTCGCGTTCAAAGTTGGCGTAGGCGCCGCAATTTACGCACTCCCATCATATATCCCATTCACACGTCCCCTTTATAGCCATTACAGAGGCGAATGGGGCCTTGTATCCTATATGATTGTGATGTCCATGACTCTGGGGGCCACAAATACCTCAGGCCTCTACCGTTTCATCGGTACTATAATCGGCGCCTCAGCCGCCGTATTCTCATGGTGGACATTCCCAGAACTACCCTTAATCCTATCCCTCTACGGCTTCGTTCTTTCCTTCCTCTGCTTCACATTGACCCTGAACTACCCCGCCAAAGCCAGTTTCAGTCGTTTCATTCTCTTAACCTATAACATCACCGCACTATACGCCTACACCATCAGCATCAAAGACGAAGACGAAGACGACAACGACGAAGGTGGTAAAGATCCTATTATTACGGAAATCGCTTTACACCGTGTCCTATCCGTTTTAGCGGGTGTAACATGGGGTCTCATAATCTCCCGTTACGTCTGGCCGATATCTGCGCGCAAGAAGCTTAGAGACGGACTTTCGGTCCTTTGGTTACGAATGGCATTAATCTGGAAACGTGATCCGTTAAACTACCTCGTCGAAGCAGCACCAACAGATGTAGCAGCTTACATGAACATCACGGAAGAAATCCATCTCCAACAGGCTTTACTACGTCTTCAGTCCTTACTTGCCCAAATTCCCTTTGAATTCCGTCTTAAGGGACCCTTTCCTATCGAAGACTTTTCAGAAATCCTCACAAATACGCAATCGATGTTAGACGCCTTCCACGGTATGTCCGTCATAATTGCGAAGGAACCACAGTCTTCCACGAGAGAAATGGAGATACTGGCATTCACGAAGAACGAACGTGCGGAGTTATGTTCTAGAATCTTTCAATTGTTTTATGTTTTAAGCAGTAGTATGAGAAGTGGGTTTCCGTTACCGGAGACGCTACCGAGTATTGTGAGGAGCAGGGATAGATTGTTGATGAAGATTCATAAGTTTAGAGAGAGGGATAGAGGGGCTGGAGAAGGGAGAGGGGAGAGTGAAGAGGATTTCGCATTGATTTATGCTTATGGTATGTTGATTTATTTTTTATTCCCTCTTTTACTTGGCGGAAATCGTTTTTGGGGATGAATTTACTAATCTTTGTGATCTCTCGTTTTAGTGTTACTAACAGGAAGGGTTTCGGAAGGTCTGGAGAAGTGTGCAAGAAGCATCAAGGTTTTGCATGGTGTTATTGACGAAGAAATGTTGGAGATCTCATGAAGTAATGAAATCATACACTCGAAATCTAATGAGCCTCGTATGATCGTGCATATAGAGCACATTGCGAGCTTCCCTTTCCTTTTTTTTTTTGTTTTCTTTCTTAATGTTTATATTAAATAGGGTATCATGACGGAGAACAAAAGGTGGGACACGGTAAGGTAGGGTATCGACGGATCTTCACTGTGATTTTTCTTTGGCATTGTCACTTTCTTCTCAGCATTTTGTCCATGGCGTACGTTGTTAATTCAGCAATGCATGCTTTGCATTCGTTTATGTTTTTCTAGTTTAGAAGCCGGAGGGAAAGAAGGTTCATAGAATTCGGTCATTACTATCTAGTCTTTTAGTTTTGAGTTTTTTTTGATATCGATATTAACCGCTGGTTTGGTTTGGTTATATTCCTGGTGGTCGATGCGACTATTAGTAGCCCTCAATGCAAAGACGTATCAACTAAAATTGATTCAGTACTAGTCTTGCATCTGGACACGTTTAGTTATGGGTCAAGACTGCTCCGTCTAAAGTAAACGAAAGGGCGCGTCTAAATAGCGGTGTCGACTGTATCCAAAGGTAACGGTGACAATACCCTTCCATACAATGCCACACCAATATTTAAACATCCCCACTACGCAAGAAGGAAAAGTAATTTACGGGGGAAAAAAGAAAGAATTTATGCACTGCATTCATTACTATAGGTATGGCCGCCATACCCCCCGGCCATAAAGGGGGACAAAAAAACTATCTACAACCCCCCCACCCCCGCCACATTACTTCTTGGTTCGGGGCTTCTTGCGGCTCGGTCCGTCCTCCTTCTAGGAGGGCTTCCCGGCCACCTTCAGCCCCCAAACCTTCGTCTCCTTGTTCAACTCCGCCATCTCCTTCAAACTTGTTTTGAAGGACGCCAGGTCCTTCTCGTGGATGATTGGATTGAATGCATCCATTATCATCTTCGTCGTCACCTTCCCCCCCCTCGCCTCATGGTCCAAGAACCAGTTTCTGGTTCTTGAGGCGATTTCCGGCCGTCTTAAAAGACGGTCCGGAAGTTTGGGGTCACCCCCCTTTTTACGTGTAGCCTTAGCTACACGGCCAGTCCAAGTGACTTGGCCGGGGACGCTGTGCCTCTGTATGGCCTCGAATGAGCGAGTGAGTGCTTCCTTTGCACTCTTGGCGATACGATTCGCCTCTCGCTCGATTATGCTCAGGCTCGATTTTGACGTAGCCATCACGGCGTCATGCTCTACTATGCTATGAACGCCGGCTTGCGCCAAAATCGTCTCGAGGATGTGGTCCCCCTTGTCCCCCTCGTCCCGTTTGCGTTTTTTGTCCGATTTGCTCGGACTTCCTGGGGCCTTCTCGTCAGGCTCTGAAGCCTCGCCCGTCATTGGGCCGCTCAGCATGTTATTTTCTCCCCCGACGCTATATCAAGGAAAAGTTAGCATAGTCAAGAATTTATGGAGATCACAAGCCCTAGATAGGGCCACTAATAGAGACTTACAAGTTCTCGAGCTTATGGACCCCCGCAATCTTCTGGACCTCCTCGGACTTTTCGTCCTCGGATATACGCTTCGCTTCTGTCAACGTCTTCTCAACTCCTTCAAACAAGCTTCCGGTTTCCGTCCCATGCTCCATCGATCCCAGTGTGAACAAATCTCTCATGTCATCCATTCTAAAGGCACGACGTTGTTCAGGGTCTTCTAGGATCTTCTTCGTAAGGAATTGCTTGTATAGTTGTCGTTGATAGATCTTTTCTTCGATGGTACCCCTGCTGAGAAGTCGGTAGATCCGAACTTCGTGTTTCTGTCCTAGTCTCCAGGATCGTTCTCTTGCTTGCATATCATTAGAAGGATTCCAATCCGGATCGAATATGATGATTCTTGTTGCGCCAGTTAGGTTTAGACCGTAACCACCAACCTTGGTGGTGAGGAGGAAAACTTGGAGGGTAGGATCGTTGTTGTATTGATCAACCATAGATTGCCTTAACTTGATATCTGTAGTGCCGTCCAAACGTAAGTAACGGTACTTCTTCTTCACGAACTTCTCTAAAATATCCAGCATCTGTGTGCCTTGCGAAAAGATCAAGCACTTCAAGTTGTCTTTCTCCCATGCTTTGAGGAGGCCCTTAACGATTTGCATCTTTCCAGATCTGACAGGATTTCCGTAGTCGTAGTCATGATCAATAGATAGTTTTTCGCGATTGCAGAGGTCGGGATGATTGCAAATCTTTCTGAGGACATCAATGCCCGCGAGTACGTCTCTTTTTCCGGATAATATGTCGAAGGCTTCGGGAGACTTGATGTAATTTTCGTAGGCCTCTTTCTGTTCAACAACAAGGTTGCAAAATAAAACTTGGTCCTGCTTAGGTGGCAAGACTGCGACGTCTGCCTTTAGGCGGCGAAGCATATAAGGATTAATAAGTTCTCTTAAAACTACTGCACACTTGAACGCAGTGTGAATTTGGGTACTGTTGGCTCCAGCATAACCACCAAGTTTGATCGGGATCGCAATATTCTCATTGAATACTTGGTATATACCAAGCTTCCCAGGGTAAACGAAATCGAACAAACTCCAAAGTTCGCGAAGATTGTTCTGGATTGGGGTTCCTGAAAGGATGAATCTAGTTGTGCTACGAAGTTGTTTTGCGGCAATAGTGATCTTCGCTTCTGGGTTGCGGATTTTGTGTCCTTCGTCAAGCACCACACACTCCCAGTCTGTGTCGAGAAGCAATTTGTGATATGTGCTGAGGCCGGTGTATGTTGATATAAGGATATGGCCCTTAGCCTTGACCTTGTCGACAATTTTCTTCGCGGCCTTCTGCGCTTTGGAGGGTGCCGCACTCTCCAATACTTCTAATAAACCCTCGTCGTCATCAATCGTTTCTTCAGCTTTTTTATCTGCGGCAATTGAGAGCATCCCACTCCCGGAAGAGTGCAGGATTGAAACTCGCAAACACGGCCACCACTTGTGAAACTCGTTGCACCATTGTTTTAGGACTGTCGCTGGTGCGACAATGAGAACTGGTTTTGTCAGTAGTTGACTATAGTGCAGACCCGCTATGAATGCGATAGTCTGGATGGTTTTCCCGAGTCCCATTTCATCTCCGAGGATTCCGCCAGTATGCTGTTTGGCGTGAAGGTTCCATAGCCAATTAACGGCTGTCTTTTGATAGTCAAAGAGTGATTGAGCAATGTCACCAGGGAGCTTGAAGCCATCGTCGACGATATGATCCGGGGCGGAGGGGGACGGCTTGAACCATTCAGGTGTTTTCTTGTCATCATCTTCTTCGTCGTTCTCAGCTCTGGCGGCTGCACGTTTTGCACACCAAGATTTGAGTCGCTTTTGGTAGACATGCTCGTAGCCATCGTCGTATCCTCCTAAGTCTTCCTTATCTGCATCGTTATCTTCCTCCATCTTTCTCCTCTTCCCACCAGAACGCGATGATTTGCCCTTACGTTTTTTCGGGTTTGGTATAATTTCTTTCTCGTCGTCCTCGTCGTCCTCCTTTTCACTCCATTCTCCTTCCTCCTTGTATTCATCAGAATCCTCATTCGAGCCAGAATGCTGGGTATCCGCACGCGCAGCAGTGTTTTTCGTGGCACGTCGAGGTCTTGTAGCTCTTACTACTTCTTCCTCGTAATCATCCTCATACCCTGCAGCCTTTCCAGTACTAAGGTGAACTTTTTGGGGACTTGGTTTCGAAGTCTGAGAGGGTAGATGGGTGTTATCGACCGCCTTTGGCGTCGATGTCGTTGCAGTAACTTCTGCGTTATCAGTAATCTTGGGTTGCTTTTCTGTAGCAAAACCAGGAGCTCGTAAATCCTGGAAGGACAATGCTTCCGTCGGTCCAGTCGTATCTGTTGTTGTTGCGGTATCAGCGGCCAGAGATGGGCCATCAGCACTGGGACCTTCTTCTGAGAAGGGGTTTAGAACTCCCTTGCGAATCAGATACTCTCGACGCGACTCCCCGACGCGCTGGTCTCGAGAGCTATTAGTCGCGGCGGCAGCAGCCTTGATAGTTCGCTGTTGCAGGCGTTGGTCGATATCGAGAATATTGGCTTGGTGTAGCTCGACTTTTACTAGCAGTTCATTAAGTTTCTCTTGGTACTTGGCCTTTCTAGGACCAAATGTTGAATTAACCAAGCTACGAGTGGTTCGGATTTCACTCTCCAGCTTCTCGAGGGCAGCAGTTTCTTTCTTCTTCATCTTCTCACTCTCTTTGGCTTCTTTCTCGAGCATCTCGGCCTCGGCTCTCTCAGCGACTTTCTCTTCTAGGGATTCATGGGTGAAAATTTGGAGACCAAGCTCCTCTTCGATATTTAAAGCTTCATCCATGGCTGGACAAGGTAGGTTTGGGGTTTATGTAGGGAAAAAGAATAGAGGATTAGAATAAGAGCTTTTAGAAGAAGGAAACACAGGGTGAATGTATTAGGCAATGATAAGAGGTGGTGGTGTCAAGTGGAATGATGATGGTGGTGATGATGATGGTGGTGATGATGACGCTGATGGTGATGGCGATGATTGTGTTGCTGATTATGTTGATGATCAGTGTTGATGATTAGGGTTGAGACTGGTTGATGATTATGACGGAGAGGAGGGTTGGTGATTAAGAAGGAAGAGGAGGTCAAGAAGTAGACAGGTTCTTTGGAGTTGACGCCTCGTTGCCAATTGATTGATTCTATTCAGAAAGAAGTTGCGTTGCCAATTGATTCTATTCAGAAAAGGTTGCGTTGCCAACACAAAATAACACACGACGTATAATGCAATGGAACTTAACTCTACGCAAAGGAGATTGAAGGGAGACTGGATATGTATGTCTAATTGCAGGTAAAGGTATTCTATTGCAGTTCGGGCTGTAATCCTCCAGAGTATCGCCTCTAAGCTGATTTAAAAAGCGTAAAGTCAGGAATAGTATATATAGATCCTGCGATTCCAAGCGCTGCAAACTGATTATGATCAGTTTAGAGCTATAGAGGCAAGCCGTGTAACTACTGAAAGTTAACGATCTCGATACCTCGTACCCAGGTACTCGAATGGGTCGGTCTATATATCAATAGGATAACGAGTGACGAGAAGAGAAGAAGAGAAGAGAAACTGAAGTCGCGCCGCCTCGCGCGAAGAAATGAGTCGGTTCAAGTCTGACTGACGGGCTCTCACGGGGCAACGTTGAGTCCATGGCGGTCAAAGGCAGCCCATCGGATTAGTCATACTCTGTCTGCCAAGACCTCGGATAGGGCTGTTCCTCGGAGGGGATATCGGGACCTACCCGGAGATCATAACAGTGTCCCCCGGGTGTATATCCGGAGAAGAGGGTCCCATACAATCAAAGTCCGGGAAGGTATCCGGGGTATTCTCCCGTTACCACGGGATCTGCTGCAGCTGGCCGACTGGGTCTGATACTGGATCCCTCTCGTGACGACCAATCCATCAACCTGCAACAACCAAAACCACAGACAGCCCGAACCTCAAACCTCAACTTCAACCTCAACCTCAATATCACCACCACCTTCAAACAGCTTCCTTGGAACTTGAACGTGTCACTGTTACCGTCGCATCGAATCCGCTGCTCAGTACCATGACGTTCGCCTTTTCTCGCGCTCTATAGCCTTCAGCTTTAAATTATCTATTGTCTTCGCTCACGTTCCACTCCTCTGCATTGGTAACTATAACCGGGCCCATGGCTGGTACCCATAAAACAACTTCCCATTTCTGATCACGCACCATCACCAGAACATACCCCTCAGTTATGCCAGCAGCCATGTCGCCGGACTCGCCCATCGATCCTTCCGAACTGGATACTACCACATCAAAGAAGACAGTCTCGAAATCATTGCCAAATGGCAATGCCACATCTTCGACTCCTACGACTGCGACTGGCCCCGGCGGCACGCCTTTAAAACCCGGCGTTAAGCTTCCTGCCCGCGTCGACGTCGAGAATATATACATATCACTTCGAGAATCCCTAGGCGACGATTGGGGAACTTACAGCGATGCCGTTCGCTCCTTCTTTCGCGGTACAAACCACAATTTGCCACCTATTTCACAATTACCAGCCACCTTTTTCGAATCTATCATCAGACTAAATTCTAACCTATATACTTCTCACTAGGTCTTACAAACCGCACTGAGCTATCACGTATTATCGATCCTCTCCTCCAAAAGCCCGAAACGCAGCGTCTCCACAATCAATTCTTCCTGTCGGTACACGTCAATGCCAGCCGTGAACCCCCCGAAGGAGATGTCGCAACATGGGTGTCGCATCAAGGCAAGACCTCGTCTGTTCCCAAAACGACCACAGGCGATGCCTACGAACGGCGTCTCAAAAAGGAAATCATGGCGATACCTGCTAGAGACCGACGACGAATGAAAGAGATACCGGAGGTAACATATTTGACCCAAAACCCCTTTTCTACTCCAATCAGTCCCTTAATTACCGCTCTTTTATGCCATTTTCTTCAAAGGCTCGATTTTACCTCGTACAATTAATCTCGTCTATGCACCTGCATCTTCCCATTACCTCCCCACTTCCCAGAAACTTTAAACGAAGCATATGCGCTAACGCAGCTGCAGGTTCCCGATGACATCCCTTCAACTCTAACTCGGCATTATACCGCCAAGCAAATACGCAATTTCGATACCTCTGCACCACCCGTCTCAGCTGGCCCCAACAAAAACTGGCAAAACGAAGTCTCGAACGCATATCAGTCTTCATTAGCCGTCGAAAGTGGGGAGTATATCGATGTGGAAACAATACAAGCGCGGTGCATTCCAATTTGTTACGAAGAAGGAATAAGTAGCGGGGTGTCCGAGGAAACTGCCCGGTTTATCGGTCTCGCTACGGATTTCTTTGTAAAAGATGTCTTAACGACACTTATAGACAGAGTACGGCTTGACAGTCGGAAGGTGATAAAAGAAGACGATGCAGCAATAAAAAGCCGGGCGAAGATTGTGGAGAAGGTCGGAGGCACGATTTCGATGGAGCATTTGAAACTATCAGTGAGCCTTAGTGATAACCTGATACGGCAGATGCCGTTGAGTGTGTACTCGATCATGTCAGGTGTGAATCAGTATGATAGAGAGGATGATGATGAGGAGAACACTGATGGGAGGGCTGGGAAGAGAGTTAAGCTAGATAGTGGGACTTCCGACCATATGGATATTGACGGAGGGGTGCCGGATACTGCCATTAAATGGGAGAACCCCGCGAGCAGATTTATCATGGAATGTTTGTCGGGTCACTGAGGCATGCTTCTAGCGTCTTAATTTGTCCCCATCACTTTCCATCTGCTCTCTTCAATTTTCCTTCTCTGAAAATCCTTTTGGGGTACCTACTGAGACCATTCTCTCTATCACTAACTTTCTTTTGTACCTTGTTCATACCTTTGCTCACGTCATTCACAGGGTGTTAAGGGCGTTTTCCTTTCCTTCCTTCCATTTTTGTTGATATTTCCTGCGGTGCTTGGGAACCCTTGGGATGGAATGCATGCTTCTTTTATCTGCCGTTGATACATCTGATTTTTTTTAGCGATTTAGGAGCTTTACTTATCTTTCTTTTGCCCCTTTTACCTCTTACTTGACGAATTAGTACTTAGATACCACTGCATTCGATTGAATACAATCAGATTTTATCTTAGGAAATCCCATCGAGATCCATAGTGACGTCGATCCTGTATCTGTGTCTGAGGCTAACATTTACCATAATAACTTTTGTATTAATCAAATGCTAGTTATTGGCTCTATAAACTACAGCCCTATATATATTATAGGTAAGTACCAGAAAACCGAAGAAAAGGGCTTTGATGACCAAAAACTACGATCAAAAACTACTAAATACTGGCCATAACCTACCACCAGATCAAGTATCTCACCGCTAACCAAATGAACCAAAGCCGGAAAACGATTACCCCGCTGGTTGCCTATTATTTCAACCTCCTCCATTTAGCTCCCTTGCTTGCCGCCTTTTTAACAACTCTAGGAATATCCGGTGCTTCGTCATCTTCACCCCTCCAAACCAGCTTAATCCATCGTACGAGGATATATGCCAACCCAATATTCGCGCACTAAGCGATCAAAGGCGGCAAGAAGAATGGGTAAGCCCCGTTCTTCATTTTGAAGATACTCATAAGGAAGCTGAAAAGCACGAGGAGAACTAAATTCCATGCCATCACTGCGATCTTTTGCTTGCCGGAAGATTCCATGCGTGGCATTTTGAGGCAGAGGGCTATGGCGGAGAAGGCTAGGACAGCGTCTGTAGACATCAATCAAATGTTAGATAACTATCCTTATAGTAGCTTTGGACCTTGAGGTGGAGAGGGGAAGAAACATACAAACAACAGCAATAATTTGCGTTTCCAAACCCAGCTGGTTCGAAAACCCACTAGCAATATACGAGACACCACCCCCACGTCCCTGAACCACATATGGTACTTTTCTAATATGATTAAACATATGACCGCTAGTGAACAACAATACAGAGACCAACGATATAGCAGCCCATAGGTTTCGGCTAAATAAGGCTGGAGCGAGGTAAGGGTATGCGAGTTTAGAGAGAGTCGCGGTACCGATTATGCCGCCGATGAAGGAGAAAAGCTTAACGTAGTTAAAGGGACGGTGGATCGTTACTGTGTGCTTCGTGTGGGCGGTGACCCAGCGGGCTACAGCTTCGGCGGGAGTGATGTCACTTTTTTTTTTGGGTTTTACGATTTTAGCAAAGGATTCTTTCTTTCACGACTGGCAATCTCGCAATTGAGTGATGATTTCGAATAAGTACCTCGGGTTGAAATCGAATTTGATTGGTTGATCGGAACCTGGACCCGCGTTTGAGGAAGGGAAAAGCATCAGGATTGGGGCAGTCGACATGCCGAGCTAAAACACATTATCAGCATTTTGTCAAAAATGTCCAATTGATCGATCAATTGAGTATTGAAAATTAGCCAAAAGAATATACCCTCTGAAACGTCTGCTTCCCAACACTGAAGTCCAAAATTGTAAAGAATAATCCATCGCTCTTTGGATGCTCTTTATGCCAACTGTTCCCGAGTAGATCAAACTCCGGCTGGAAATCGCGACATAACACACACCCAAACCGAGCGTCCAACGCTGTGAATAGTACAACTGATGTAAAATTCCTGTTGGGACCTGTGAGGTCTCCGAAAAGCTGGTCGTTGAGGAGAACGACACCTTTGGAACCCTTTGAGGAGCTGGCGAGGTCTGCGAAGGTTTGGTGCTTATTGGTGGACTTTTGGGCAACAGTGAGGGAGAGGAGGGAGGTAAACGCTGTTAGGAGAGGTAGGAGACGCATTGTGGAATGTTGGAGACCAAATCAATTGGTCTAGGTCGTGAAGATGTGGTGATTGATGTCGGAGGAGTGGGGGAAGGCGGAGAACGTGTCGTCGCCGTTCTAGTCTGTGATAGTAGTTACGTATCCGACGTATCAGACCGGGGTGGGTTTTGGGCGTAGATGCCACACAAGCATCATCTCCGTCTTGGCTGATTAGTCATCCCAGTATCAAGAATGTGGTGTGTTGTGGTGTTGTGGCGGTTGGATTTTTGTTTACGGTCGGCTCCTCAATTGGGAAAATTGTCAACAGAGGATGAGGGCCGTCTCCAACATGGGCAGCCATGCATCCAATTTCTTCTTCTCCCTCCGTTACCTGAATCATTTCATCATTATCATCACCGTCATTCTCACCTTCTTGTCCCCATCTTCATCTTCATATCCATTTATATCGCCCGGACTCTAGACAAAAGCTGTCCACCGGCAGCTACAGCCAGCCCTCTCTTTGTGTTTTTTACCCCTCTCCTACTTAATTCCAAAGCACATTGTTGCCAATTCGAATCGGTTTATTTGTTTCTGATTCTTAGTCGAGTCGCGATGACAAGCGGTGCAGCCAAGGGCACCAAAAAAAGTGCTGCCCAAAACAACCAAAACATCAACAACGCCTCGTCCGAATCCACTTCTGACTCCTCTCCCACAACGAACACCAGCCCCGAGTTACGCTGCTACCAATTACAGCAGGTAAACACTTCCTAATTTTATTAGATCGCTTCCCTTTCTCTTCTCCTCTTACATACTACACTGTAATTCCTCGTATAGAAAAGTTTCTGTCAGTCTAACACTTTGTTTTGTTTGTATGTTTTCGCGTCTTCTATACAGGAAGTATCATCACTCAAACTCTCCAACGCGGAACTCGAATACTCCCTAGCAACCACCAAATCCGTTCTCATCAAACATAAAGACGAGAACAGAAAGTTATCGATCGAAAACACCATCCTTGAAGTAGATTTTGACCAACAGTCAAGACGGTTATCAGTCGAAATGGCAAAAGTTGAGGAATCAAAGAAGAGGGAAACTCGGTTGAGGAATAAAGTTACCGAATTGGAATCTCAGGAAAAGTTCAAATCATCGGATCTGGCAACTATGGAGAAACAGTTGGAAGAGAAAGATGCAAGAATCACAAGCTTGGAAGAAAAATTGGAACAATTACAGTTGAAACTAGACGCTACATCCGAGGAAGCCGAGGAAGCTAAGAATGAGGCTAAGGGGCTGAAGAAGGATCTTACATCTGCCCAGAAGGAGGCTACAACCGAAGGAAAGGCCATTGAAAGGCTGAAAGAAGAAGTGAATGACCTACAGCAGAAACTCGAGGAGAGGTCTACCGAAGTCAAGTCGCTCAAGAAAGATCTGACAACTGCAAAGAAAGAGTCTACAACCGGGTCCAAAGCCGGAGAATCTTTGAAAAAGGACATTGAAAAGCTACAGAAGGCACTTGATGCCAAAGCTTCCGAAGTTGATGAGATGAAGGTCCAAATGGAAACAGTGTCGGAAGAATTGAAATCCACAAAGTCCGAGCTCAATTCGAAGAAAAAGAAGGCAGATGATGAAAGTTCTTCCAAGATATCCGAGCTCGAGAAGTCCATCAAGGAACTCAAAGCCCAGTTGAAAGAGGCAAACAAGACGAATAAGTCCCTCAACGTATGTGTAGCCACTAAACCAACTAGATGATGATGACTTAGCTAACAGAAGGGATAGACTGAACTTGAATCATCCAACGATGATGCAGATGCAATTGCCGCCCTAACAAAGGAGAAACTCTCTCTTTCTCGCCAGGTTACCACTCTCGAAGCAGAGAACGATGCTTTCAAGGCTACTACTGAGAATCACCGACAGATCCTCTCTGAGAAATTACAACTTGCCCATCAAGTCGAGCAACTGCAGATTGAACTTGAGAACGAAAAGAAGGCTGCCAAGCGCGCCACAAAATCCAAGTCGGACGCTGACGACTTCAAGAAGCAGCTGGCGGACTTGAAAGAACAACTGAACAAACAGACGAAGATTGCAGAGCGAGCAAACAAGGACAGAGAAAAGGACCGTGAAGCATGGGAGACCCAAAGGGGTGTTTTAGAAAAGAAGCTTGAAACTTGGAAGAACAAAGCGAAGGCGAATGCTGCTGCCACTGCTGCCGCACCGAAGGCAAAGAAGAGAGGAGCAACGACTTTTGATGACGATGCTGATTCTCCGCCGGCTAAGAAGGCGAAGAAATCCACCGTCGCAAAGTCTACTTTCTCAACTACACCCTTCCTTACAAGGCACATTAGCGTTGCACCATCAGAGGCAGCTACCCCATCCAAGACTGATCCTAGTGTAGCGGATATAACCTTCGACTCGCCCGCCCCAGTTCTCTCAGAGCAAACCACCGAAGTCACGGAAACAGAAGCAGAGACAGAAGTTGAAGCAAGTAACATCTTGCCAAAGTCCGATGAGCCCACTGAACCCCAAAATCTGATGCCACCCCCACCAAAACCTGCTCCGAAAGCCGCCCCCAAGCCCGCAAAAGCCAAACCAGGTCCTAAGCCCAAGATCTTCCTCTCCACCAACGCCCTCAGGAGCTCCAAGCGTACTTCTTCCATTGCCCCTGAAACCTCCCTCCTAGGAGACGATGAAGTCGAGTACATGCCTGAAGCAGCTAAAAAGACCAAGAAGGGTGCTGTGAACAAGGAAAACGTCGTTCCCGACACTATCACTGAAGAACCCGAAGATAGCTTTTCAGCTGATACCACCACAACGGCATCTATAGTCTCGGCGGCTGATAAGCCAAAGAAAATGAAGATGAGGAAGCTGATGGGCAATACGCTCGGGAATACATTGTTCGATGACGATGGAGAAGACGGCACATTCAACAAGTTCAGAGCCCCAAGCGTTACGGGATTTAGTAAGGACTTCAGCCCGTTGAAACAGCGAGGGGCTGGCTATCAAGGCATTAAGAATAAGCTAGGAATCAAGAAGAAGAGCTTGTTGAGTATGTAAATCTTCTGCTTGATTTTAACGGTTGTTATATGCATAGCTTGTCTTCTTCTTTTCTCTCTTTTCCTGTATGATGCCATTGTAGATATCATGACCTCGTCTTTTCGATGCGTGGTGTTTTTTTTTTGAGCTTAACTTTGGGAGTGGTTATTTCTTGTACTTTGGCGAGCAGGGCATTGGGGTGGTGTATTTGCTTGAGGTTGGCGTTTTTGGAGTGGTTCTTCTATATTACTATTTATTTGAAGCATTGATAGTCTCGGTCGAAGAGGATTCTAAATATTTTGCTTAACTTCTTCCGGTTTCCATTTGATAATTGCAATATACCAATTTTATAACCAAACATTGTTTGGATGCCGATAATCATCATAACATGGACTTAACCAAGGCTCGAGCCCACCTTGCGAATTCGACCAAATCCGGCCTCAACTCCGCGGATCCAAAATCCAACACGAAAATTTCAACATCACAAGGCATTAAACACTGGCTCACGATCATTCCAACATCGTAACAACTATGGCAATACCGCGCAGTTACTTCCGTAGCCTAGTAGGATTAGCACTTGATTCACCATCTATCATCCATAATGCTCCACGACAAAGGAAAGTGGCGTTATCGACTTCATGCATATTCCGCAGATTGACACCAACAAGCGTCTCGTCGTCAAGAAGTTTCTCGACCACGCCGTTTGCGCTAGCTTCGAAGAGCAGTAGATGGGTCAAGCGGCAGAGTATTGATTATGCCTCTCGGGAAGCCAAGGTTTTACAATATAAAAGTCGGGCGGCGTTAAAATTGCTTGAGGTTAGTTCCCTTTTTATCGTCCAAATCTTGTGATAGTTGTGGCAACGCAGAGCTGGCGTGTTGTATTTTTTTCGGTATTCGAATGATGCACCCACAATTTCTGTGAGCAGGCCTGCGCCGTATTTCCAGAAAATTGGGGGAAAGAATATCTAAATTCTTGTTCTTGTCATATCTTGTACTTTCTTCTCAAGGGACCTCATTCTAAGTCACAGATCCAAATTTTTTTAGATTGATCAAGATCATAAAATATTCAGTCCGGGAATGACCGTTGTGGACCTCGTAAGCCTCCTACCACCAGCCTAGGATATCTATGCAACCCCCATAGGTCCTAAATATATACATAAAATAATGTAAGTAAGTATGCAGCCCACTAATAATTAAGTAATTACTACAGGGCTTCGCACCAGGCTCCTGGTCTCAAGTAGCAGTTCACCAAACCCATCCAAACGGACGAGTAGTCGGTATCGACCTTCTGCCCGCCCAACCCCCCAAGGGTGTCTCATCAATTCAAGGCAACTTCCTCAGTCCAGGGATCCAAGCTTCGATCCGTAGATACTTATCCGACCCAAACCGTGGTCGTGCTCGTCTATCCCAAAGCATCGAAAAACCAAAAATTCCATATTTAGAGCAATACATGCAATCAACTACGACAACCGAACAAAGAGAAATAAAAATTAAAGCGCCGATTTTACAACTAGATGATACGGCTTCATCGGGTTACATTGCTCAGGAGAGGCGGGATAGTTTACACGATGAAGAAGAGGAAGCACGGGCTGCTGCCGGGGCTGCTACTGGGGCAACAAGAAACAGAGGTCCTTCGAAGGTGAAGGATAGGAGTAAAATGACACAAGAGGAAAGGGAGATGAATACGGTGGACGTGGTGCTATCAGATATGTGGGAACCCTGGCCCCTGACATCAGGTTTTCATATGAATACCGTAATAACGCCGTGGGTGTTTTCGAAAAGGTTGATGAATACTAGTGGCGTTGCGGTTAGGGATCATGCTGGGAGTATGGTACGTTTTATTTATCATTGATATGTTGCTTTAAATGGCGGGGTAGATTATGGTTGCTAATTTCTTTGGTTGGCAATGCTATCTTAGGAACTATGCACCGCCGCATTAACATTCTGTGTCGACGTTCTCAAGCCCGGGGGAAGTTTTGTGTGTAAGTTTTATCAAGGTGAGGACGATGGTAGGTTAGAGCAAATGCTCGAAAGAGTGTTCAACAAGATTACAAGAATGAAGCCAGATGCTTCGAGACCGGTATGCACATTTCCCTCTCCTTATCTATCTATCTTTTTTTAGTAGGAAAGTGTATCATTTTTGACATATTGCGTGATTTAGGAGTCTAAGGAGTGCTATTTCGTGGCAACCAAAAAAAAGGCCGGGGTCACAAGGGAAGATATTGGAGTCCCAGGATTGAACGCCTAGTCCAGCTGCAAGACGGGTTATGAGCGGACCAAAACGAAGTGCGTGAATACTTAGGATTTTAAGGCAGGCTAAAGAGCTTTGGTCTCATGGGCTAGTCCGCGGTGGGTGTTCATATTTCGTATGAATTTACTTAATATAATATTCATATAAAGACATAGATGCCATTTCCAGCCTTCATCAAAGTCTTCCTACCATCCTATTGAGCACCAATTTGCCCCAACCCCAAGCAGGAAACAGTTACATACGAGTGTAAATAGAGGAGATCCACGAAATGAGTAGAGTTCAATAATGTACGATAAAGCGGAGACCCAAATTCACCAAAACCACCCTTGGTCATTATTCTTCCGTTTACGACGTGACTCTAAGAGTAATCGTCAATCCAAACCCCGAATTAGCCTCCAGAGTTACCATGAACCCAAAAAGCATCTTAACGCCCTCTTTAAAATCCCACCAATATAAAAATATAACCTAAGAACTCCCGAAAATTAAATAGGCCTACATACCTCTTAGGAGCCTCTCCATTCCAAACAACTTCAGTTGTATATCCCCAAGTCTCGATTTGACGGTTTCTTCAAGATCTTTTGTCCCTTCTTTCACCGCGGCGTCTACAATCCTCTGCAAATCCCCATTTTCATCTTTGCCCAGCATTTCCAAGACCTGGCCTACAATGATCTTACACTGTATGTCCAAACGTCTAGACATGTTCTCTGAATAGAGAATTTCACTTACAATCGTCTCGGTTAGGCCGGAAGAATATCTGAGTTCATCAATCTCTTCAGCTATCGCTTCTGCTAGGTTCTCTTTATTGCCGTCATTATACTTTTCAATCCCGGCTACGATCTCTTTTATAGCAGTTTTGACAGCAGCGTCAACAACTCCTTGAAGATTTGCTTTGTCCATGTCATCGAGTTGGACAGTTACTGGAACCTTCGGTTCTTCACCTGGCTCCCCGCCCTCGGTGGAGTATATGCAAGCTCCGTCTCTAGATTTAGCGGCGGCGGCAGCCTCTTGATTCTCCAAGATCTTCTGCATTGTCTTTTCCAACGACCAGCGACTGGCTGAAATATCCCTAGTTTCAGAGAGCACCTCTTTCTCGAAGTAATCTCTCATATTGATATACTGTGCATCTAGAGCTTTGTCCACATATTCTGTGAACCTCTGGAAATCAGGCGGGCCGGCCGATCGGGCCTCTAACTCCAAGATGCGCTCGTACGCTCGACTTAGCTCCACTGAAAGTGCCCCAACGGCTTCTAGCAATCCAGAGGTTGATTCTGACAAAAGTTTGGGACTAGACGTAGAGCTACGGTCGTTAACAAGCGGTTCGGGAGACTCGTGTTTCCCGGATAAGGGAGCAGGGGTAGTCGGAATTTCGGTTTCTTGTTTGGCCTTCTCGGGGCTCGAGGACGCAGTTCCATTAAGAATGTCCATTAGAGTAATACGCTCTGTCGCTGGTTCAACATCATCGGTATTCGCGGTTGGGCTCTTCTCCAGGGGCTTATCTTCCTGTCCAAATGAGCTGGTGAGTTGGGGGTTCGGTGCTTTTGCCGTCATAGGTGTCGAGTCTACTAGAGGTTCTTGTGGAGAATCCGAAGGAGAATCGTCTTTTTTCACTTCCTCTCTACTCAAAGGCTCAAAGTCTCCTGGCGTTTTCTTCCTCCTAGCCTTACTGAGGTGTTCGAGAAATTCCCTATGGCCCCACATTGAACGTGGTTTTTCAACACCGTGAAATAGCCTGTCCTCACGTTGTTTGCGGGCCTCATAGTCTATATTCAAAGGTTTTGCCGTATCTTGATTAGACGTTTTCTTCTCTAGCGATTCCCTTGATTTCCTGATTTGTTGTTCCAATGTTTCGAGGACCGATGCCATTGAGACACCCGGGGGGCGGTTTGGGACAAGCTGGCTGCTTGCTTTGATGTATTGATTGAATTTCTCTTTGAAGGTTTCAAACTTCTCAGACGGGTTCCAATCGGGCATATCTGGTATTTTAGGTTCCCACTTCGGTGGTTCCGATTTCTTAGATTCAGCTTGGGGGGTATCTTCCTTCTTCTTCTTGTCGTCCTTCACATTTTCTGTTGCCGCTCCAGTTTCTGATGTACCCAAATTATCATACAAACCTTCGTCACCCCAGGCCCTTATATAGTCTGCATTCTCTTCATTCTCCAAGCTATAAGCCCTATACTCCAAAATCCGTCCCAAAATACTCCTCAGCTCTTCCGTCGAAGAAACACGGAAAGTATTTGGAGGTAATGGAATACCATCAGGATCATGAGAATGGCCCTTCATCGTTGGTGGTAATTCCGGAACACGGAAATACAAGGAATTCCCAGTTCCATGAAGGTCTTGAGAAATAGATTCATCGAAAACAGTTTCGCCTTGGACGAGTCTGTGGATCGAATCTCTTACGAAAGGGTTTTTGATGCTTTTGATGAGATCGCGGTAGAGAGGGTTGGTCATGTCCAGTTTTTGGCTTGGAGGGCTGGTGGAATTCGAGCTTGCGGTACGACGGGTTGAGCAGTTGCGACGCTCGTGTTGTAAAGCTACCGCTGGGCCTAAATAGCGGATTCACATATATATTAGAATTAAATTTTATCTTGGAGAGTCATGATACAATACTTACGGTATGGTATGGCGATTCGATATAAATGTATTGGCGGCCTATAACTATAGATATCCGGCCTTGCCCGTCGTAGGAGGGATCGTGATGCCATCATCTTGGATCAATTGACAGAATCCGGACGTACAATGCAATGCAATATTGTATTGAGGTAGAACTGTTGCCCAATTCCTAGGTAAAGTTTATATCAATTTATCTCTTCTCCATTTGGCCTCGAGATCGAACACCAATACCCTTCTAGTTTCTCCAACAGCAATTGTAGTGATCAGTACGTCTGAAATGTTCGGAGGTTAAGGTCAATACCCAGATACATGTACGTATGCACACCGTACTTAACCGGACTTTTGTGTTGTGTACTTATTTATTCGACCAGCTGTTGGTACTTAAGGTCCTTTTAAACAGAGCGTTGGATGTTGGAGACCTGGCCCTGTTTACTGAGGCACGTACACCCATTTTCAGGCCCGCCACCCCGTTTGGCAGCACCTACTCGCTCAAAGCAATCGCCTCCTCGATTTTATATGTATATGTTTTCAAAACTAGGTAACATCTGCCTACAAGACCAATATGCCTTATTCTTTTCTTTTTTCTTCTTTTTTTTTTTAAACAACGTGGTGGTCAATAGGTTCTTATGGATACGAGACAACACGGCGTTCAAAATAAACCCCAATAGTGTGTATATAATGAACTCACACCCGTCTTGCCAGGCCTCCAGACCATGTATATAAGTACTTACTTAAGTACTTAGATATATCACTTGTCCATCTTGCACAAAAATCCTGAAATACCAAAATTGAGATGGTGTCTATTCAGGATGTGGCTCGTTTAAGCTCCCCTGGCATAAAAGGGCTATGGACTATGTTCATTTTCGTCAAAGTAACTCGGATATCTCTCTCAATACCGAAAGACGGGTGGCAATGCTAACATTGTCTCTCGGGAAAACTATGGGAACTCACAACCGAAGTTGGTGCTCCGAAGAAACTCATTTAAGGTGCGACGTATGGTTCTCCAAATTTACTAGAGTCTCCGTGCTGGACCCAACCTATGTATATGATATGGTATTATTACTTGAGGAAAGATCTAGATGTCATTGTATTTGGTTATTTCATATTCTAGTACTCTACCTCCACTTATATGTGTAGATTGACCATACGAAAAATTCATATTGAACGTGTATATACATGTTTGGTCAACTATAAGTCCGACCCGGCCAAGAAATAGGTAAAATAAATAAGGAAAAAACAATAGTGGAAACACTCAGATATTGAAGAGTATCCACTATGGTAGGGTCGATGTATATGAACAACCAGGCAGATAGACCCGGCTCCACACGTTTAGCTGCAGGTCCTGCATGAAGAGACGCAGCATGCCGAGCATCTGCCGTACCTGGCATTGTAGCATGAAGAAACGCAGCTGGGGTTTCCGTTGCAGCCGGAGGCGGATCCACTGCAGTAGGAATTGTGCATGCTGCGGCAGGCGGACTGGCAGGCGGAGGTAGCATTGTAGTTGCTGCAGCGCTCTGTTTTTCAAATGCAATTGTCAGTTATCAGCACGAAGTCCAACCATGGTACCATATATGCCATATCATGCGTATGAGGTTTTGATCTTCTCAGCAGCATTGATTCTGGTTTACGAGATAAGTTTTGATGACGGGAAGGCAGAGGAGGACGTACTTTGAAGGGCCTCTGGAACGACTGGAGAAGCCAGAGCGAGTGGGAGGGTGGCGAGAGTGAGGAGTGCGAAGAACTTCATTTTGAAAGTAGGTCTTATGAAAGAACTTGAGGGATCTTTGATCTTGAAGATGTGAAGATATACAGATATATACACTTAAGTATACAGAGATATACAGATGACTGGGTGAATTAATGGTCTGATGCTTCATACCATCACCGCCCTTTTATACTTATCATCATCATAATATATCCAGATATCTTCACTGTATACCAATGCAATATACCGCCATGTTTTGCCTTCGAGCCATGGTTCACTAACCCCCCTCCCCCTCGTAAGTCGGCGAGACGGGCCGGGCGATGCTACGAAGATATCACGCTTTCATGGCCACAATTCAAAACTCTTAACCCCGATCGCCATCATGATATCACAAACTCTCCATTTGTAACCCCCCCTTGTCTTCTTCGACTAATTTTCCCGGAACCGCGAGCGCTCGAGCGCTAGATTGTGTTCTTATTACACGTGATAGATATCATAAACTTTAACCTATTGGCTACCAGTGGCAGCACTAAAGCCCGAGTGCTCCTTGTTTCCGCTATGTATTACCTAACGTATTGCCCTCTCTACTGCTACTGTACTGCTTTTCCTTGGAAGCCGCTGTCTGTACCAAGTTTTTGTCACGCCAGGGTATAACTGAATTTCATCTGGGGTTGGTTTTGATAGGCGATATACTAGCTGCAAGCTACCTGAATGGGGCCGGATCTTAAGAAGCCAAGCGGATGCACTGACCAATTTTTAATCCAGGGTGGGTTAATTGGTTTACACGGAAGCGCCACCGGCTAGATCTACCGGTGCCCTTCCCCCGGGGATCCCCGAATTTTATTATTTTCGCCAATCTCACATTATGGAGACTTAGTAACTTATGATATATGAATAAGTGCCACTGGCCTATTGGGATACTGACAGCTACCAAGCTAAGCGAGTACAAAAGCTTGTACATATAGCCGTCGACATTATCGACAGAGGGTTAACGGCGACCTGCCGGTACTATAGGCCCGAATCTGCCGAAGAAAGCCCTCCTACGGCACAAATTTAACAACCAAGAATAATTGTTCACCAGCTGCAAGGCTAACGCCGTCGGGGTCTTGGTATACGTACGAGACAGCTGCAAGCCCCGATTCCGGATACCACCTTATTCTGGCGTCTTTGCGTTGCGCCTGTGGGATTTCTTCCGCAGCGATACAGGGGTGTTTTTGCCTGCTGGTCGCATTTTTGGCAATATCAATGGCCCATAACATCCATTACGTAATATTACTCGGTACAGATATCGATTACGATGCAAAGAAGTGATCCAAGATATGCTCGCGGAAGATAGTCAGGTGAATATCTTAGCTGGCAATATTTCTATGCTTGGTGCTAGTCGTAGTACAAATCGAATCGCGAAGGAAATATATATCATTCCCTCCATAGACAGATACAGAAACTAAACTTGTACTTGCAGGTTAGCTGCGCCGCGCTGCACTGGCTCTATATCAAACTTATGGCCAACTGCAACTAACCCATGCATATCGATATTCCTCGATCTGTAACTATACAAAAGCACTCGCTGCGCCCTTCCAGGTCTGGGTACGAGACAAGGTTGCGCCTAACTTTGCACTCGGGGCTCGAAGAGTTTATACATTCGGACGCTTGTATCTCAAGTAATTAAGTGGTTTTCGTTTCCTATGATTATCGATCTTTGGTATCGATATCAATTGATGCCTTGAAACTCGAGGGTCGACGTAGCTACAAGCTCGAAAAATATCACATACATATCTTCAACCCCCGCAAGCTCCAGAGCTACTAGACTACCACATTTTCATATCTACTAGCTAGCTACTATAACACTCTTGAATTCTTGTCTCGAAACTAAGTTAATATAATATTAATACTACGAATGTATATTACTAGAATACGGTCAAAATTTTACTACGATACACAAAAGACGAGCCGACATGACAGAAACCAGAACAATACAATTGCACAACCCGATTGCAATATGTACATACACGCGCACCGATCGCGATAGGACTATAGAATATAACATGGCAAAACCACGAATTAGCAGCGCTAGCGCAAGACGTCCCAACGTAAAAATAGATTCCGACTTTTGAACACAACGGAGGCATTACTTTGCAGATGAATCCGGTCTTCTCTGCAAGCAAAAGAAAAGAAAAGAAAAGAAAAGAAAAACTATATCCTCATCCCTAGGCCCTGGATACTATCTTATTAAATAAGTAAGTAGTTAAGTATACCGAGGCTGCTATATGAAAACAGCTATGCAGAAGTCTAGAGGCAACGACGACTACGGTAGTATGTACACTCTCGTTCAAATTAGCAGCAAAAATGCCCTGTGTTAGGATCCCACCCAAATGATGCAGTCCGCTCAGATTCATTGAGTTCTTCACCTTCACGACGAACCCTCTGAACAATCTGCCACCCTCCTCGGGTATCCTGACTTTCCCCGTGGCATGGTCCCTCGAGCAATGCCTTCGTAGCTACTGCACAAAGCGCCCATATGTCGTTGTCACCAGGCAACCATGCTCTGGTTATATATTCTGTATCAATACCAATTGTTCGATTATCAGAAGCCCTAAGTAGTGGTCCCGGCTTCTTAGGGTCTATACCAGCTTTAAAGAAGGTCATATAACTGATCGCGCCTATGTTGCGAGTTTGGTACAAGAACAGGCACCAAGGGGCACGGATGCTGCCTACTACCTCAAGTTTGGCCCAAATTCCGGAACCATAACAACCACCGTCGTCCTTTTCGATTTTCCAATTTTCGGGAAGAGTGCTATTGTCAAGGCTGTTGATTCTGACTTCATCCAGGCTCATATCATCCTCTGGCCCATAACCATCTGCGCCATCCCCAGGAATAATTGAAGGTATTGAAATGATTTCATCATCATCCGGTATACGTGGGTGCCCATCGCTGTTAATATTGTATTTGCTATTTGCATATTCGTTGAGACGTTCTCCTCTACGTTTAAAAAGATATACGGGGGGCGCTGCCTCCAGAGACCGGCGGGTGCGTTTGGCATAAACGCTTCTAATAGCCTTGTTATAATCCTCGACTGAGGTTTCATAGCTACACGCCGTCAGTGTCCCATTCTGATAGACCGGTTTGCTTCCCAGGCGACATTGGGGTCCCAACCCCCCGTCTGAGCGTCGTTGGAGAGGTGGCGTTCCGTAGACATGGTCAAGGACATCACGAATCCTAACGCCATAGTATTCACGGTTGAGGGCTTCTTCGGGCTGGGATATGGCAATCGCTTGCACTTGCCCTCGGCCTAAAAACCGAGAGGCAGAAAGAAGGAATAGGATGAGCCCTTGCATTGCAAGTTTGCACCCAAGCTGGTTCCGTTGGTATGTACAATTTGTAAACGGTTTCAGCAATATAAATGAAAGGAGTTTCCGAGGGAATAATTTTGATGAGAGCCCGTTGTAGGTGATCCTGGTACCTTTTCCTAGAGATTAGGCAGACGAATACACAGGCTTAGGTATAACAGCCCTTCCTGGACTCCCTGGTCTACGACACAGCCTTATATAGATAAACTGTCAAGTTTGTATTATACAGCTGTGAAGACTTTAAGAACATCTATACATTAAACTCTTTAATGCACCGTTGGCCATAAACCAACCATCTTCTCCGACCCAGGGGCTCCATGGCATAATGACACAAGCTTATGTTCGCTGTTGGCCATACAACGAGAGCCCAGCCTAGATTTTATAACTAGGCCACCGTGTATGGCGACAGTCTCCCTTCTATAACTCCTTAGCTCTGGTAACTTACTTTTAAATAAACTAAGACGCTCCCAAATTTATAAAGCGATAGTTGGACCTTGAGCAATTGAGCCTTAAGCGCATTAAAGACGTTCAAGGTTCCAAATGACGCACAGGAAGATTTGATACCAGGTTAGTCTACCTAGAAGGCGTAAAGTACTTCCTCGACTAGTCCGGTACTCAGACAAATATGTATTGAGATTCTAGACGGTATCAATCCACAACTTGAGCTTCGCCGTGGGTGCACTGGGCTGGGGCTGGGTACGAGACAAGCTTCACCAGATAAAAACGTGTTGTGGGATGAAAATTCAACAAGTTAAAGGACGCGGTGCTGTCGAAGCTTGAAACCGACAACTGACAGCTTCCCAGCACAGCTGCACAGCCACAGCCTCGTAACCATTATCACCGCTCCCAAAACACGAAACCGACCAAGTTACTTACCCCTCAAACCCCACCATCAGTTCCCAACGCTCGACCTCAATTAAACCCACTGTTCACGCCGACGGCATCCTGTGATATGTCTATTAAACGCCGTATGTCGTCTTTAAAATCCCTGAGCCTCGTAACTTTCCCCTCGCATTGCAAATTGGCAGATGGCACACACCAAGTTGGCCAAACCACAGCTTACGTTTCATTATGCAAATAGAATCCATATGGGCTTCAAACCCCACCACTGCCCGAGGGCAGCCAACTCATTTGAGCTCCAACCCAATGGGGACGAAAATCGCATATGCTGTATGATGCCTTAATCTACTTAAAATAAATTTATGCTAGCATCACAAGCATAAACTAAACCATGTTGTTGTGACAGTCCAACAAATCCATATTCCTGCGCGACATTGATACACCAGCCGATTCGATCCAGTATACAGGCCACACAGCCAACACCACGGTTGCCAGATTTGCACCGTCAGGATACTATGTCGCTTCTGGTGATGCGTCCGGAGTGGTGCGAGTATGGGATTGTGTCGGTGAAGAACTGATCACAAAGGGCGAATTTCCCATAATCAACGGAAGAATCAATGATATTGCTTGGGACAGCGAGTCAAAGCGTATTATTTCCGTCGGAGACGGAAAGGAGAGATACGGACATTGTATGACATGGGAGTATGTTTCCGCTGCGCCGTATCTTGTTACGACTTCAATTGTTGATCGGATGAAACAGCACAGGAAACTCGATTGGCGAAATCTCAGGGCACTCTAATGTGGTCAATACCGTCTCTATCAAACCTACACGGCCATACAGAGCTGCTACTGGTGGTGACGATAACAGCATAGTTTTCTACCATGGCCCTCCGTTCAAATTCAACACCGCTCAGCGAGGACAACACACCAATTTTGTCCAAGGACTTGCATTCTCCCCTGATGGAAACCATCTCGTCAGTGTCGCTTCAGACTGGAAAGTCTTCCTCTGGGATGGAAAGACTGGTGAGCCAGTTTCCGAGATCAAGGATTCGGAGAAGGGGCACAAAGGCGGTGTCTATGGTGTTTCTTGGAATGCCGATGCCAAACGATTTGCTACCGCAAGCGCTGACCGAACTGTCAAGATCTGGGACCTCGAAGCACAGAAGGTCCTCAAGTCATGGTCATTCGGAGACACTGGTTCCGTGCTCGACCAGCAAACAGGAGTTGTATGGCCTAATAGGTCGGATGGTCTCCTTATTTCCATCTCAAACAGCGGCGACCTCAATTATCTCGACGAAAGGGCGGACACGCCGGTGAAGGTTGTTGCTGGCCACCAGAAGAGCATTACTGGCCTTGGTGTCGAGCCAAGCGGAAAGACTATCTGGACAGGGAGCTATGAGGGAAGAGTTTGCTCCTGGGATCTTGCATCCGGCACAGCAGAGGTTCCAGAGAGCCAATCTCATACCAATCAAGTGACCAACTTCGCCGCCTCCGAGGGTAGAATGTATTCTATTGCCATGGATGATACCCTCCGTACTATTGACACCAATGTCAAAGACTTCACGTAAGAATACCCTCCCCGCTAACGGTACTACATAACATCTAACAGACCCTCGCTAGTGGCTCCATCATAGGGACAGATGGTCAACCCCGCGGGGTCACTTACGCAGATGACAAATCCGCCGTTTTTGTTGTTACCCTTGCCGAAATCGCGGTTTTCAGAGATGGCAACAAGGTCACATCTACACCTATCAAGGACTATACACCCACCAGCGTCGCTTATTCCTCTTCTACCAATATTCTGGCTGTTGGTGCTGAGAACAATAGCATCTATACTTACCAACTCTCGAAGTCTGATGACAGTATTCCGGCGTCACCTTCTTCCATTCTAAAATCCAGCAGGGCCTCCATCTCTACTCTATCATTTGCACCAAACTCCGCACTCCTAGCGGCTGGTGACAGCTCTGGTAAAATTGTCCTATACGATGCTAGCACCGGTGAGGTCAAAACTACTCGATGGGCCTTCCATACCGGAAGAATTAAGTCCATCTCATGGAACAAAGCTGGGACACACATCGCCAGCGGAAGCTTAGATACGAACGTTATTATCTACAGCGCAGAGAACTATGCGAAGAACGTGAAAGCTCTAGGGGCTCATAAGGAAGGCTGCAATGGTGTGGAATGGGTAAACGATTCAACAATCGTCAGTGCTGGAGCTGATGGTTGTGTGAAAGTTTGGGAAGTCGTCGCACCATAACGGGTCGACCCCATCACTAGCGAACTGCATTCGTTGTTACCTTCGGAGCTTTGGATTATTGTTTTTTTTTTTGCTTTGCTATGGTTTAGCAGGTTCCTGGACCAAATAAAGGCACTCTGGTTTCATGAGTTTTCTATTTGAAGCTGTGTATACGCAAAGAATACAAATACGTGAACATTGAATCCGAGGTTCTAGATTTAAAGCTACCGAAATATCCCCACTCTCGACAACAACGTATCAAAACGTCGTTTGAAGACACGAGGGCTACAAAATGACCCGAATCCATGCGTTGGACGTTGTAATGTTCCTGTGTAGCCAGACCCCTGTCCCACGGTCAAAGCTAAAACCTTGTACCTAGAATTGGCCAGCCTGTACCCAAAGGATGCAGATAGAATCTATCATGTCAGTTGACGACGACGTCCTGAATTGTTGACAGCGATGTGCCAGCCTTTGCGTATGCCAATACGAGGCCTGCTTATGCCGAAACCAGAATCTAAACCGAACTTGTTAAAGTATCGTGGATCACTTATCGATAGATGCCGCCGGCAGTCACTACACTACTAGGCAGAAGAGATGTTCCCCATCGACATTTACGTAGGCATCCATGGGAGCTATTTTCGTCTATCGCTTTTACTTAAAATTCCCGATGTTATGGGGGCATTGGTTCTATTAATATTTTGGCTCCGCTTTTCTCTAAAATATATATCATAGCACGGCAAGAATGTAAACTATTGTAACTCTTAGTTATATAAACCATCGAATCTCGATTGCAAGTTGAAGTTTTTTTTCAAATTTAGAGCGTGAACAGAACACGACTTCATATTTATATAATATTGATACTTTTTACCTTAAACAAGACAGAATCCCCGTTCTATAAGTATATAACAACTTACTTTCAAGTTATTATAAAAGCCATTTCCTTGGATTTCCAATACAATATCTACCTAGTTTCGAAAAGAAAACCACAAATATGCGCACAGTTTTTGAAATCGAGCACGCCTCCATATTCGATTTAATCGAAAACCTACAAGCTCAAATCAGAGAGCTCCAAGAGTTGTAAGAAAAATCAAAACCCCCTTTCCGACTTTGAAAACCATTGATCCCAAAGTATTTTAATCTTCAAAATACCGGCCAATATAATACTTACCAAATGCAAATGACCCTTCCGATTCCATGATGGTCACGGGTGTACAGTAACATGCTCCTCCCAACCAAATTATACAACAGCCGTCTAGAGCTGGCAACACAACAGCTTCACTTCCCGCCGGTTCCAATTTCTCCAGGTGAACGTCAGCACCTACCGAATACAGCGAAAAAACTGAGGAAATTCGATGGTAAGAAAAACCGAAGATATGTTTTTGTTAAGTATCAGCACTAACCATCAAAATTACCGGAATTTTTATAGTTGGAGAATGCGATGCTGCGTGTAGAGTGCTTGGATTACCTATCAGAGCGGATGATACAGTGGTGGAGAAAAGAAGGTCCATTGCGGAGCACCTGGGGATCCCTTCTGATTTCTGGTGATTCTAGTCATATTGAGCTCTAGCTCCTCACACTTTGCTTTTTATACCGAGAATCTGCAGGATTAAGATCCCTAAAGTAATTGTTTTTTTTCTCAGTGTATAATTGAGATGAATGTAATAGCGAAATATATTAATATATTACTGTAAGTAACCTTATATATAAACCAAATACTACTGTGCAAAGAAGTTCTTACTTAAAGCCGAGACTAGCTCCTACCACACCTCCCGTTGTGCACATGTGATGTCTAGGAAAGAAATTACTCATATGAAA